GCCTTTACATTGGTCGACTCTGCACTCAGTACGATGGAAGCCATCTTCACAACTTTCTCCCATTGCTGTAGTGAGCGGTTAGGTATCCTCTTCTCGGAAAACTGTCCCTTGGACCAACCTCCATCTTGAGCATGCATGCCACGATGTTGCACGTAATGGGGTGTTGTACTTTACGCATGACTTCATCGTGGTCGGCGCCTCCAAGCTCGAGTCCTGTCAACGCTTCGAGGTAGGCGTCGCTGGCTTCTTTGTACTTGCCAGCTTTGAACAGGTCATTGCCCTTGCTACGCTGATGTTCGATCCATCCTTGCTTCTCTGACGAGTCCATGAGCGCCACGCGATCCACGGACGTCTTGATCTTCGCCTGGGTGTCGAGGCATGCGATTTCCTTGGCCGACCTGGGTCAGAGTCAAGAGGGACCAGCCCTGCGTCCCGCAGTACGTACGTGTCTAGTGCGACCCCGTTGCCGACATTGCGCTTGAGCTCCACTTTACATCCATCTCCCATCGTATCGTTGATGCTATCGAGCATCTTTGACACCGTGTACGCTTCGCCATATCTGCCGCTCATGCCGAGTCGGCTTTCTCGCGAAAGGGCACGATTCCAACGAGACACGTTATCCGACATACATCCGGATAAAAAATTCGGAGAACTACTGCAAGAAAATCCTTGCCCGTGGTGATCATGGACGAAGGCGGCAGCGGCTGGAGCGACGCACTCCAGGCGGGATACGTGACGTTCTGCCAAGGCATTCAAGACTCCCTCTCGCTCCACCGTATCCTCCTGCTGTACATCCAGTCGCCGATCGTGCGCAATCGAACCGTGAAATGCGTCATGGTTAACGGCATCATCTTCCTCGGCAGCATTTTCTTCTTTGACCACATCGTGATCCCGATCATCCACTTGCTTGGACTCGCTCTCAAGCACCAGGAAGAAGCGAAAGGGGCGAACGACAGCAGAAGTTTTCGCGACACCATCGACACCATGGTGTTTGTCATCTACCAGGTACGATGGAAACATTGCTCATCCACTTGAAAAATGCACCTAGGGGCTGTGGATGTACCCTATCTACTGCGTGAGCTTCATCTTGAATGCGATATGGTACCAAGAGCTTGCGGATGAAGGTACGCCTTCGATCCGTGTGATCTATTCTGGCGTGTGGATCATGCGTTGTGCAGCGTACCTTCAAACCCACGGGAAGGCCCGCCCCGCGCCCGTCAAGGACATGCTCATGTATGGCGTCCCGTTGTTGTTCTCGACACTCACGGCGCTGTAGCGACGAAGTGTACCGCGCTATCTTGGTCTTTTTCTTTGTCGTGCAAACGATGCTCTCGTACTTTGTGCCACTGGTCGGGCCATACCTGAGCTTTGTACACACGAGCTGGCTGTACGCGCTCTACTGCTTCGAATACAAGTGGAGTCTACACGGATGGAGCATCGAGAAGCGCCTCGTGTACATGGAGAAGCACTGGTGTGGCATTTCCCCGGTCCACAGTTCGGCTTGACGACGCGCTCGCACGTAGGGCTTACTTTGTCGGGTTTGGGTGTCCGTTTACGCTGGCCACGTACTTTGCGCCGAATTTCGTGAACAAGGGGATCTTTGCCCTCCTCTTTCCATTGGTAAGCGCTCCGTTTGGAAGATTCGGCACGCACTCAAGGGCCATCATCGTAGTTTTTGCTCCTGGCTACCGTGTGCGGCCCGTCGACAGACGTTGAGCCGTCCAAGCTGCCCTTGTTCGGGTACACCCTAGTCGCCTCCACCTGCCCCAACTGACACACGGCCGTGTGTAGACCATCGCGATGGCTCACGCTGCAGTTTGTCCGGCGGCTGAGCAATTTTACAGGAATGAAGCACCGCTCGCAGCCACCTCGCAAGGCGAATTCTCCCCACGTCCACATGCGGCGTTGACCAGATGCGTCGGAATCTGCCACACGGTGAAATCGGTCGTGTTACGATAACAATCCATGCGATGCGGGGCACCCCCTGGCACATTGCGCTAGAACATCACCAAGTGAACAACGAGGCTGGAGGATAGCTGTTCGACAGGTTGTCGGGAAAACTGCGGATGCAAGACGAAATCAGTTTGCGTGACATGTCCATCTTTGCGATGTTGGCGGTCCGCAGAGCTTCTCTCTCTTCTCTCGACGGCATGACGAGAGGATGCATCGGCAACGAACCCCTCAACGTCCTGTCAAATATGCGAGGGATCGACGCGGGAGGCACCTCCGTTGCAATGTTGGGATGTTTGCCATGGACGGCGGTCGAAATGTGCTTCTTGTTGGGCATCTTGGACACGGGGGTCGTGTAGTTGGCGGCTGGCGCTGCAACTTTCCGGCACTTGGCGTTGAGTGCTGTGGCAGATCGGCGAGAGATCGAAGTTCCTCTGTCAGGAACGTTCGGTGGCGCTTCGTCCGCGGTGTCCGCGGGCCGCTTGAGAGGAAGAAGTCTGCAGCTTTGGCGATCCCCGCCACTGGTCGTTTCCACTTTCACCGAAGATATCCCAGCAACATCTTGCGACATCACTTGGATCATCGGAGGGGATACGGCTGCATCTGCGCTGGATGGTGCTTGTGCATCAACCACACGAGGGGGAGAGGAGCGTGGGGTAAGTCGGGAAACAGAGTTCACGGCCACCTTCTTGTCGCTGGACACGGCGTACGCAGAGTCAAGGGCTCGAGGCAGAGGCACGAAGGCACGCCGGGACGGCGTCGCCGCTGACATGGCATAGGCGACCGCGAAATTCAAAACAGCCTTTTCGTCTTTTGTGTGCATAAGGCCTCGTTTCTTTTTGCGGGGTTTGTCTTCTTTCGTGGAATTAGGAGCCTTGTTCTCGATGGCATCCGTGGTTACTGACGCGTCGCCGTGAAGAGGATGCTCTCCAACAAGTGCATGCTTGCGAGGGAGCGACAAAGGCGTTGAAGGGGAGATATCGGAGGCGTTCATTGCATCCGCGCCCAATTCAGCTCCGTGTTTGAAGGGCACAGCCATACGAGAGCGGGATCGTTGAAAGCTGCTCCGGACGTTATGGGCGGTGTACGTGGTCTCCACATCGGATAAGTTTGATGGTGCGTGTGTAGGGCTCGACGGCGCTCCTCTTCGCGAGTGCAGTTGCGACTGTGATGGACTCATTGGGATTCGTGTACGAGGGGGAGATTGTATCCTTTCAGCAGGTTGCAGCTCGATTGGTGTATGGACTGGAGTTTTCGCTTCAGAACCCTCCACATGACTGAGGCCGATTCTCTTTGAAGCAACCGTCCCAACTCGTGCCGCATTCATCTGCTCAAGAGATATATTGGTGTCACCAGATATACGGCGCTTGGTGCGCGGCTTGGGAGGGACACAACGATCTTTCGACAACACAGTTGAACGCTTGGGAGCCGTCTTTCCCGCCAGAGACCGGCAATCTTTCGCACCAGTGACCTTCCCGTCCACCGCGCGACGACGGGGCTCGTAAGGTGGAACACTTGAGCTCTGTGACGAAGGTCGATAGCGCATCGGACCGCGTCGGTATGCCAATTGGTCTCTGTCCATGCTGGAATTGCAGCACGAATGTCAATCTTCGAAAACAAGTATAATATTATAGAGGTTTTGCGAAGAAGCCGGCGTGATGGACAATTCAAAAACGAAACACGAGGTGGAGGAGGTAAAGTCGGCGGGACGAAAGCTCAGTCCACATACGCGGATGTGTTGAGCCCAGTGCATGGGAAAGGTACGTGACTTAGCATGGAAATGAGCTCCTTTGGGACTTCGTAGATGCAAGCAGGAGCCCCCAACTACCACACGACCTCGCTCCGCTTGAGTCTCGGTCCATGTCGATCAGACCTTGATCCACAACTATTCGAAGTGAAAGATCACAGACAACCTGTAGTAGGTGTCGAGCTTGTTGGATAGTCGGATAGTAGCAGCTCCCGATGTGCTGAGCTCGATCTTGCATAGCGTGTGTTTGTGGTGTTTTTGGACCTCCAGCATCCACAGCGCTTCAGTGGTGCCGCAACAGCAGCTAGCCGCAATCGGAATGGCTATGGCATTGCCCATTCATGTTAGATTCCGATTGCGAAGCCGAACGGGGCGTTTACATAATGCAGGAGCGATCGTGGGTGAGGAGGCAAGGTGCTCGAGCAAACTATAAATATCGGACAGTTGTTTCACGAGTTGGTTGCGCGAGCCAAAGGAGGGCGGCGACGACAATGCCTCCGCCGAATCGGCAAAAGGAGCTTGAGGCCCAGGTTGAAGAGCTCAAGGGCCAAGTGGAGGCATTGGCGAAACGCAATGCTGCCGACAAGGCGCAGATGCAAACTGCCATCGAAATGGAGAAACGACTTCGAACGCAGCACATGACAGAGGCCGCAGAAGCACGAGCTAAAGCGGACGAGTTACGTCAGGTCACTACGACCCTCCAGCAAGACAAGGACGAGCTCGAGATTGCGATTTCCGCCGCGCGGGCCAACGAACAGCAGATACTCGAAGCGTACAACGCGTTGGATGCCCAGCTGCGAGAAACGTATGCAATGTACCAGCACCTGGAAGCCCATAGTCACACCCAAGCAGCCACAATCCAGAAATTGCAAGATCAAGTGGACCGCGCCGCGATCGCCGAAACCACCTACCAAAACGAGCTCGCCACGGCTGTCACCCGCGCCAACGAACTGGAAGCGCAGTGGCTGCAAAACCAATCAGCGGTCGATGACTCGTGTGCAAACTTGCGAGCAGAGCTAGCCGACCGAGACGAGCGCATGAAAGCTCACAAACTAGAGCATCAGTCCCAGCTTCTGGAGCTCGAAGCGACCCTCGAACGAGTGCAAGCCGAGCTCACGGCGTCCAAGACTCTAGCGGGAAACCTTGAGAAAGAATTGAGTGCAGTACACCACACGAGTGACCGCGACGCCGCCAGTGCTGCGATCAAGGAGCTGCAAGAGGAAGTGTTCAAGACGTCGACTGCGCTCGTCGCTCAAGGCGAGACCCTCCTGACTCTCACAGAGGCCCACAAAAAGGTCAAACTGGCGTTGCAAGTTGCCAAGAAGGACGTCAGCGACGCTCGAGCGCTGTTGCTTCGAGGGATATCTGGTCCGGACGTCGACGTGAGTTTGTATCAACACGTGCGGCTCGAAGAGCTCGTGCGACTGCGACTCAAGGCGGAGATCGACATGGAAGCTGTATTGGAGGGCGACTGCGGCGGCAGCGACGGCACTGAGGCCGAGATCCAGTCGGATTTGGGGCTCGGGATGGGCAGCTTAGGAAAGCTCGAGGTATGTCGGTGGCGATGAAAATAGTTCATGGATGGAGCTTCGCCGCGATGATGGCTAACGTGCAAGTTGTGTTGCAGCGCGAGATGCGGCTCCTTCGTAGTCGAAACAAACGGCTCAGCGATCGAGCGGTCGATCTGGAAAAAGAGCTTTCCACAGCCGTGGCGGCGATGGACGATGTCAAGGCGCTGAAGGAGAAGACCGCCGAGTTGGCAGGGCGGCAACGCACTGAGAAGGAGCTTCGGACACGGACGGACGCCGCGTTGGTGGAGGCCAACGAAAAGATCGTCGCGTTGTCGGAACACATCGAAAAGCTCATGGTGCACTTGAAGCACGAGGCTGCGGCCAAGGCCAAGGCACAGGACGCATTGAAAGCAGTGGAAGCCGAGCGACGGGAGCTCATTGACGCGTCGACCAGTCTGACCAAGAAGACAAACGCCAAGGACCGCGTGATCTCGGAGCTGCAGCAAGGTAGCAAGATCCTCGAAGACCAGCTGCGCTTAATGGACGAAAAGTACATTGAGCTCCGCAACAAGTTGGACTGGTCGCGCACAACGTCGCAGAAGGAGGTACTGTCCTATCGATTTGGAACGCGATCGAGACAAAAGCGAATGGAATGTAGTCGCGTCGCCTTCAACACGAGCTCAACACACTGCGATGCAAGTGGCAGCTCGCGATGGACACGGGCCAGCTGCCTACCGAGCAAGTCGCGTCAGTCCTGAAACCACTGTACTGTTGCGTTGTCTTCATGTCGTGGTCATGTGGATCCATCTCGCCGCGTAGGAAGAAGATGGCGACTCTCAGCAGCTCAGCGTCGGAATCAAAGGTATCCAACAACCGGGAAAGCTCGCCACCTTCGAATACGGCAAGTTCCCGTGATGGGGCTCGGTCCCCGCCGCCACCCAAACGCGCGACGTTCGACATTCCAAAGTTGCCTCAACCCGCCAGTGAAGACGGCACGCCTTGGTCCGATGCCAAGCTCGGGATGCTGCAGAAACAACTCGACCACACGCATCATCACACAAGGACGTAATGACTTGTTACGCCACACGCACTAACTTGCGGCAGTTCTGAAATTGCCTGTCAGTGGACTCGTCTTTCTTGGCGTTATGATTGAGGCCGCTGAAAGCGACCCATTGCTCGAGAGATCGCGTGGACCCGATCGAGTACATTTCGTCTTTACTGCTGGGAGGTTCGCCCGAGTTGAAGCGAAGAACTCGACGGATGCGAATGTAGCTTTCTTTTTGTCTGGCCACGAGCCGCGCCATGGCCGTGTCGTCGCTCGCAATCGTATGAATCAACGATGGGTGCAGGGGGTGCTGCACCCGACGTGTATATTTTTCAAACACAACGTCGGTCGTGGGCGAGTAAAAGTCGTACCCGCGAGTCCACCACCGCACGGCTCGGTAGTACGCGAGGCCTTCCCAAACAAATTCGACATTGGGGTCAGACGGCGCCTCGATCAGCGCCTTGATCGGGCCGAACAGAAAGTCTTCCGAGTACTGCGACACCAATCGTGGAGTGGATGTCCGCGGGTCGGCGATCAGCACGGGGAGGTTGAATGCCACCACTGCAATGTTTGATTGAATAGACGTGATGCGACCAGTGCAGAGAATGGCTTGCTGCGAAGAGTCGGTTGGCCACTCCTTGGACCGAACGGCCGGAGGAGCAAAGCTGAGAAGGGCCTTGGGATTCCCGATGGACGTCCATTGCGCCAGCACTGCGACATCCCAGCGCGGCGTGAATTCAAGTCGCGTCGTGATTGAGAGGAAGTATTTGTGGCGAGACTGTACGACCATGGACTCGGCGATGGCGCGGGCTGGACCAGGACCAATGTGGTCGGCAGCGTGGCGTCGCTTGTGATGGATACGAGTGGCGTGGTATTCGCAAATAGAGGGAGACGTTTGGCAAAGCAGTTGAAAGCACGTCGTGTCATCGTTCGATCCAAGCTCAACTTCTTCGAACAGGTAGATGTGGATCGAGACCGAGTATTGGGCAGTGTCGTAGAGGGATTGCAACGTTTGCATGCACTCTTCATTGTCGCGGTAGTGTGTGAGTACGACGCCAATCGAAGGCGATGCACCTTCACCGAAGACAGGTTTGGCCGTTGCTTGATTCCGGCGGAGGTTCTCCAAAATGCTCGTATCGCTCATTTGCGGCATCACAGACGAGAGCTTGATCATTTCAAAGTAGACAATGACGACACCAACCACGCATACTGCCAAGAGTGCTTGAAAATTACTTTTTCGCTGGAGAAACACCATCAAGCCGCTTTCCCCCGCCGCGTTGGGGATGGCGCGATGAGGCATTGCAGGCAGCTTTCACTTGACGCCGTTTCTAGAGCCCATCCATCCGTAATTTGAACCTTTTTATCCGGATGAAATGATGAAACTTGGAACGGAAATCGCACGACGCAGCTCTGACGCGACGAGTCCATGCCAGCCAGCTTGAATGGCGGCTGCTGGCCACCATGAGGTAAACGTCGACCAAGCACCAGCTCATGCAGCCATGTCCCAATCGCAAAGCTGGGATATATTCAGGAGACATATCGGCTGGCAGCCGCATCCTGTTAAGAGGCGACCCTTCTAACCTTAAGCAGTACGACGGAACCCTCGAAATTACCTCGTCAATGACCATAAACACCAGACGGAAACATGCACTTCACATTTTACATGGTTAAATACGAAGGCTGCTCAAAATGCAACGAAGTGGTTTACAACACCGAGTAGACAAGCGCAACCGATGCAGTCAGAGCAACCGACAACGTCGAGGCAGCCGACGTCGTAGGAACGGGCGTGGTGGTGGGGGTCGTGACCTTGGAAGTAGTCTTGGGGGCAGCAGTCGTCGTGATCACTTCTTCTTCAACAGTGGAGTTGGGGTCCACAGTGGCGCGGGGCTTGACGGTCGTGGTCTCAGGAGGAGTTGTCTTCAAAGGATCCACGTTGCATTGCTTGGCATACGGGAGTACGTCGTTGGCAGGGACACGGGTGTCAAAGACGCATCGAGGGTACTTGCCCACCAAGTTCTGGACAGCGACCACACACGACGGCACCGCGCAAATGTCATCGGGACGGCCGTCAAAAATTTGCTTTTGGGCGTCCGAGCGGCACTTGTTGTAGCTTGGGGTGCTCTCGAGCTGGTTAATCTGGCTGATCTCGACCGATGTGCAGAGTGCCTTGATCGTCGTCGGCGCAGGAGTGGGGGCTTTGGTAGTCGTGGCAGTTTGGCCGCTCACGAGGGCGGCGGCGACGCACGCAACGAAATAAACAGCTTTCATGAAGGTGAGCGCTGAATGGGGAATTGGAGAATGGTTTACGTAGGAGAACGGCGGCAATGAACTCGCGATGGGAGTGTATTTTATTATCTTTATATTTGTATGTCCAATGCAAGCGTAGTATTTCAATTATTTCAGCTGGTCAGTCCGGAGAGAGTTTCACACATGTTACTTCGGTCCCTACAGTAACCAATGAGATCGTGTCACCTGTGTCATTTTGAAGCCATTTTCAAGTACTATACAGATAGCAAGATAATTTCGAAAGGCACAATCTGAATTTTAGCCAATCATAAATCTCCACCAACGCGCTCGCCATGGAGCGGCGCAATGCCCCAGCGTTTGACCACAAGACGTCCTTGTCGGTTTAATAGGTTCAACGAATCTAGGTCTATGCAATCGTATGTTGATATATGAGTTTAGCGTGCAGGTTTTATTCCACGTAGTTCCGGATAAGTCTGGACGTTTCTTTGAACATCCATCATGAGCTTCGACGAAGATTGACTGACACCTGGGACCAAGGCTTGCCTGGCATGGAAACAGTGATGGGCTGCTGGTTTTGATGGATCATCCCCGTTGACCAACGGAGATGGAGTTGTGCAGTTGTGTGTCGGTGCAACCGTCCTCAACTTTGCATGTTCACTTCATGCGAATTCGTTTCTTGCAGCCTGCCATCCATCGAACCAACCTGACTGTGAATCGATCTTTTCATGGAGTGAAATCTGGCGCCACAGTGCATGCACGAGCATGAGATCCACTATTTCACACGTTGGTTGCAAGGTCGCATCGAGTTAACAGCACAAACAGATACCCCCGGCCTCAAATTCGCTACAGGTCGGTGCGTAACCTGGCTGCACATTGTAGCTGTCTGAGCGTAAACTGCATATGTATTAGGATTGTTTAGCAGTGTGTACGCGCAAAACTAGGATGAGTTTCAAAGCTCTTTGGAGTCGGTGGTTTTGGCATTTTTACTCGCAAGGTCCATGCGTTCGCTGCAGCAGTACAATGACTACTTGTCAAGGTCAGAGCGCGGAGTTGACGAAACAAGTGCATCGCTCGAGAGCGCTGACGCAGTGTAAGGGCTTGCAGCTTGTATGCACCCATGCCCAAAGCATCCATCCAGATGTATCGCGCATGAACAATGGCTGTCGCGCACGCACACAACGGGCGACGTACACATGAAGGCAATCAGTGTCGACATTAATGGATTTGCGCGTAGGCGTCTGGATCGAGCCATCCGACGTTGATCAAGTGGGTGATAAACGCTTCCTTTTCACGGTCGCTAAAGTTGGCATTGTGGCCGCAGTTGAGAGGGACCAAGAGCCCGATGTCGTGCGATGTCTGGAGCACTCGGGCGGCCATCGACTCTTCCAAGAACTGGACGGTCGATAGAACTGTCGTCACGTCTGCGTCTTGCTGCAAAAACGGAGTTTCGCCCAATATCTACACGAATAGCGCTATCACGCCTCGAGCAAACATGCACGTGGACGCACTCGCAACAGAATCGAGTGGGCTTGCTCGAGCGAGATCGGCGTGACAAAGTCGTCCCGCCTGCGCTCCGTCTTGGTTTCGGGGTGAGCGATCTGGCACTGCGACCGTGATGGACCCCACACTAACAGCGACGCCATCCAAGCTCGAATCGTTTCCAACCCGCCGCCTAGGCACACAATCTTTGGCGCCGCACACAGAAACCATTCGAGTACCTGACGCGTAAAACAAGCATTGGCCACAATGGCCATCGACGGAGGCAATGGCACTCCAGACATCGACGATACGCTTCTCGTCCTTAGTAATAATTGCACTGTCGCCAGCTGTCATAACTAGTCGAGCCCGCTGGGCGATGCGTTCCAAGGCGAGAGCAAAGGCTTCAACGGTGGATTCGCTCAAGGTGGTCCCTGCAGCAATACAATGGGTCGTGATGTTCGTTCAAGCTCGGTGAAAACAATCCTTGTACCTGATGGGACCACAGCGGACGCTTCAACGGTGCTAGCACGATGCATGGAAGAGCATGGCAGCTGCATCCACAAAGGCAGTGTCCGCCGATGTGGAATCGAATCCACGTTTGCGTCACCCAGCTCCAGTCGCAGCGCAATTCCAGCTTTTAGCGACGAACTGTCCGCGATGATCTAGTTCCATGCATCGATCATGAGCCGCAACATGAGGCCACGGCTACCTCATCGCACGGATCACAACAAATCACTTTGTGACAAGGGGCGTCCAAATAGTTGGCCACGTTATCCGTCTGCCACCTCGTCACACACGACAACGCTGTCCCTGCCCACGACGCTGACAACGAAAAAGACGACGGGGTGGCTCAGCACGTTGCACAGCTCCGACAGGAAAGGCGTACCGACCAACCGCTGGGCGACTGCGGGCAAGTTGGCAAACGTCCGGTCAGCCACTAACAATTCAATCCCTGGCGCATTCTTTGCCACATACGTTGCAACCAAGCCCCCAATGGATTCGCCATGCACAGCCAGTCGTGCAATGCCTCGCACGACTCGTAAATGATGGACCATGGCCATGCCGTCCATGTTGTTGACGTGCGGCGACGGATATCCACGACATCGACCTGCACGATCTGTGTTATTCCTTCCGCCAGCAACGGTAGGACGGGGGGGGGGTCGTTACCGTAGCCTCGGTAGTTGAATACACAAACGTTAATGCCGCGACTCGTGTAAAACGGAATCCAGTCCGATTGAAAATGGTGAAATTCGTACAGTCCACAATTTGGGTTGCACAGCACGACTGTCCGTCCAGTGTTGGTGGATTCATTCGACATGCCATGCCCTGGAAGGAACATGGCATCGATGCGGTGGCCGTCTGGCGCTACGACCCACACTTGCCGACCATTCTACCGGTGATCGCATCAGACGAGGGGGGTGCTATGTTGAGACGACTACTCACAAATCGCGCAGCCAAGTCGGCTCGCATGAGGCTCAAGTTGGCCACGATTTGAAGTGGATGCCGAGACTGCCATAGCTCGCTAATCAACCGCAAGAGACCCGTCCGTGGCTAACATCCCGCCGATTGTAACAATGGGAGCCATGGACTTGTTCAACAAGCAATCGTACCGGAGTTGTCGATGGTTCCCCCATATATTCGATGGCACTTCGGAGGTCGTGCACACATGTCTTGAACTCCGTCAAGAGCGTCTGTAGAACCGGTCACTCATTGTGACGCAAGCTAACATGGTCAGGGTACCGCATGGGGAGGGGATTGGAAGGATGGCGCGGTGCCAATTCGAGAGATTACTTGTAGCATGGACGGCTCCAAGTCTTCGGCATAATGTAGAAAAGCCCGGACTCGTGAAAGGACGAGATGCCCGTCGGCAGTTAATGTTTCGTCCTGGCCATACGACAGATAGATTAGCATGCCGACATGGTGCGGGGGAAGCACTTACTTCATCGACGAGCTCCAACGAACGCCCCAAGATTGTCATGATGTTGGTGACGCAGGATCGATATTCGTTTCGAATGGTGACGAGCGACTCGATGCGGGGCTGGTCCCACGTCTCTGTCGTTTCCAGCATCTATTCGTCGAATGCGTCAACATGGACACATTCAATCCAAGGAATCGTACGCTCAGAAGCTCCTCTGTCGTTTCAGCAGTCAATGCCAGCCATCGCTTGCACATTTTGGCGAAATTGCGCTCGCAGTCCCGAGTTACAACGCGGAGATGACCAGGATATGCAATCAAGAGAGCGGCAAAGCGTGCGGCACATACGCCACATGCTACGACCACTGCAAATAGGCCTATCAGATGCACGTCAAGTCACTTGGTCGACAGTTTGCTTCAAACCAGGTTTGGTGATGAGGGACGCAACCCAAGCAAACAATGACCTGATCATTGTACGTCAGTGTGGTGCACGTTGGGAGTAGCAGGAGAAATTTTACCATGCCCCAACAAAGGTTGTATTGGTGACGGCAAACACCACAAACGTACTCGCTGGAAACTGCCACAGGCATGAGGAAGTACTCCAGCGCCAGAGGAATGGAACTAGTACACACCATAACAAGCTGGCGGTATGGATACCATAGCTGCTCAGCCAAACATGTCGGCAGATGTCGCTCTTCCATCTTGATGCCGTCTGTCCCGTTGTAGTCAAGAAGGCTCTTTTCATCATCATCCGAATCGTCATCACTATCCGACGACCTCGACGAGGTCTCAATTTCTGGCTGGGGCTGGTCATGGATTTCAATAAGAACACTGGATGACGTCGGATGCACGAGCTTTCTCATTTCTGGAGGCTCCTTCGGTGCCCCTCCCATCCAGTTGGGCTTGGTGTTGTGCGTGCTGTCGCTCACGGTCGCAACCGCTCCTGCCGCGATGAGGATGAAGCCGAGAATACGCGAGGCGCAACGAGCACATTAAAACCATGCCGTTTGTATCGACACTGTTGTGTATTTTTTTCGTGCACTTGAAAACATATCAAATCAAATCCTCGAGCTCTGATTGGACAGTAAATTCAGAATAATATTTCTCACAGGAAATCCCCAAGGAGTAACATATACGTTGTCAGAAGTATCGAATTTCAAAGGTTATCCTCCACACCAAGCATCCAGAGAAATCGCGCTTGGATTGGCTAAAATTCAGCAAATTCGCCGTGCAATGGCACAAACTTTCGCGAAACGCGGTATCCGACGTCGCGCCGGCGGACGCGAAGTCCCCATCGAACATTCGTCGCTGACGCAGGAGAGCCTCTAGAAGAATGCCATCGAGGAATAAAAGGCGTGGTGGCGACAAGCCAAGTTACAGCATGGACGACAATGAAGCAGGTTCTGCGTTGCAGGAGCGCTCAACGACCAGCCCCATTTTACATCGATCGTTCCCGCGGGAGAAATCGCCCACATCTGCCACTGGACAACCGACTGTCCCATCCATGCCGCTCGCATCACTCGTCCGTCCATCGCTGGGCATTCGCGTGCTTCCGTCATCTGTTGTGGACGCAGCGAACCTGTTCAGTTTCGGTGACATCTACTTATCGGACTTGTCCAACTTGCGGCAATTTGAAATCGTCAATCTACAATCATGCCCAGTCCGTGTGGATATGAAGGCGGACATTCGGAAACCTTTCCTCGCGACGACATGGGGCTTCCAGACGCACAATGAGAACCTCAACCTTCTCCCAATGGATGACTGCGACCTGCATGAGAACGATCCGTTCACGCGATCGCACTCCAAGTCGTCCATTGCGTCGTCCACGACAGACACGACGTATCTAGACGAAGGTTTCAACGAACTCTTCAACCAAATGGGCCTCATCGACTCCCTCGTCCTTCAACCGAACCAAGCGCAGCGCATCATCTTCTCCATGTGCGTCAAATTCGACACGATGCCGTCGCAGACTTCCATGTCGTCCGGGTTGTCCAGCAACCGCCCCACCGACGACTCGTCCGACGATGAAAGACTTCACTTGCACGAAACGTCGTTGATTGCGCTCACGGGGCGGCTGCTGTTCTCCACGACGGTGCTGGATGCCAACAATTCTGGATCTGGCCAAGCTGGAGCACTGCCGACTCGTGCGCCGTCCGCTTCTTTGGCAGAGTCTACCACCACGATTGCCGTGCCGCTCCAAGGCAACGTTTGTCGATCGCTGCTTCGCCTCGACATCAAAGAACTCCACTTTGACGACTGTGTGCCTGGTGGGTCGTACGTCAAGGACTTTACCGTGTGGAATCGATCGGAGATCCCGCTCATCTTCCGCCTCGTCACGTCGTCCGTGACTGCAACGGAGAAGCAGCTCCTGACGTGTTCCGACTACAACACGGGGTACGCGCTGGGGGAAAGCCCGTTTACGGTCGCCGCGTACAGCCACATGCGAATTCGCGTCACATTTCGGCCGATGGAGGTAACTCGCATGACGGTTGTGCTGGTCGCCAAATTTGTCCACAGGTGGGAGAGCAATTTTTTGAAATTCTCGCCCAAAACATGCACAATTCACGCAATGTGAAGACACTCAAAATCCACGCCATTGCGTCCAAGGAGCATCATCGGTGCGTCGCGATCGTTGCATGGCGCGTGCTGACATGAATATGTGCTGCATGCGCAGCGAAGGGCTGTCCATCCGAGACCCGAACGGGTCGTACCTGATGGGCGGTGGCCTGTTGGACTTTGGCGACTGCTACACGGGGTTCCCCACGTCCAAGGTTCTTGTGCTGAAGAACATGACGGAGGTCGCGCTGCACATTGAGCTGTTGAGTGACCGCCCCAAGGAAGTCACGTTCGAGCTGAAACTCGCGCACACGAACCGCCACGCGATGCGGTCGACGCGCTCTCGTATGGGATTTGGTTTGGACGAGCCGTTGAGTCCATCGGAAACGGACCGCCGGCTATCGCTGTCGCCGCCAACGTCGCCGGCCAAGAGCGGAAGTGTCGGGGGCCAGTTGTCCCCTTCGTCCGTGATGCCATCGTCGCCGACCATGGGCGAAGGCGCTTTGGACAGTGACGACGAGCCGGACGAACCAGACGGAGACTTCCACGACGACGAGTCGGTGATGTACACGCCCCGCAAACGCGGATCGTTCGACGATCAGCTGCTAAGTGAAGCGGACGATATTGACGACGACATGGTGTTTGATGGGGACAAAGGAGTGCCTGTACCGGTGGTGGCATCGCCGAAAGACGATGGGAGCATCGTCAAAGCGATAGCCATGTCGACTCGTATCAGGACAAAGCAGCGATCGCTCCGGGCATTGTCGAGGATGAAAGATTTGGTCGAATCTGGCGTCGAAAGGTACGGCCAACTCGATCTCCACTACCGATTCAATTGAATCTTGTTGCAGCAGTGGAGCCAGTGTGTGCTCATCGCCAGAGCGAATGTCCAAGAAAAAGATTCAAAGTGGATCCAGTCGAACGTTGAAAGGTTTGTCGGTGGCGTCGTCGACGGCAGAAGGTGACCACGTCAACAACTATTTGGTCGAAGCACTGGACCTGCCCCCAGGCGTGGAGCGCACCGTGTTGGTTTGGTACTGTCCTCCCTTGAAAGCGATGGACGACGCACTGGACATGAAGTGCTGCCGCCTGACCAAACAAAGCTTTCGGTTGAACTTTCGGTGTTACACGATCGACGGTGGTGGCGCAGGATGGACGGGTGGCGGGGCCACCCAGCGCATGTACGATCGCAGCCTCGGCAAGAGCCTGAACGTCGGCGCCCGCACGTGCACCTCGTACGTCACTCTGTCGCCGTCGACTCTTCACTTGGGCGATTGCAATATTGGCGAGTTCAAGAGCAGTTCGCTGACGCTGACCAACCACTCGGAGCTACCCACGGTCGTCAAGCCGTCCGTCGTGTCCAAGGTGATCTCGACCGTCCCGAACGACGCCATCACCCTCGGGCCGAAACAGTCGATGGAGCTCAAGATTGAGATCATTCCACGCAAAACGAACCCCAACTACTCACGCATCGTGTCGGTCGTGAACTTGAAAAACAAAGCCAACGTTGCCACCGTGTGCGTCCGGTCGAGCAACATGGACGCGCACCACGTGATCTACCACTCACTCTTTTACAAGCTCGTGACGCCGTCCAAGTCGGCATTTCTCAACTTTGAGCACGTCGCTGCCAACTCGATGGGCATGAAGGTCTTCATGCTTGAAAACATAACCCACGCCCCGCTTCGTCTGCGGATTCAGTCGAGCGACCTGTCCCGTCTCCAGCTCTACTGTGTAGCTGACGCCACGACCAAGTTGTCGACGACGCCGACGACTCTTGTGTCCCCTCCGTCGATGATCAACCTTCCACCCGCGGGCAAGGACGTGCGGGGAAAATTGCCACTCCGGCGTCGTCGCTCCATTGGCTGCGTGTCGGAACTCGTCCCGAAGCCAAAACCAGCAATGTCGTCCACGCGCCTTGTCGATATTCTCAAGCGAAAGGGATCCAAACCGTTGCTGGTGGACGAGCTCTTCGCGCCTCTGTCGAGTGGACAGCCTGCCGGCGCGGCCTTGAGCACATCTGGACCATCGACTGGTGCGACTCCAGTCAAGCGAGAGATCGAATACGTGGACGGCGTGATCGTGCCCAGTGACATGCATGAGGTTCTCGGCCTTTTCGAGACCAATTGGCGTTGGGACCATGAAGATGAAGTGGTGACGATGGTGCGCGAGCGCGTCCGGCGCTTCCACGCCCTTGTGCAGGAGAAACAGATTGTGCCGATATCGACCGCCACCGAATGGAACTTGCGCATTCCCCCCAAGCGATCGTTCCCGATCCTCGCCGTCTTCACGCCAAAAATTGGCGATGTCGTCGAAGACAAGACCCGCGTCGAAAAATTCAAAGTCTACATCACGCTCCCCGCGGGTGGCAACAAACCGATTGGGAAACTCAACCACGACGCGTACGTGCACCACCCGTTCGACACGCGACCGTCGGTCCGAGAGCTCCTCCTCAAGTCCCGCGTGTGCCGCAGCGTCCTAAACGTGAACCAGAAGAACATCAACTTTGGCCGAATCACGACGTTCTCGAAGAGTTCCAAGAAGGTTTTGATTCACAACGGGTCGGCGATTCCGTTGATCTATATGGTCGAAAAGACTGGGTCGATTTCGTCCGGATTCGTTGAAATCAAGGACGGCGCCCATGGCGTGATCAAGCCGTTCGGCACGCGCCAAGTCCACTTTGAATTCCAACCGACACTCGCTGGCCCGTTTGAAGAAAAACTCAAGATCGTCAACGTCCAGGACGTGGATAACTCGGTCTACATCACGATCAAGGCCAAAGTCGTGAAGCGGGAAACGTTCAAGCTGCCGCAAGCGGGCCAGCCCATTAACGTGGGCACGTGCTTGGTTGGCGAAAAGAGTGAAGTGTTCAAAGTCACGATCCGTAACATGAGTCGCAAGAAGCGCGAGTACGTGATTGAAGTCGATCTGGCCGCAGGGTTCTCGGCGCCGTCGCTTCGCCCGACATTCCAGTTCTCCATGGATGACGTCCCGGCGGCCAATATCACGCAAGCCCAAGAGAAGAAGCTCGACGAAGAACTCGAGAAGCTCGAACACAAGCTTCGCATTGCCGTGACGAAGAAAAAGGACGACAAGATCGACAAACTCAATTCCAAGATCACCCATGTCAAGGCTTTGCTGAGTGGCGAAGAGGTCGCCGCTCCCGTCGCGCCCAAAGGCTTGCTGGCCCCCGCCGCCGGTGCTGCATCGCTGTCCTCGTACGACAGTGGCAACAGCGACACCGAGAGTGAAACTGAATCCAAATACAACGCGAGGCGCAACAGCCGCAACAAAACGATGGCGCTGCATGCCGCGGCTGCGACGCAGCCCAATATTTTGCACTTTACGTTGGAACCCGAAGCGACGGGTCGCATTGTCGGCGAAGTGATATTTCAGCAAGTTGCTGACCTCGCGACTCCGACTACCCATGCCCCAAAACCAAACATTCGCCATCGCGGACAGCGCCGCAAGGGCAAGGCGGGGGCGTCTTCCGCACTTGGGGCTGTTCCAGTGTTTGGTCACGGCAAATTTCTCTTTTACGAACAACAGAACAAAGACGTGATGAAGGAACTCCAGTACAAAGCGGACGTGTTCCTGCGGACGCCAGCAGGGGAGGCGGCATACTGCCGCACGACCAACAAGGCTCTTCTGCCACCCATGCCGTCGTCGCTGAAGCAGAAACCATGCCACCACGAGTTGAGCGTGGAGCTCAAGGGCGATCAACTCGGAAGCACGAGAGGGAACATGCTGCTGCTGCCAGTCGACGAAGCGCCTTGTGACACACCTGGATGGAACGCCCACCTCCGCGTTCGAGAGCCCATGCAAGTCGAGCTTCGTTGGGTCGCCACAGACGTGATCCAGGACTTGATTGTGTTCTCGGTGCAGGTGGCGGACCAAGAAGGACTTCAGCCGCATCAAGCGTCCTCGCCAACGTTGCTGCCGATCACGCTGATGTTGGCGCCAGACTCGACTGTGACCGTGATGTTTAAGTGGTCGTTTTCAGCAAAGTCGGGACAAGTTTCCAGCGCACCACTTGGTCAAGTCCTTCCACTCGACGTGCTTAGCATGAACCCGAACGCTGACGTACCAGCCGGCCAACTCGTCTTTTCTAGCACGGGCTCGAATGGGAGGGCTGTTGTGTCGTCAGCTCTGGACGTGGCCATCGTGAAATCCAAGCCGCGGTCGCTCCACGTCGACTCGGACCGCATCGACTTGGGCGAACTGCAGCTTGGCACCCAAACCGCGTCGCACTTTTACATTTGCAACGTGTCCAAGCACGCAATCAAGTTTTTGATCCTCGTGAGCTCGGAGGACCCAAGCCAACTCGCGATCGACAACCCAACCGGTCGCATCGAAGCGGGCGGGAAAACCATGATCAGGTTTACGTACACCGGCATCGTGTCGGGCAAACGATCCGAACACATCCTCGTGCGCAACTTGAGCGACAAGCTCGACTTCACCACGCTCAGCGTCGTCGTGCGCGTGACTCGGCCCGTGTACGTCCGCATTCCCGAGCTCGATCCGCACATGACGGGTCAACTCCTCGATCTAAACATTGGGCCGTGCTACGTCACGTCCGGCGATGAAGGCGAGAACAACAGTAAGTTTAGCAAAGTCCGCAAGCTCACGTTGGACTCGCAAGTGACCGAAACGTTGCTCCTGAGCGCGTCGTCCAATTTGAAGACGCAGTGCTACGTGTACCAAGACGCAGCTCTCCAGCACGAAGCCACCAACATTATCCTGCCTGGCATGGAGAGTTTGGACCTGTTCATTGCGTTCAGGCCACGACTTCCGGCGGACTCGTTCAAGACGGGGATCGCGCGCAACCTCGTCGGGGGCATCCGCATTCAGCTCCACCGCGACAAGGAAGACGAGCGCACGCTGGCCGCGGAATTCACGGTCAAATTTGTCGGCGTCGCCGGCGCGAGCTTGGCGAGCGTGTCGTCGCGGCTGCTCGATTTCGGGACCGAAACGAACGTGGGTCGCCTCACGCGTTGCAAGGTTCACGAAGGCAAGTTTGACCTTGTGAATTTGAGCAAGTCCCTGCCGTTGCGGTACCGTCTGCGTGTGACCCAAGGCGACGAGTACTCGGACGACGACGGAAGCCTGCGGGTGGCGCTACGCCACGAAAAGGGCGACATTCCTCCGGGCGAGAGCAGCGAAATCGACTTTGGCGTGATGGCGTACACCCACGGGTACTTTCGGCGCCGCATCGTCGTCGAAAATGTGTTCAATCCGATGAACGTCAATATGGTGGACGTCGTGCTGTTTGTCGACAACGGCACCGTCTCGATCAAGACTGCGTCCGGCGGCGGCCTAGTCGACTTTGGCGACCTGCCCCTCGTCCGCGCGGACAATCTGTTTGGCCCGCCGGCTCCGTCAACGTCGTTGGCAGAGGCGCACACCACGACCCGACGGCGGTATCGAATTTACCTTCACACGCCGCTCACCCGCACGATATCCGTGACAAATCGATCCGTGGCCGTCCTTCGATTGCGACCTTTGAGCAACCTCCCACTCCAGTTTGTGTGGCAGGGGAATTCAACCGACTGGCAGCCCTTTGCAAGGACCATTGACGGCCACAACGCCCGTGAGTTGAACGCCTCCGCGTTGTCCACCTCGGACGTCGTGATGCCAGCCACCAGTACTGACCACGCGAACCACCACATGCTCTACTTTGGGGACGTTGGCACGTGCCCGCCCCAGTCGACAACGGATCTCACTGTGTCGTTTGCGCCCGTCGCAAGCTCTCCGTCGTTGCCGCTCGATGTGATCGAGGCAGGTCACAACATTCCTGCCCATGGGTTCGTGGCGCTGCAGAGTTTCCAAGACCAGGACGAGTGCGGGACTGCCGAAGCGACGACGTTAGGACTTGTCCACGTGTCGGGCACGTTTGGCGAGTCCAACTTGTCGGTTCCGACGCGGACGGTGTTGCTGGGAAAGCTTGGATATGGCCAGCCCAAGACGTTTGAAGTGGAAGTGAAAAACTTGTCGGAGATGCCAGGGCTGTTTTACGTGGGCGCGTTGCCGCCTTGCTTCCGCTTGGTGGACATCCGCGAAGCAACCGCGCGGGCATTTCAGCCTCGGCCACAACACGACGCAGCGTGGGCAAGTTCTGGATCGACTTGTATTCCACCGCTGAAGCAGTTGGCACAACGCGTGTGTGCCCCGATTGCATGGGAACTGGACGGCTACGACACTGCGACCCTCGAAATCGAGTGTTTCCCAGAGGTATGCTTTTCTCGTTGCTATCTTGTCCAAACCATGACGGGCTACTGTAGTGCCTGACGGCCGGCAAGCACGAGCTCAGTTTTACAATTGCAAACGTAAACAATCCCCACAACGTCGAGCGCGTCGTCACCCAGCTGCATGTGATTGCCAAGTACATTGACGTGTCGTTGGAGCCGAGTGGGGTGAACCCGTCCAAACCGATGGAAACGTGCGTCGGGTACTTCGAGCCGCTGGTCGTGCCGTCCACGTCGTCGGTCGGGCTGCTCTGCACCCTCGTCAACGTGTTTGACGAGAGCGTCGACATTCACCTGCAATGCAACACGCTTGCCGACTTGGAGCAGTACAATGCTCTTCTTTGCACAATAGTCACTGACGGTGGGCCCTCCCTAGACTCTTGGACCTGGAAATCGTGTCGCGGTCATCCAAGACCCCTGTGACGTCTCTAACCCTGGCGCCGGCGGAGCGCGTCGACGTCCGCATTACCTGTCGACTCGTGCAAGCGTCCCGAGTGGCGACCTTGCCCTTTTCCACGATGAAAGGCAGCGACGGTGGCGCGTCTACAACGAACCGGTTCGACGACGCCGTGCCGTTGGGGGTGGTGTTGATACGAGCGTGCTGCTCTGACGTGGTCCTGTCGTGTTCGGAGCGCATTGAAGTCTATGGGAGCTTTGTCCTGGGCCAAACATTTACCGTGTCGACGGCATCGCTGTCGTTTCAAGCGAGTGCGGTACACCACGAGATGTCCCGCGTGTACCGAGTTCATTCCGACGACAAGAGCGCGTTCACGATCTACAACCCGTCGACGAAGGCACCGCTCGTGTTTTCGATCGAATCGACGCCCAAGCGATTTTCCACGAGTCGGTTCTTGCTCGCAAAGGACAGCCCCGACATCATCACGGATGTTCTCGTGGGCAAATGCACCCCGGACCACGGCTGCCTGCCTCCTGGTGAATCGTTGCAAGTCACGGTCGAGTTGGAGAGCGCGCCGCCCGCGCTTTCGTCCACCAAAAGCGGTGACGTCAAAATCATGCAAGTGATTGTACGAGACAACGATCAGTCCCATGCCACGATCGATCTCGTGGTGAACTTGGACGATACTCAGCCGTTGGAGTCGGACGCCCCTCGCTTCGGCGCTGTCGCGATCAACTCGACGGCGTCGTCGATGCCATCCGCGCACAAGCGACGTCCGTCGGGACTGGTGTTGTCGAGCACCTCCTCGGCCGTTGGCGACTTGATGTCGTCGATGGCGCCGCCGTCGTCTGGTTTGTCCAAACCATCTGCCGCCAAATGTTCTCCTGCCGTCCTGCCTAGTGAAGCGTCGTTTGAGTGCACCACGGACGACGAGGAAGCGTCCCCAGACCCATCGTCAGTGGCCACGTCCCCATCGTACGACAAGAAAGCATCCGACTTGATTACCCTGCGGGGGTGCACGCCGGCCGAGAACTCAACGCTGGACAACGCTTTGTACGTGATTGACGTGGGCCAGCACACTGTGCGCAGTGGCGGCGACGTCGAGTGGGAAATCTCGCTCCACGTCGAGCGCGAGGTCGAGTACCGATTGTACTTGGCCGATTCAAATGCAAAGGCGTGGCTCCACCTGAGCCGCACCCACGGGACAGTGGTCAACTTTCAAACGATCGTGCTGCGGTTCGTCCGCGACGTGGTCGGCGTCTTTTCAACGTTTGTCGTGCTTGAAAATTGCACCAACCCCACCGATTTGAAGCTCATTCGCGTCAAATTGGAAGTCATCGCAGACTTGAATGCGCTGCGCGCCATGTCCAAGGACAAAGCGGCCGACAACCTCTTCCGCGTGCTCGTGTCGTGCTACTCGAGCTCCAAGCGGCAGCGACGAAAGTCGAGCGAAGACCTCCTCGGCGGCGACAACGCGTCCGGCAAGCTCGAAATCGAATACGGCGACGTTTTTTACGACAAGCTGTACCACAACCACTCGCTGGTGCTGGAAAACTTTAGCAGCCTCTCGCTCGACTTTATGCTGAGCAGCAACGGCCGCGCCCACGAAGTCGGGTTCTCGATGTCTCCCAACTCGTTCAACGAAATTTCATCGGTCACGTTGGCCGCGTACGCTCGCCTCCAAGTATTTCTCAACTTTCGGCCGGCACCACGGACACAAACCCCGGAAGCGCCTTCGATCAGCTGGGTGCGCAACATCGAAGTTTACATCAACTGCCGCCTCGTCAAGGATTTCCGCGAGACGGTGTTCCTGAAGGCCATCTGCAACTACCCCCAAGTAAACCTCCACATCGCACGGACGCAACCCACGGTGGGCCATGCCGCTAGCTACCACGAACCTGCCGCGCCGTACTTTCCGTCGCAGCCGACGTTCTTGGGGATGGGCTTCATGGCCCCTGAAAGCGTCCTCGTTGGCGACGGCTGTGCAATCGAGCCCAAGTTCCTCGTGATGAAGAATGCGCGACAGCATGCCAACGCACACGTGGCGATCCGCAACGACAGCATGTTTTTTGAAGTTGTGGTGCACCACATCTTCCGCGCTGCGACTGGCGCGCCCGACCCTGGCCACCACCACGCTTCGACCGGGATGGTCAAGCTCGAGCCGAGCGACATTGCCGTGTTCAAGATCCGTCCCAACTTGGAACTTCTGCGCAAGAATCGGCAGCAGTGGGAACATAGCGTGAAGGAGCACATTGCGTTCTACAACATGAAGCAGTTCGCCGAACACTACCACGTGTCGCTGAGCTTCACCCCGAGCAACACGTCGAGCTTTTACGTGGCGCCGCAGCTGCGCGAAGCGTATCCATTCTCGACGCTGGAAGACACGATTGCCAAGTTTCTACGCCAGTACAGCGGATTCTGGAAGTGGTTGGCGACGGCATTGACTGCCCAACATGCGTCGTCCATGCTGTTCGATCTCGAAAACGCAATCGACCATGTCCTGCCCGTGAGCCCGCGGCACCACCCAACCACCCACGAAAACTTGACCTTTCACGACAACTTTGCCCATGCCTACCGGGCCCTCTACTTTGACTTCTACTACATCACGGACGAATTGATTTGGTATGGGATCCGAAGCAGCGCCGGTCGGCATGCGATCACCCTGGCGGATTTGGTTTACGGCGTCGTGTTCGGCCACGAAGTGTTTGGAGCCATCTTCAATCGTCTCCGCGTCGATGTGGTGGCGCCAACAACCGTCGCCTTTGCCAACCAGCGCCTCGACATGCGGCGACTCCTGCTGCCATGGACGCGTCAGCTCGGCTACTTTTTGAGCTTCTTCCCGGAAACTCAAGAGGCCACGCTCGCGCTGCGGCAGATGTACGAGCCTCTCAAGCACTTCGACATACATAGGTAGTGTCCGGTGACGGTGAAAGGAGTCGACTCGACTGCTCTGTCGGATGAATACACAGAACTCTTAACGTATCAATTAACCAGGAGTTCGCACATTAGCCCCAGTCTGCGAGGCCATAGTGCGAGAATACGTGCGGTGGCGCTGGCACCATGGAGGGAGGGAGAGGTAGCGGGTGGGTGGACGCATCATCCGAGTTGACGGCGGTCCAGGGCATGGATGCGACTGTGGAGGGTGGTCGTTGGAAACGATCATACCATTCTTTCACCTTCATCTTGTGCATGCGACCGCGCGTGTGCCGCCGACGCGACTCAGTCGTGTCCGTGAACGACTTGTGGCAGTACTCGCATGTGTACCTCAATTGGCCCATCGGGATGCAGAATCCAACGGTTCGGATAATTGGAAGGGATTATCCGGAGAGATTTTGCAAGTGGAAACGTAGGATGGACGTCCAAAAGTGTCTGGACATCTTGAGCGCGCGCGTGGAGACAAAGCACACGCACGAAGGTGACGACGAACACCACCACACTGCATGTGTCGAAGAGAATGCAAGCCGATGCTTGGATCTTAAAGTTGACGACGCGCTGAACCCAGCGTTAGAACCAGAGCTGGAGACGATGAGTGTCCGTGAACTCGTCACGACTTTCCGCTCTTGCCAAGAACAACGCGTGCACGTCTACCAGCAGTTTGAAAAGTACGCACCTTCCTCGTTCATGTGTGAATTTCGTCGGTGGATGGTGACTTTGTCATAGGGGCTTCCTGGAGCACATGTTCACGGACTCACTTCCGCAATTTTGTACGTTGCCCTTCGTTGGATGACAAGGCATTCATTGCACGCTCGATCATCACAATAGCACAAAACATTACCAAGCAATTTGCATCAATCAGCAACCAGATCAATGCGATCGAGGTACGAAATGACACGTGACGACTCTCTCAGATATCCTTCATGTTGCAGAGTTCCCTTCGCACGAGGCAAGTTCCGTTGTCGATTCCATCCATCATGCGCAAAGTCCAAGGCGAAGAAAAGGAAAAGCTTCTTCTGGTAAACTTTGGCCTCGTTCATGTGCATGACAGGATCGAATCGTTAGACATCTGCGTTGTTGTTGGAGAAGATGCGACTGAAGCGCCAAGTCAGCACCAACCCAGACGACTCGTCTGTCTCCCTCTTTGAATCGTCTATTGAGTCAATGCAATCGACCCACACGGCCATCATCGAGCGCATCAACGACCTCCTCACCGACCTGCTCTACGAGGTACCATGCGCTCGCTGTTTGCCAGATTACGGCACCTCCTCAACGCACTTGCAGATGGAAGACTTTCAGGACTGATCGTAGCGATTCGGCTCTTTTCAAGTGGGACGGTGCTGGCATTCATGATCGCATTCCCGGGCTGTACATCGACCCTTTGTCATGACACTCACCCTTCCAAACAAATGCAAACTCTTGTTCACGAAATGCACATGCCTTGTGCTTGGATTTGCTGTAAGCACAACGTGGTTTAGCCAAAATCGCGAAGCTTTCGGCGCCGCGGGTGAAAGGAAAGGAAAGGGCCAACTCCAAAGGCTCAATTGTGTGGCTCCAGTCGAAGCCAAAAGCGCTCAAGGCGACCAAAGGGTGTGTTTCGACCTGGATGCACAACCAAAAGGTATCTAGTGTATTATCTAAAGCGTCTTCTTCACCGAGTTAGCACGTTCGCGCAGCGTAAAGATTTCCGCGTTGTCCGGCACGATGCCATAGTGTACGAACAAATCGAGCGTCTTGAAGAACGCGGGCACGATCGGTTCGTTGCTGACACGGACGAGGTGCGGGAAGGCCTTGCGAAAGTGGCTTGTTGCGTCATTGAGCTTGTAGTGCGGGATGATCGGGAACAAGTGGTGGACTTGATGCGTCCCAATGTTGTGGCTCAGCTCGTCGACGAGCCAGCCGTAGCTGCGGTCGACGCTCGACAGGTTGCCCTTGACGTACGTCCACGACGAGTCGCCGTACCAAGGCGTGTTTTCATCATTGTGGTGCAAAAAGGTCGTGACGACCAGAAACGAGGCAAACACAAACAGAGGCGCAAAGTAGTACAGAGCCATCGTTTTGATGCCCAAGGTGAGGGTCAGGTACCCAACGATCGCGACCCCCGACAGCCAGAACCCGAGCGACACGATCACAGCGGCCGTCCGACGGACGAGGAGCGGGTCCCACTAGGCATTGAACACCCATAAGTTTCAAGCGCTTAGGTTCGTGATGAAGGCAAAAAACGTACAGGGTTGAAGTGGTTCATGGTGCGCGGCACGTAGCCTTGCTTGAGGTAGATGAACCAGGACAGACCGAGTGTGTACACAATCTTGCGGGTCATGGGGTACTCGTCCTTTTCGCGTTGCGGGTAAAACACTTCGTCCTTGTCCACGTTGCCCGTGTTTTTGTGGTGGTGGCGATGGGTGATGCGCCAGCTCTCGAATGGAGTCAAGATCGCAGAGTGCATGATGCAGCCCACAATAAAGTTGAGGTTGTGGTATCGAGAAAACGAGCTGTGTCCGCAGTCGTGGCCAATGGTGAACACGCCCCAGAACACCACGCCTTGCACGTACACGTACGCAAGGGATATCAGGAGGTCTAGCACCATCCAGTCGGCGACGGCAGCGCGGGCATGAGTGAGTCCCGTCATCAACGCAGCAGTCAATGCTACTGATCGAAAAACGTAGTAGAGTGAAATGGTAGCATCCGACTCAAAGCACGAATTCGGAATCGAATGCTTGAGTTCCGTCAAGGTCGGGAACTCGACATCGGCCGCAGGAGCCGCTGCTCCGGAGGTTGCCTTGGGCGACGGCATCGCAGAATGCCCGTCGCCACCCAACTCATTGGATTTCTGTGCCAACAATTGAATGGTCCAATTTGTTTGAATAAATATATTCATTCTGACGAATCCAAGCGTATACACATCAACGTGCAGTTTAAATTTAATCTCGTCATTTTTATTTGCACCGTGGACAATGTATAACCAGAGTACATGACGTTTCGCTCCCAATCCAATGACGTCGGTTCACGCATAGAAAAAGTAGAATTAAAATATCAGACGTCATGAATGCAATTTTATTAGAATATCGTCTGTTCGTTGAAAACCACACTTACCGCCGTGGACCGAGCCAAGTGCGCACCTGGACTCCTGCCGCCACTACTTTCAGAACACAGGTAAACGTATTGCGTACGTTCATGCAATCCACTGGAGCCCTTGCGAGTCCTCTTGCCTTCGTCAACACCTACGAAGCTCACCAACGTGACATGTTAGAGAAGGAACAAACTGCACAAAAAAAAGCGTGGTGAACAGCGCAACGTATTGTATACAAGTACGCGAGAAATCTCCATGTTGTGTGTTGTGCTACGAGCACCTCTTAGTGCCAAGGTGACATGTAACCCGTGCTCCAACCAGCCACAACATATCTCAACATTTCTCATGATTTTCCCAGCTCGTCGAGGGATCTATTTTATCCGGATATGTCGGGAAACCAACAATATGGAGTACCTGTATATATTAATAACCCTTTTGAATAAGTAGTGTCTTCTGATGTAAACCTCCATAACGGCATTTCGATTCTTCCATCGACAGCCTCCCCGACACACAACGACATGCTCGACCACGTGTCCATCTTCAGCCAAAGCGGCACTGTCCTGTGGTCGCGCTCGATGTGCAAGCTTCGCGGCAATCCTGTTGACCATTTGGTCAAGACTGTGCTATTGGAAGAGCGTCTTGGACGCAAAGAGTTCAACTATGAATCGTACCAGATGCGTTGGAGCTTGGAGAACAAGCTCCAGCTCGTGCTCGTCGTCGTGTATCAAAAAGTTCTCCAGCTTTTGTATGTGGATGAGCTCCTCGAGCGTCTCAAGCGGGAAGTTGTGGCGCATTTTGCCGATGACATTCGCACGCGTAAGGCATTCGCCTCGTTCGACAAAACGTTCGACCGAATCCTCCGCGATGTCGAGTCGGGACACTTGAAAACGAAACGCCCTATCACGGCTCATGCTCCCGCCGTCGTCTCGTCCACCGAGATTGACCTCACGCGCAGCGCGCAAGATGACGGAAACGGTGACGGCGAGTTGGAGAAACTCAAGCATGACCTCAAACTGGTCGGAAGCAGCGGGTCCAAGCAACCTCGAACTATGCGCACCGGTCCACGCGCAGGAAAGAAGAAGGGGAGCAAGAAGGACGCAGAAGGTACACTCGTTCCGTGCGTTCACCAGAATGGATGACGCAGACATGGCCATCTGTCGTCAGAATCCACGCAACCCAAAGGAGGCAAGGCGCGAACAGTGTGGCACGACCCCCGAAAGACTGTTTCGTCCAAGGAAATGGCCGAACTTGATCGATCGCGCTCGGTGCGTCCGTCCTGGCCATCCCATACTCGTGCTCACCCGACGCGTTAGCTAAATAGTGAGGAAGAAGAGGCTTCGCTGGCCCAACGCCGCAACGAGTTGATTGGTGTAAGCTGCTACCGAGTCCTTCTCTATCGCTTGACATGCCATTGCCATGTAGGAGGGCGGCGTCGACGACGGCGACGAGTCGGACGATGAGCAGAGCGACACGTCCAACGTGTCCGGGAGTGACTCGGACGCCGGGGCGACCGGTTGGAGCTTTGGCAAGACACGGTTTGGAGACTTTTTGCAGTCCATTTCCGGCAACAAGGTATTCCATGACTGCACGAGGGACGGTTGGCCATTCGCGTCCTTACCCTGGAGCAGATTTTGGATCGCGAGGACGTGGCCCCCATCGTGGAGCAGTTCCGTCAGCAGGTACAGTTGTCCATCGGTGTGTGCCGCCACAGATCTGACCGTTTGACCACTCCACATTGAGTAGTTGATCAGCAAGAACGTCGCAACGGAGGTGGCGCAAGAGTTGTGCGAATCCGTCATCTCGACAATGGTCGGCCAACGCCTCGAAAGCTTTACACGGTGCGACAAATACCCTTGTCCATGGCGACTCTGACTCGATACAGCATTCAAACGGTGGTGCAAAAAGCACTAGAAGCCGCGCTGTTGCGCATCCTGACGCCGAAGAAGTCGACGGATGTGCTGCGCGAAGTCCTGGCAGCGCGCGACCAAGGCCGGTGCTTCAGCATCGTCTTCGTGGGTGTCAACGGCGTTGGCAAGTCGACCAGTTTGTCGAAAGTGTGCTATTACCTCAAATCGCGAGGCGTCAAGGTACGTTGAAAGGATCGCACGACTGATTGACCGGAATTTTCCAGATTATGATTGCCGCGTGCGACACATTTCGATCGGGGGCCGTCGAGCAGCTGAACCAGCATTGCAAGGTCTTGGATGTGCCGCTGTTTGAGCGAGGTGCGGCGATTGGAGGCGGCCGAGTATGACGGTTTAGCGTGTAGGATACGCCAAGGACCCTGCGTCGGTGGCGAAGGATGCGATCGCGTACGGCAACGACAACGGGTTTGACTGCGTCTTAATTGACACGGCCGGCCGCATGCAAAACAACGAACCGCTCATGCGTGCACTGGCAAAGCTCGTGTCCGTGAACAACCCTGATCTTGTCCTCTTTGTGGGGGAAGCGCTTGTGGGCAACGACGGGATCGACCAGCTCTCGCTCTTCGATCGGGTTTGTTTGGTTCCTCGCGTTATTAAGATGGGCGAAGTGTTGACATCCGAATGCGCAGGCGCTGGTCGACTACTCGGACCGCCAAGTGCCGCGTCGTGTCGACGGCATCGTCATTACGAAATTTGACACGATCGATGACAAAGGTATATGTGCAAGATGCGCGGAGAGGGACTCATCCTGTGTAGTTGGCGCGGCCGTGTCCATGGTATACAAGACGGGGCAGCCCATCATGTTTGTCGGGACAGGGCAGAAGTACACGCACCTCGCCAAGCTCAACGTCAAGACTGTGCTGCGAAGTCTTCTCAACTAAGCGCGTGAATGAACTCTAGTCGTGCATCCGCCATGCCAATCCCCGCATCGATCGTTCCATCCTTCAGAGCTTGGTGCCGCCCAACACAGTTGTTGCGCATCCGGATGCTCCGACTATCCGATTACATGCATCGAAGTTCGAAGTATCGAATAAATGCCTCCGAACGATCTGTGATTGGTGGACTTCTGTCCAATCCAAGCGCATCTTCGCCCAACGCGGCGAACGTAAGCATGGGCTCCATTCGAGAAGACGTCGTGGCGCCGATGGAGGGCGTGGCAGTCGACGACATATATGCTGTCGAGCTCGACGGCCTGAACTTACTGAACGATATCGAGCTGCACTCGATACTGGACCCACTTGGAGGCCAGGAGGATGAATCGCTAGTTGAAGAAAGAATCGATGATCGTGCTGGTCGACCACCGTCGGTGCCACACCATCGGCAGCAACGGGTGTCCCGTGTTGCGACGCAGGAGACGCCGGTGATCGATCTGACCAGTGACGACATGGACGACGATGCCCCTGTTATCGTGGCCACGCTTTACCCCAATCCTACGTTAAGCGCCACGGCGAAGAGACACATGTGCAAGAAGCGAAAGCTCCCCATGCAAGGACATCGAAGTCACGGGAATGGACGGCCCGCACGACATGTCCGCTACGATCCCGAGCACATCCGATCGGCAGAATGCACGCAAGTGTGCTTGGACAACCAAGTCGCCCTCGAAATGTACAGGAAGGCAACGACGTGTGCCATATGCCTCGACACCCTGCGGGACTTGACGTCGACGTCGTGCGGCCATATATTCTGCCGCGAATGCATCACACAAGCGGTGTTCGCGTCCCAGAAGTGTCCAATGTGTCAGACGCCGAACGAGCCCCACGACATCCATCCCCTTTACCTTTAATATTGATTGCACCACGATCTCGCTTCTTCTTACGATTTTATCCTGCGACGGGGGTGGCCGGCGCTTCAGGCACGAAGAGAGAGCTGTAAAAGTCGCCGGGGAGCATTGGATCCATATGCTGCTTCGCGATGGCCGTGATGAGCTTGGTCCGCTTCTCCTGTGGTCTACAACATGGACGTCATCAGTGTATTACGGTCGACTGGGCTATCGTACCGAATCGGCGACTGCGACGACAGTCCGAGAGAGTGCTTGTACCGCAAGTGCAGTCGATGGACGTGCATGGCATTGAGCGCCGTCTGCCGGATCAACGGGCCAAGCCATTCGCTGCCTACGACCATGCCATCCTGCGGGCCACCACCATGCAACCTTTACCCTCCACACCAAAGAGAGAAATTGTACCTGCAAGGGACCCAAGACGCGGCCGCTGAACGTGTCGTCGGCATCTGTGGCACCATCTACCATCAAGCGTCATGGACATGGGACGGTTTCGAGAAGGCGCTTCACCTCCTTTGGACAAGTCAAAGGCCGACCCGTCGACGCAAATACGGACGCAAAAGAGCCCGTCGTCCAGCGGATCAATTACAATGCACACACTGGCTTTCGGATGCGGAAGGTTGTACGCAGAAGCCCATAGCGCCGTGCCTGGGCGGTAGTTTTGCTGGCACTCGTTCCATACAATCAAGACCTCGGCCTTGTCCAGCACCAATCCGTGTGCGGGTGCCAGCGTTGGGACGTAGAACGCCACTTCGTAGTTGTGCTGGGCATACACGAGCGCGGGGGTGCGAGGGCTGCTTCGGTCAAGGTAGCCGAGGAAGCCACCGTACGAGTGCGCGTCCACAGCGGTGCCCATGGTCGTGACAAAGGCGAGGTAGGCTGACGAGCACGCCGACGAACTGGCGGTGGTTGCTGACACGACCTCGACTACGTCGTAGCCGGCGCGAGACGGCTGGTTCACCACATATGCAATCCCAATCTAATTGGAAACAATGGAGTGACGGCCCCGCGAACAGTACGTCAAGGGGTGGACGGACCTCGTACGTTTCACGCGTCGGTAAACGATCGAGAGCCTGTAGGTCCTGCTGTAGCTGCGCGGACGGGGCCAGCGGCAGCAACGACCCCCAACTAGCAACGGACAAAAATCCCAGTTGAGAGAGCAGACGGCGGGCGATGTGGGTGGTGGACGGGGCCGAAACTGGTGCCTCCAGCAAGTTGACGGTGGCGACGCGTCGATTTTGAGCAAAGTCAGTCGCTTGCGCCTGCAGGAGCGTTTCAAAGAGAGTCACTTGGGCTTCATGACGCTTGGCGGACGAGTCGGAATGCTTTCCGCCCGTGTTGCCCTCCCAGCCATCCGACTTCCAGCTCGTTAGAGACGCCGCGTTCTTGCGAAGGGAGCGGAGAAGTGGGTCGGACGGAGGCGGGTTCAAGCCTGCCTCCAGCGTCGTGGAAGCTGTCGACGAGGTCGTGGCCACAGTGGAAGACTCCTGGGGGAGGGATGGTGCAGTGGTGGCGGGGGCAGGCGGCGCAGACAGCGAGGCGAATTTCGACGGGAAGTATTGCGGGTGTGTGCGCCACTGGTAGCACCCCGACGAGTCGCGCAACGTCACGTGGACGTAATCCCGCGTCTCCAATATGGACACCACCGTGTGCAAGTTCCACGTGTAATGGGTCGTGGCTGGGTTATAAATCTACAAAGCAAACAAACTCATGAGGGGACCAAACGACTTGAAACGACACGGACTTGTTTGACGCCATCGTGGCTGCCATGAGCATGGTGCTTAACGAGGTATTCGAGCAAATGCTGAGCGCTTAGACGGGTTGCCAAGTCGGCATCGGGCGTCGTGGGGGGGAAGTCCAAGTGAAAATCGGCAGCGTCGACGGTCGTTGCGATGACTTTGACCATGATCTGGGCCTTGGACAGCAGCTGCGGCGTCGTGACGACCCATTCTAGCAGACACGATGTGGCTGACGCAATGAGCTGGTCCAGGTATGGAGGCGGCGTGCGCGACGATCGCAGCATTTGGGCATTCGTCGCCATAAACTCGCACACGCAGCTTATCAAAAACACACACGACGAAAACACGTGCTTGTACAGGTGCTCGCTGACGATCGTGAGGTACCGAAGGCACTCGAGGGCGGTGAAGATGACGGCGGGTTTCCATCGACTGTACGATTTGTGACAAGGCGAACAGTGACTCGCGAGGCGCTCCAGTACCTGGGGACTTTGGTCACGAAGGAGCAAATGGTGCTGATGGTTGCAGGGACTTGGGAGTTGCGCGTGGAAGCGAGCCCGACGGACCAAAAGAGCGCTTCTTTTTGGACGGCGATGGTGAGTTGCCACATGGCCATCTACAAGTGAATCATTCGAGTGTGGTGAACTCGAGTCGGTTTGCACCTGCTGGTTGGTCGGGTCTTGTTCGGTTTTAAGGTAGTTGATAAGCAGCGTCACAACGTTCGAGCTCTGGTAGCGCGGCAAGGACGAGTAGATGCCTGGAAGGTTCTCGTCCAGGTTTTCGTTGGCCACGAGCGCCTTCTCCACTTGCTTTGTGATCGCGAGCTACAAACGTCCATCGATGAGCAACAATATAAGTCAAACGTGGGACGGAGTGTACGGGATAGTGGGAATGGATGGTCAGGAGGGAGCTGCACGCTTCAATGCACGCCTTTCTCAACGCTTTGATCGAGACGCCGCCGACCGTCGCGGGCGCGTTTTCCCCCACGTCCGACCCCATGGACGACCGTTTGTCTGCTAGACCGTCTTTGCGTGCCGTCGTCGATCCCGCCTTGTTGACAGTTAAGCTGGTATTATTCATGTCCGTGAGCCACCCGTCTACTTGGGTAATCCTCATGTACCTCAGAATGTGGTCAATGGCATGGTGGAAGGTGCCCGCCAACACGCCAACGCCTCGCAATGTGTGGGTGCCATGCGTTCCAAAGATGCGCGAGCAGCTCACGACGGCCGCCGCGACCACAACCTGCAAAAGAAACTAGTTGAGTCGGCGCAATGGGCAAGCCATTCTACTTCGTCTGTGTCAAGGAGCGCCTTCTGAATCGCCATGAGCGCTCGAATCGTGAATGGCCATGTCACTTGCTTCGTTCGACCGATGCCATGACCGCAGAGGAGACCACCAAGACATCGAATGGCTTCCGCACGGCACAAAGCAAATCGTGTCATTTGCGCCCGGTTCAGCGACGCGTCAAAGAGCCATGGACCGAGAATGCGAAGGATCGTGTTCACGTCTGGGAGCTGCGGCTGCCTGGGGGTCGTTCCGGTGGCCGCGGCAGGCTTGGCAAAGCTGAGCACCTGGGCGAGATGGTGTACGCCAGTCTACAAGATCCCGTCAGTACCTCTCCATCAAATCCAATGGATGCAGAAGAGCGTGCAAAGCCGAAGCACGTACGATAGCAGCCAGGTAGACATCTGGATCGACAAACAAGCTCGGGTGGCCGATCACGCGCATGACGCGGTACCACGCATACGCCAAGAACGGACTTGCGAGCTCAAATTTGGTTACGTGGGCGTTGTCGACCCAAGCAATGGTAACACTGAGCGACGATGAGTGCTTCGACTCGGCCGACGATGGTACGACAAGGCGCCCCATGAGGGTTTGGGTGAGTGCGAGCGATGCCTTGTGCCATTGCTCAATCACGGCCTTTCGGTGAAGCCAGCGACGGCAAAATTTGAGCAGCATGTTCCAGAGCTCCCCTTTTACACCTGTCACATGCAGCGACAGGATAAACTGTTCCAGCGTGACGCGAAAGAGGTGGGCACAGAGGGGCAGAGCAAGCGTGTGCTTGGACCCGTGCAGGATGCAATCCGTGATTCCGAGAAGGAGACGAAGGAAATGGTCCCAAGTCGCCGTGGTCATCTGGGCGCCACGTTTGCGTCCGAGGGCGGAGTACAGGTCGAGCACACTGCACATGCAAGTCGCGTTAAAACACGAGATAAGATGATCCACGGACGTACGTTTGGCAAAGAGATGCGTGGGTGGCGATGAGCTCTGGATTGGATCGATGTCCATCTTTATCTTCGAAGAGGAGAGACATGTGGCCGAGGAGGTCCCGAATGAATTCTTGCTCCTGCGCATGCATACACTTTGGACGGCCATCGAGCCCTGCATTGCCAAGACCGAGCCATCGTTCGTAGACGCCGATTGCGCCAAGAATGACTTCGCTGTCTTCCATGCTCAGAGCAAAACTGTGACCCAGTGGTTCCATTGCCCATCGAACGTGTGTGGGGGTGGTGAGCACCGACACCATCGATGGGGAGGCCTGGGCGGCGTCTGTGGACGATTGTTGCTGCTCCGAGGGATTACTGAGGAAGCCCACAACCATAGAGCACACACCACGCTGGCACCCTTCATTGAACACCTTGAGGACATGGGCCTCCGGCGGCGACTGAAGCAGCTCGCACTTGGAAACCCACGAGAGAAACATCCGATTTGACGAAATGCCGTCGAGTTTGATTTTTTGATAATATGGAGAAATATTGAAATATGTATACTTCAATTGGCGATATATTAAAAAATACGACCGGCGCGTTCTATCATTTCAGAAATCGTGCATCGAGTGCTAGTTAGTGCCCATGAAAGGAAAGGCTTCCTGGCAAACGCGACAACGCACGAGCTCGTGACTTGAGGAAAGCAAAGAGAAAAGGATGGTCGTCGATGTCACTCATGGTCGGCGAGCGCTAGGATGTCTGCGTACGTACTGAGGACTGTGCGTAGCTCGCCCCGTGTGACGTTCTCGCGCCACATGATTTCCACGAGGTGGTGCTGGCCGTGGAAGTAAGGTTCAAGGCGCCGAAACAACTCAACGACCGGCGTGGGTGTGTTGGCTTGTCGCGTGAGTTGCGCGAGGATCTCCTTGTCAGTCTTTTCGGAAGACTGGGGTGAGTAGGACGATAAGAGGGCGGGGGAGTGCGAAACCGGCGGCGGCAACCCATCATGTACACCGCTTCCTTCAGCGTCAGGTATCAGTAAATGCACATATTGGTGCATCTGCGACACAAACTCGTGCTGGAGCAGCCAGATCTACAGCAAGCATCATGTCAACGCGCCTCCATCTCGTCAATCGCAATCCCGCACCAGCATGTGAATGTACTCGAGTTTGCGCTGGGGATTCAACGTGTTCATAAAGACCGATAGCCGACTCTTTCCATTGAACGTCGCGAGCACTTCGGGCAGCTCCATGGAGGTAAACTTGCGACGGAACTCGAGTGCGGTCGCCGACTGGCTGTGCACGTTGGTCGCAGTCGGGTTCACGTGGTACACGTTGTACATGGTGACGGCCTCGATCACCTTGGCGACGCCCCAGTAAACCAAGTGCGCCGCAAGCCGGAAAAGTTGTTTCAAAGGAAGGCCCGTTTCAAGCATGAGTTCCTGGAAGTCGCGGAGGGGGTTATGCGCGCTGATGAGGAGGCGGAGTTGAGGCGACGCATCGGCTGGGAGCGCCTCGAGGACCTTGTCGTTGTCATGGAGGAGCAGCAGGGTGTGGTACGGCCGCATGGACGTGATGTGGACGGTGGTCGCGTCGTCCAGTGTTAGCGAGAGCTGCACCCACCGATTCAAAAGCACGTGGACGGCGCCGTCTTCTTCGAGTCCGTGGTAAATGGCCTTGAGGTCATTGGCGAGAATGCTCTTGCCGAGGGCGACGTCAATGAGTGTTTGAGGGTCGACCTCGACATCAGTTGTGTCCTTATCTCCGCTATTGCCCCCGTTGTTCCCGCCACCGCCGCCTCCGTTCGGATTGTTGTCGGACGAATGTAGCGCAAGTTGCCGTTCGTTTTGAGCGATTTCGTCGCGAATGTGCAGCAACTCACGCACTTCGGTGGTGACGAACCCCACGCGCGCTTCCTCGTGCATGAGCGCGTGGGCGAGTTGGGACGCGACTTGGGCAAATGCGTTGACTTTTTTGTCCCGTTGCGAGGACGACGGAGGTGATTGTGAAGATGACGCTAGCATTCCGTCGAGCTTGGCATCGTCGAGGGCAAAGATGACGTTAAACATGGACGTATCGCGCCGTCCAGACGACGACGCAGTTCCTGTGCAGGTCGCATTTGTCGACGACGGCGCTGGGTTTGCATTCGACGTCGGCTCGTTGATCGTTACAGGGTGACTGATGAATCGGAGGTCGTCGATCACAAGTTGAAACGTTTGGTTGCACAGGACGTTCTTCGGGCGGAAGAGCTTGGCGACAAGTGCGGAACTCAAGCGGTGAAAGGCAGACACGTGACTGTCGCTTTGAGGGGCGGGGTACCGGAAGGCTAGGTTACATCCCTTGTGAATGTCATCGACGACGAGTGCCACCCCGAGGCAGCATCCCAACTTGACCGAACTCATGACGGGATGTCAAGCGAGTGTTGTGAATTGCCCGAAATAGCTCAGTCAAAATACGCTATCCAGAGTTGTAAGTATTTTGTTCCTTTAATACTAGTATGATGTTGCGAATAGTACATACTAATACCTCAAATCGTACTTAAACGAGACCAGAACGTTTGTGAAGTTTGTCAAGGTGCAACCAAGGACGAGCAGGTTGGAGATTCGACTTCCTGCTGGTTGGACTCCAGTTGCAGCTCGGTGGGCTCAAGGCTCGCCTTCCCTCCATTGGGGTGCCGCTTCTCGGGTGAGCCTGGATGTTGCGATGGTGTCGTGTCGTTTGTGGTGTCGTCGAGCTGGTTATTGATGCTGTCATCGACGTACGCGACGCTTTGTAACTTGTCACTCTTGAGCATCTTCATAAACTGCTGGAATTCGCGCATGGTGGGGAACACCATGCCGTCCAAGATAGGATTTCCATGATGGAACGCTTCCCCATTGACTGTGAAGACGTACTTCTCGACGTTGGCTTGCATTCGCAGGGGTCCATCGGTTGCTTGGATTCTCCTGTGCATCATTTGCTTGTCGCACGCCACGTACAAAACGTGGACGACAGCCATCTCGGGCAAGTGAGATGTGCTGAAAGATAAGGTTCGCTCGCCGCCTTCCACATTGATGAATTGATCGAATACGGCTTCCTCCTGCAGCGAATCGATGGAGTCGTTCTCGTGATAGATGAGCTGGACGTAGCCCGCAGTGCCCTTGCATTTTACATGCAACAGCTCACCGAGCTCATGCGTGTCGCGCTTCCAGTCGTGAACCATTTGAACCTCGCATGATTCGCCAGCAGGTGTCATAGCAGTAGGAACAACAACATCATCGCATTGTTGCATGTAGATTCGCACAAAATGATCGCGCTTACTCTTCGGCAAGTAGTCGGAGGGGGAAAGACCATTCACATCCCGAGAGTGCTTCGCGCCAGCTGCGAGGAGGTACGGCAACACAAACGTCTTCTGGGACGCAAACACGTGGTGCAGAATGGTCCATTGCGTCGTTGGGTCCGTTGCGTTCACATCGACGCCGTGCTTGAGGAACATTTCGAGAATGCATTGCAGGCGCTGGCACGTCGTTGACACGTAGCAGCATGCGTGAAACGCCTTGATCACGTCGACATCTGTCGGATCGGGCGATGCCTGGAGCGCCTTCTGGATGTCGTTGATGTCCTCGAAGGACGTGACGCTGTCGAGAACGCTCGAGCTGTTGCCCATGCTGCGCTAGATTCCAAATGCTCCTCGAAAATCGAAGAGCCGATCTTTTTCGAATCGTCATGTTCCGCCGTTTTACCGGATCCGGATAAAGATGCCGGATAAGGTTGATGCTGCCAAGCTTGCCGCCGCATCGTCCGGCATCCCACCCATGCGCCTTCCGGTCGAGTACAAGCATGCAAATGGTGATGCGGAGTGGAGCATATTGGAGCTACAGGGAGAGCTGATCGCAGACTCGAAAGCATCATTAAAGCTAGGCCAACTCCAGTATCAAAAGGTGACTCAAAGTAGTCTCGAGATGGACGACTGATATGTGCTCGTGAGCATGTGTGCACGTAGGGTGTTCCAACGCTGCTCATTGGCACGCACTTGCTGGAAGGAAAAGTAGTCAAACTGCCCAAGCCCATGGCTATCATGCGAAAGAAGGCGAAGGAGGTCAGCGCAGACGATACCGACACAACATCCACTGCCTACACCGTCGTGGGAATTGCACGCAAGAAACTGGTGTTCAATTCACGGCCGAAACCAGTGGTCGACCATCTTTCGAGTTAATTGAACGTTGTGGCACCCCTTGCTCCACGATTATACTGCGGCGGCGGGAATCGAGCATGCTTCCCATGTCTCCGGAACCCAGTTAAAGCGGAAGGCAGGGCAATGGACGACGGTGATGGAGAGACGCTCCGATGGCTCAGGCACACTCCCACCGCCACTGGAGTACGTGCGGTGTTGCTTGTGTGGAGCGTTGGCGTCGACGTTCTGTAGTTTCACCGTCAGTTTTCCATTCGAATGTGAACGTGATGCCAAAGTTCAATGCAAAAAATGTCGACGAAGTTATCGATGTCCTCAACGCGACGCTACTTAGTACGATCGTCCCCAAAGAATCCAACACTTGGCGGGTTGGCCACTGATGAAGCACTTGACGCCGTCTTCCATCGGCGCCGCGTTGTGTTCGAAGGGCAAGCACAAACTCTTGGCCGCGACACTCGTCGCCGTGTTGTCCGCTTCACCGTCTTCACCAAGGAGCGCGAGCGATTCGTCACGGGATCGGGCCTTGACCTGTTCTTCCCATTCCTTTTCGTTACAGAATGGCGTGAGGACCATGTTGCCTTCGGCAATCGTCTTGACAAAGTCCTTCCATTCCGTCACAACCTTGATGCGGCTATCGCGCTCGGTGCGCGCGCGGGCAAGCATATCCGCCTGGATTTGCTCGAGGAGCGCGGGGATCTTGGCGGCCAACTCGTTGATTGGAATGTCGACTTTGTCGTTGTTGTCGCGGCGGACAACGCGGACCTGCGACTTGGCGAGATCCTTCGGGCCGAGTTCGAAGCGGAGCGGTACGCCCTTGAGCTCCCAGTGGTTGTACTTCCAGCCCGGCGTGTAGATGCGGCGGTGGTCCACTTCGACACGTACGCCAACCTTGTGCAGAATATCGTGGAGCTTGTCACCTTCGGCAAACAGCATGTCCGTTTCGTCCTTATCCTTGACGGGGATCGGAATCACGACGACCTGGATGGGCGCGACGCGGGGGGGTAGCACAAGACCCTTGTCGTCACCGTGGAGCATGACCATCACCCCGATCGAGCGCGTCGTGAACCCCCACGAGTTTTGGTACGGGATGATCTTCTTGCCTTCATCGTCTTCGGCAGAAATGCCAAACATACGACCAAAGTTCTGGCCTAAATGGTGCGACGTCGCAGCTTGAATGCCGCGGCCCGTGCTAGGAACAAACCCTTCGATCGTGGTAGTGTAGTCGGCGCCGGCAAACTTTTCGACTTCCGACTTCTTGCCCTTGATCATAGGCACAGCAAGCAACTCTTCGTATGCGCCGGCGTAAAAATTCAAGATTTGCATCACTTCGGTCGCCGCGCTTTCTTTGGTCGCGTGGGCCGTGTGGCCTTCCTGCCACAAGAATTCACGCGTGCGGATGAACGGCGTGGGGTTTTTGAATTCCCATCGCACAACGTTGCACCACTGGTTCAAACGAAGCGGCAAGTCGCGGTGCGACCGGATCCAGCTCTTGAACGCGGGGTACATGATGGTTTCCGACGTCGGGCGAATCGCGATAGGTTCCTTCAGGTCCGTGTCGCCGCTCTTGGTGACCCACGCGACTTCGGGCGCAAACCCTTCCAAGTGGTCCTTCTCGCGGTTCAACTTTTCCGACGTGACAAACATGGGGAAATAGCAATTCTTGACGCCGATTTCCTTGAACTTGCCGTCCAAGTACGCCTGGATGCGCTCCCAGATCTCGTACGACCAAGGTCGAAGCACGTAGCACCCCGATACATCGTAATAGTCGATCATTTGCGATTTGGTGATGACGTCCGTGTACCAGTCGGGGAAGTTCTCCTTCTTCGACCACACCATGCCTTCCTTGGACTTGGTGTCCTTTTCCATCTTGTCAGGCTTCACAATCGTGTTCTTTTCCTTGGCTGGAGCCTTGGATGCAGCGGCGCGCGGGGATGTTGCTTGCGCGACGGACACAGAGAAGTCGACAATCAGGGGTTCATGCGCGTAGTGGCGCACAAACTTGAGCAAGTCGGCAGGTGTGATGGACACCGTCTTGTCGTTCTGGAGAGGATGGCAGTTGATTTTGTCGGCGTGGAGAAGGGATTCGTCCAACACCAAGCGGACTTGGTTCTCCGTATCGTTGAGGACAGCCAGCGGGGACACCGACCCTTGCTTCACTTGCAACACTTCGTGCAACACGTCTTCGGTGGCAAAGCGCAAGTTGACCTTGTTGCTTACCAATTGCATCTTCTTGGCCAATGTCTTGACTTCGACGGTTTGGGTCGCCGCAGCACAGATGAGGAAAATGCCTTCTTTCTTGTCCTTCAACACGAGGTTCTTCGTGAGGGTACCAGGCAAATGGCCAACAACAGCCGCCTGCTCTTCCACCGTGAAGGCAGGCACGTGGTCTACTGTTTCCAACGGAATTCCCAGAGCATGGAAAGCCGAGACGATCTTCTCGGCCATGGTGCTTATCAGCCAAGTTCAGGAATGGTGCTGCCGCCTCACGCTTCTGTACTTCGTTGGTTCCTTCGAACTTCGATTTTCCCACGCTCTGATTGGTCATTCCCAACGTTCAACCTTCCCCTGGGTGGCTCGGGCGCACCACAAGATCACAGGGGCACGACAAACATGGTTGTGGAGGGGCAGGGTGTGCTCCTACAACAGCCACCAGCGTCGTGCCTGGGTTCTCTCGGGCGCACGCATTTCTCCATGCGTGGAGGCTGTGAAGCAACCGTGCCTCTCCATAAGGTGCTTGATTGCAAAACGATGAATGGTTCTCGATTCTGTGTACAAAGTGTGCTGGCAAACCAGGGTCTCTTGCGGCGCACGAACGTGGCACTACGTAGGAAAAATAGACGTGTGCGCAGTACACTGCGCTCTGCCTTAAAGCGAAGACCTTCAAGGCTACGTCGCAAGATGTGTCTGCCACCCCACTTGTGAACAAAAGAAATGCTGCACTCACACGAATCAAGATTATCCGGCTTTTATCCGGATGTTGATCGCATACCTCGTGCGCATTTGGAAATTCCAGCGCCCACGATGGTCTTCCTTGGCCTGGCATCGATCGTGTTCGGCGTGTACACGATGATCGTGCTCGTCTCACGCGTGTTGTTGTGTGACATTGACCCAGGTCACGACTACGTGAAGCGCCATGCGCTTACTGGGCTCGCTTGCATCTGGCTGACGTGGGACGTCAGCAACTACCTGTGGTTGCGATGGATTATGGAGGTCGTGGCTGTCGCAAACGCCGTCTCGTGCCACTCGATGGTCATTCGAGGCTACGGGTACACGCGCGTGTCGCTCCACGACAAAGTTGCCATTGTCACCGGTGCCAACAGCGGAATTGGGCTCGAAACGGCGCGGCAATTGGCGCAACAAGGCGCGCACGTTGTCTTCGGTACATGCCCTTAAATATTGATCGAGGCTTACAAGGTTTGTAAAACCAGCTTGCCGCTCCCAGGAGCGTGCCGAAGCCGCCATCGCCAGCGTTGCCAAGTCAGTCGGGTCGTCTGCGAAGTTGCAATTCTTGCAGGTCGACCTCGCGGACTTGAAATCTGTCCGTGCCTTTGCTGAAGCGTTCCGGAAGACGAAGTTGCCTCTTGACATCTTGGTCAACAACGCTGGCGTCAACTTTTACCAACGCGAGTACGTGCATTCAAGATATCATGGGGGAACTCGGTACTTCACGAACGGGTCGGTAGCGTGACTGTCGATGGCCACGAGCGAGTGTTCGGGATCAACCACTTGGGTCCTTTCCTGCTCACGAACCTTCTCTTGCCGACGCTTCTCAAGTCGCCCGCTCCGCGCATCGTCAACGTCGGCTCGTGCATGATGAAGGTACATGTCGTTCGAATCTGTGCAGAGTCGAATGGCTCATGTATATCGAGCAGTTTGCTACATCCATTCCATTCAACGACTTGAACGCCAAGAAAACAAACTACGGCAATGGCATTTACACGTACTGTTGGACGAAGCTGGCCAACTACGTACGTCTCGATCTCCTCCATCATTCGCATCTCTAGCGCGCTTGATGAGCTTAGTTATTTACGCTGGAGCTGAACCGTCGCTACGGCGGCAAACACAACCTCACGGTATGTCGCCATCTTGTCGCGCAGGTCTTGATCGAATGCGTGGTGTAGGCGACGTGTGTGCACCCTGGCCTGGTCATCACCAACATGCAAGACAACATGCAACCAGCCTTTGCGCTTGCCGCCAAGTACTTGAACGTACTGCGACCTCTCTTTCAGCAAACAGCCGAAGTCGGTGCGCACTCGGCTGTGTTTGCCGCCATCAGCACCACGCTTAAGGGCGGTGAATACTTGGAACGGTGCCAAGTCGTCGAGCCGGCCCCTGCTCTCAAGAACGAAAAGGACGCCAAGCGGCTGTGGGACATCAGCTGCAACCTCGTCGACGTCAAGTCCAAGTAGACATGGTGGGGCTTTTTCATGCGATGGTCGCAGTGTTCCGCAATAGACTCGGTCACGACCACGACGTGATCTAGGGCATAAAGATTCAATTTTCTCGTGCAATCACTTCTGTGCTATTTATACCCCAATAGTGCCTTTGTCGGTGCGAGTCTGACGCCAACATGCTGGCAGGTTGGACGTGGAGTTCTCGATCATGGAATGTCCTTTGGATGTGGGCTATGATCATTGGCATCCTCGACAGAGTGCATGGGACGAGTTCCTTCCCGAACCCGACGCCTCAAGGAAACTCGTGGGGGCCATGCAGCGACGCTATCGAAGCTGTTGTCACCCAAGGAGACGGCACAACCCCTGGCTCGTGCATGTCTTGCGACCCCACCACCAACAAGTGCGCGCCCAAGTGCCAACCCTTGCTTGACACGTTGTACCGAGCATGCGATGGAGTGTTTACTCCACCCGGTTCGTATCTGCAGCAATGGACCCTTCTCTCACAACTCATGGATGCCTTGCCAAGCAGATCTGGCATTCGACCCAGCCAAGGTCATCTCGGGATTCTGGGGCGACGTGCAAGACAAAATACGCATCTCGGTTCAACGATGCGGTTGCAATAGCACTCCTGGATTCCATCCACTCGACTTGACAGTGCTACTGGCGATGGTAGTCGTGACTTTGGTTTCGATATAATCCATGGTGTGTCGTACGTCATCCGCCACCCCCTTTGTCCATTTGCACGGACGTTCGTTGCAGGACAATCAGACGGCGGTCTTCAGCTCCGATCGCATTCCAGAGTTTCCTTGGCGTGCGTTGAACAGGTCGTGCGGCCCCACCTTGGAATGTTGGCGATATCGCAGTAAAGGAAGATGCATGGACGGCGGGGTCATCGCCATGTTGGGGGGGCTCAAGCTTTCCCAGTCTACAGCCACACATAACTTCTCTTCAAGTCGTTTCGCTAACGTAGGATACACACGTTAAGTTTGCTTTGGCAGGTGTCTTGAACTTCGGAGACGCTGCGGCTTGCTGGGCCTGGCGCTCTTTTCGATTTCGATACCGCATCATGGCTTCGCTGGCAGGTCTATCAAGAATAAATTGGTGAGAGTGGAATGAGTGAGGGTATCGTATACTGGACAGGTTTTCGAAATTGCCGGCTATCGTAAATTGGTGTCAACGTCGCCGAGTCCAACTGAGGCGATTGCGGAGTTGAATCGTGACCGCTCGAGACTTGCGGGCAATCGTCCAATGGAGAAAGGATCGTGTGATTGTTGTCTGGCGTACTAATTTGCCGAAGAACAGGAGGGTTGTACAAGACGACATCGGCTGTGTGCACTTGAACAGGTCGTCGAATGCGTGTTGGGGACGTGGCTCTGCGACTCGATGGTGGCGACAATGGCGGACCCCCGTCAAGCTTTTTCGACTGGGCCATATCATCATCGTTTTGATCTTCAAACTCATCACTGGCGTCATCTTCGTCACCAGCGTAGAATTCAATGGGAGATTCTGTGGATTTATCCGTGTTGGTGAGGTCGGTGGCCATTGTTTGAGCGGAGGATTGATCGATGCTGCTACTGCAACAGCCGTTGTTGGTGCTGCTTCGCCTCCGATTGCTGGATTTCCTTGGCCCGCCGAGTTTCGACGACGCGGATGTCGTGCGCGCCGGTCGAGGTAGGGGAAGTTTTGCCGGTAGAATGTCCTGTCGGGATATCGAAAACATCTTGGCTTGCATCCCGACAAAGAGGTCTCCAAACGAGTTGATAAAGCAGAGACTTGTTAGAGGTGTCGCCATCTGAACTTCCCGAAGTAGCGATTTCTGCTGGTCCCAAACCTTGAGAGTCATGTCAAAGCTGGTGGTGACATGGAGATGGAGGGGGTCGCAAGAGTCGGCAGCCGTGACAAGGGCAGCATGGTTCACTTCCGACGTCACAACGAGAGGCTTCAACACACCATTGGTACAGTATCACCAACCCAGTTGGGGGGTTTAGCTACATACCTCAGCGTCGGCAAAGTCGACGTAGTCGACGCGGCCGTCTTCAAATCCACATACGACAATCTGAGAAGCCGGAGCGACGTGGATGCATGTGGGGTGGTCGCCCATTGCGAGCGATCCGACTCGCATCACACGTGGAGACATGCGCCAGAAGCAAAATGTCTTGTCCATGCCGTACGTGACAAGCAATCCAGTTGAAATGGCCGTGAACGCAACGAGCGACACTGCACTAGAATGTGCTTGCTGAACTGGAGCTTCGTCCAAGCTACCATGTGAAGTGGCACTGAAGAGGAGCTCTCCTTTGTCGGTACCACAAACAACCCACGCATCGGCCGTCAAACAGTCATTGCTATCGCCCGTGATGCTGCTGCCTTTGCGAATGAAGTCTACGATTGAATTTAGCCGTCTGCGCGAGGCAGCTTGGGAGTGGCGCGGCTTTGCGTAGAATTGTGGCACGACGAGACACACACCAATGCATTTCACCGTCCTGTTGTCGACGTCAATGACGTGCTGAGGCGTGACGATATCTTCGACGACGTCGAACACCAAGATGTGCTTGCGCATTAGGATGTACAACAGGTCGCGGTACGAGTTGAATGCCACTCCGACGACATCTTGGGCGTCCTCAGGCACGTACATGGTCGCAGGTACCGCCATGTCGGTGCCACCATAGATGCGGATGCTTTTGTCCAGGCATATCGATATCACGTGGTTGTCATGATGGCTGCTCGACAGCTTGCGCTGCTCAGTGAGAGCATCTGCGACGACGCGCATGGATGGCGTCTTGTATGTCGAATGCTTGAGCATGGCAGCTTTTACGTTGGCGGGTTTGACATGACGCATGGGCTTGGACGGTGCCGTCACATGTGTCAGAATTGCGATAGGTGACGCCAACGTCGAGTGCTCCTTGAGCGTGTGCTTGAGGGTGAGGAGCTTCATAGCTTGGCGAGCTTGGCAAGCAAACACGACGGGGTTGGTGTGCGGCACCACAAAGAGAGAAGACAGCGGCGTGTCTAGGCGAAGCTGATGGACATTCCGGAGGAGATCCAAGTCCCACATGCGCATCGAACTATCGAGAGAGCTGAAGACCATGACATCGAGTGAGGAACACTGCAAGATGTACGAAAGGGTGTGACCTGGACATCAGTAGGCCAGATAACGGATCCAGTACTAGAGACGTGACAGTCTTGGTGTGCTCCTTGAACACTGCAACGGTGGAACGAGGATATATCGTGACGACGTAGATCGACCCATCCATACAACTCGCCACGATGGACTTCTTCTTGAACACGAGAAAGTCCGTGATTGCGCCGCATTTGCCTTTCACGAGCTTCTTGTATGTGTCAACTAGGGTTGCGTCCGAGAGATTGTATACGAAAAGCGTGTTGTCCGAAAGGACAAGCAGTCGGTTCGCATCGGCGTCGATCTTCATGCGTCGGACCCACGATGTGCCAGTCTTGTTGAATAGTTCCAGTGGTGCCACTTGGTATGACGGGTTTCGAATTACATGAGCATCGTCGTATCTGGTGAAAACAGGTGGATGATGCTTGAGAAGATGTGGACCTACCCTTCAGTGTCCCTGCCGCGAAGGAGCCACGCACTGCATCCATCGATACCACCCGAGATGATTCGATTTCGCGGCTCGTCAAACACGAGGCACAGAATCGTGGCACGATGCGTGAAGATGCTGGCGAGCTCCACCAAGGACTCATCGTAAAACCGAAGAGAGCCGTCCAGCGCACTCGACATGTACATGTTGCGCGATGATATGTACTGAATCGTTTGGATCAAATACGATGTTCGGGCTGGCAGGGTCACACTACGGGTCTCGCCTTCGGTGTTCCAGAGTTTGATCGTGTGTTCATCTGTGGACCGGGACATGAGTGGTCACTTTGAGCAAAGAGCGAACCTGTCGTGACAAAGCAGTTGGCATTCGGGTTGTAGCAGTAAGCGTTAATGGGAGTCTGGTGCATCATCTCCCAAGTTTCTTCGATCACAGCGCCTTGCATGTCGCCGCCGAAGTCCCGCGCCTTTTGCGCGGGGGGATTTGGAATCGGTTGCTTGACTTTTGAAACCGTCTTCCGGAAAAGAGCATTCATATCCGGATTTTCGCCGATTCTCATTTTGTGTGTCGTCTCGGTGGCATCGGATCGTCTGCCGGGAGCTATGGGCCGCTGCCGCAACTGCGCTCCACCGCACTCCACAGCGGAACTCCCCATGATGATAGTTCATTCGGCTTCACCACTGCCAACGACGCATTCTCAGCAATTTCAGTTTACATTCAACACGAGATCATCAGGTGGCTATAGTAGGTTAGTTGTCGCACCAGAGGAATCGAATAGTGAGCGACCTGCTCGAGCTCGCGAATTTGCTTGAGACGAAATCCATGGGTAATGTCATGCATACGCACGTCAAAGCAAAGACGAGTGTTTTGTATGAACAACGTTGAAGCTTCGCCGGTTGTCGACGATGAAGCTGCTATGCGTTCCAATGGCAACGTTTGCCAGCCGCTTGCTACTGAATCGCCGCCGTCAGAGGCGCTGCTTTATTGTCGCACGCATGGGGTGTTCCGCGAACAATTGAAATCTCTGCACCACGGCCACAACGTTTACACTGGTCGAGAAGGCGGCCCGAAGCCTCGGCCGCGAAACAACCAGCCTCGGACCTCACACTCAGAAACCATCCCATGGGCAAAAATGTTCAAGTAGAAGCCAGCCACCGAGGAAAAGTAGGAAAAGCATCGTGCAAATCTGGTTACACTCCCTTCACTGGACGAGAATATCTCCACCTGGGGAGCTGTTATGCTAACCTCCACGGGGAACACCCATGGAGGCTGCTGCATGGATCCAGTCCATGCCATTTGGCCGTACCTCCATACAAATGCACCCCTCTCGGCAACTGCGGCGCCACGCATCCACCGGTCATCGTCGCCACGTCGTCCAAATCGTCCGTGCGCTGCACCTTATCCTGTGATACTGACGGATAACTTTGTACAGTACACCATCACTTTTGTGATACCTGATGAAATATATGATGAATATATCTAGCTTCGTCGGGGCGTGACAAGTGGCGCTCGACACAGCTACTTGAGCAGCATGATGTTTAGAGCGCTGGTACATATATACATGCCTTTATGGAGCGCCCCTCGAGACGCAAGGCGATGGTCGACCACCGCCAACCTTTTCGAAGCTCCTGAAACGCATTAAAATTGCAATATTTAGTTGCGTAACGGTAATCCGGTTGTATACGGGAATTTTGAACTTCAACGAAGAAATTCCTCCCCGACCACCATCACCAATCTGGACGACCAAGGTGCGTGGACATGTGGCGGCGCAGGCAGCGATGGCACTGGCCTGTCTTGATGGTTGATCTTGCGTAGGAAGGATGGAGCAAATCTTCTTCGGCATGCATGTTCGCGTCAGTCGGATGTTGTCCAAGCTTGCGGGTGGAAAGGTACGTTGGGCTTGTTCAGAAGGCAGTTGACAATGTGGACAATATCATGGATAGACGCGCGTTGCCGTGGAGACTGCGCTGTTCGCAACAGCAATGACATTCTTGATGATCTTAGCTGTGCTGCATGTTAACTTTGTCAGGTATGTGGGGTCACCAACAGACAGGTCATGACAATGTTCACATTCAGCACACATGGGCAACATGGATGCTTCAGGCAATACATGCCTCCAACCCTGCCGCCGCTCATGCGAGTGGGCATTACATCCGATCCGTTGCCGTGGATACACCCGTTCGTACGTACCACGTCATATCTTGTCATGATCATCCCAGACCGTCTCGTAGGGATTGCTCTTCCATCGCGTGTCGGCCAAACCAAATCGCAACTCGTTCGTGTTTGCGGTGCACAAAGGGCTTCTGTCACTTCTCGACTTTCCTGACACTAACTTCGCCGGTCCCGTGAACGTGACCCTGGTCGACGTATCCATTCCGAGCTCGAGCGCGTGCTTTGGCATCAAGCACGTGTTCGACCAGTCCCCCGCCTGGACGTTATTCCTCGACAAGTTTGTCGGGTACGACACCATCGTGATCAACCAATTCGTCCACCTTGCGAACGGGAACGGGTACCTTCGCCACGAATTCTCCAAAGACGTGTACAATCTCAATTACGCGACGGAGTTTCAGGCCACGACTGCGACGGTAACTTGTTCCCCGATGACTCCATGCCGCCGCATTACGTACTATTGCATGTAGCTGCACTCACGTATGGCATTCAAGCTTGGCATCTTGTGTACGACGCTTTTTCTCTTCTTCAGTACAACCACGTTGGTTTCGTTCATCCTGCGAGAAACCCAGCAGCGCATGCTCCGCTTCACGCGTACGTTGTTCATCCGGCTTACAGGCACCGGTCTGCTTCATAGCGCTCTCAGCGACGGATGTAGTGTCGCTGCAGCACCACATTCGCCATCGCATGCCGTACCTCAAGCTCGTGTTCAGCCACATCATCGAGTCCCTCGTCTTCGTTCCCATCATGGTGCAGACCCTTCCAACATCGGCGTTGTCTGACTCGACCTAGGTCGGGATGCTCTTTTTCCTGTTCGAGTTTTTTAAAGACCGGTTGCTCGCGTTCATGATCATGTCTGTCGTGTGGCTGTGCGAACTCTATTCGGTCATTTGGTACGCTGGTTTGCAAGAGGCACTTGACATGTTTGTGCTCGGTCTCATGCGCTTGAATGTTTCTAGCGTCCGCACCTGCCTGTCGCTCACGTTCTTTCCGCCCGTGTTTTTAAGCCTCTTTGCCCTGTTCCACGTCTACTTTTTCAGCTTTCCGTTTGGGTTTTCCTACGTGGCGCTGTGGACAACGACGGCGTTTTTGGCGCAGCAGATGCTGTTTTTCCTCAACCGGTTCGAACTGCCCGCGCTCCGCGACGGCGTCGTATCGGCACAATGGCCGCGTCAGTTTGTTTTGTCGTCAGGTATGCACGGTGCATACACAGCCGCGTAAGAAATACGTGGCTCACAACGTTCTGGTGTGCAGGCGATGCAGTGAACTAGGAGCACACGAGCAAAGTTATCCAGCGTTACCACCTCGAATCGCCGTGGGCTGCACAGACACCAGTTGATCCCATGCGATTTGGACGAGCTCCGTGATGGCCAAAGGCAGCGCCGCCGCGGCGTCCACGCACGCAAACAACTCGTACGCGGCGTATCGATGGCTATGGGTTAGTGCGCAGGATGAAATCGGCTGTTGTTGGACTATGTACTCCATTCGTACCCAATGACCCAAAATTCACGGTTGTTGAGCTGGACACGGGCCGTGGCCTGCGTGATGGGGTGGCACAAAATGGGATCGGGGCGGAATTGACTCCACCGCGACGACAACAGACATGCGTCGCCTTCGTCTGTATTCAGCTCGTGGTCGTCATTTAAGTGCAGGGGGTCGGCGACTCGTTGGACCAGGTCGTGGGGCTGGTCGACGACTTTCGCGCGCAGCATGTCATGCATTGTCTACGGGCAGTACATCGATTGCACTCACATGATGAATCGGCAACGCTGAATGTACCTGGGCATAGGCGAATTCACCCCGCAAGCGAGCCACATGCTGAAAGAAGAGGTGCCTCTCCGGCCCTTCTGAGAGACTCTCGACGGAAGATAGGACTGATCTCCCAACGATGTCGTACGCCACCACACTGACGTGGCCTGTAATGGTTGCATGTGGCAGTGGAAGGGCCGCCTGAATTGCATCCAACACATACTATTTGCGTTCTCGTCAATTCCTTCCACGCGACGATGATGAAAAACGGAGTGGACGCACGGAATGGGCTTGGTCAGGTGCAGTGACCGCATCATCCACGCAACGAGAGAGCATGCAAATGGACCACACCTATGTTGAGTCTGCATCAAAGGGCATTGCCAAAGATACCGACGCTCAAGGAGTCGCGACGCGCGCCCGGAACAACGAGCAGTTGAAATCTGTCGCCGTCAATGTAGATGGTTTCGTACGAAGGACCATGGCCGACGAAAGAGAACCATTCAAACACAAGGCTGGTTTGAGGCATGTCCAGTTCAGAGTAAACCACGTCCGACCTGTAATGTATGAGGCGACGGCAGCGATGGCCACGACGAACCTCCAAAGAATCACACGTCCGACGCAGTTCGTCTTGAATCCGCCGTAAGGAAAACATCGAGGCTAGAGCATGCATTTACGTACGACGCTGGGTTGAGCTGCGAGGATGCCGTGTAACGTGGTCTAATGGATTTCCATGACAGGAGAAGCAATGGTGTTCAGTGAGTCGTACGAGCGAGTCGAAGGGAAGTTGGATGAATGGAACGCTCTGCGGAAACAGCACATACATCGTGCATTCTGCCACTTCTACCAGCGAGGGTGTTAGTGTCCATGGCTTCACATCTGTGGTGGGATGGACCATGGTCGAAGCGACGAAAGAGTGCCTCAAATATTGCGTCCAGGCGATCGGGCGACCAATTGGATAGCTTGGAACCTCGTGGGCCGCATGCAGCGCAAATGACGCGCATACTGCGTTGGGCAAATTCAACCATAACTGAAGTTGTTGTTAGCCATGTGGGGGATGTCTGAAGGAGGACCAAGAGAACATCGCTATCGTCGACGTAGGCTGCGTGGACGTCTGGGGTCATCGACGCTTGCGCAATGCATTCGTGGAAAAGAGTTCTGCACGCTCCTGCAGATGCAGCTAGCATTCCTCGCAGCCTCAAGATAGCATCGTTGCTTGCATTGGTCGAATACAGCAGGTTGTCTTCGCCCTCGCGGTGGGTCACGTCAAGGAACACCGCTGTGAACGGCATTTTCGGTGCAATCTTTATCCGGATATTGCATTCATGCAACAACAACCAATGGATTTCGTCCATATCCGGACACGACATCAACATTGTTGCACAGCAGCAAAGAGATGGCGAAGAAGGACAAGAAATCGGGGGCTGCCAAGAAGGAGGAGAAGAAGGCGCGACAAGAGCTCAAACAGCAAAAGATAAACAAGAAGAAAGCGTCGAAGGAAGCAAAGGATGCCGGCGAGGAAGACATTGAGGCGATCTTGCAAGAGTTCATGAAGAAGGACGCTGCCAAAGTCGCCATTACGATTGTCCCATCGCTGCAGCCGTCGCCGCGTGCAAACTTTTCCTTGAGCTCCATGATTAACGGCGACTTGCTCATGTTTGGAGGCGAGTACTTTGACGGCGAATGCAACGTGTGCTACAACGAGTTATACCGATGGAACATTGAAGCGAACGAATGGAAGCTAATCTCGTCACCAAACACGCCACCGCCACGGTGCAGCCACCAGAGCGTCGTGTACCGGGACCATTTGTATGTGTTTGGCGGAGAGTTTGCTACGGCCGATCAATTCTACCACTACAGAGTACGATGCGCCAAAGTCCACGACAAAAGTATGATCTTCATATCGACGTGTGCAGGACTTGTGGCGCCTCGACCTGAAGACCAACTCGTGGGAATGCCTCGATGGCAAGGGCGGACCGTCTCCTCGCAGCGGCCATCGTATGACTGTGTGGCGCAACTACCTCGTGGTGTTTGGCGGATTTTACGAAGCGGCCCGCGAGACTAAGTAAGCCTGGTCCTTTGCTGCCCCTTTGAATGCTCATGTGATATGATGCAGGTGGTTCAACGATCTCTTCCTCTTTAACTTTGCCGATCTCAAATGGAAAAAGATATCGTTTCCAGTGCACAAAGCCACTCCCGCGCCACGCAGCGGCTGCCAGGTTCGTCCAGAGAAAGACTTGACGGCCTTGACACATTGCCATCCAAATGTAGCTCGCAGTGATGTCCTCGAACGATACGATTTTCATGTACGGAGGATATGCCAAGGTGAAGAACGTTGGGGAGAAGGCCGAAGGCAAGGTGTATACCGACATCTGGGCGCTGCATATGGGCCCGATTATCAAGTCGCAAGACCCTACTTGGGAAAAGGTTGGTGCATGTCATCATGGCGCTGCGACATGCACGCCGATGACGCTGTCATGCATGGCTAGCTGTCGCGAAAAGGCCACGCACCGTCGCCCCGAAGTGGCGCGACGATGACAGTGTACAAGAACCGCGCGATTCTGTTTGGCGGTGTGTTTGACGAGGAAGGTCGGCGCCACGAGCTCAAGAGTGTCTTTTACAACGACATGTTTGCGTACGACATGGAGCGGAAGCGGTGGTACGAGTACCGCCTTCGCAACAAAAAAGAGCCAGGGGCAAAGCGCCGGAGGATGAAGACCAAGGTCGGCGATGCTGTCGATGAAGACGACGAAGGCGACGACACTAGCGAGTCAGACGTTGCAAGCGACAACGAAGGCAGCGATGGAGAATCCGTAGGCGACAAAGATCATCTCATCAATGGCGTGATGAACTCTCGATGGCGTAGGCAATGGAAGAAGCAAAACGGCTCAATCAGTTTGGCTACGTCGGTGCGGACGGCAACATTGTATATCTCGAGGACGACGACGAAGAAGAAAAAGACAACGAAGGGGATGGCGAGATGCCAAAGTTCCCGACCGAGTTGGCGGATGACGAAGAGTCCAAGGACGAGGAGGCCAACGACGCGGTCGTGGAGCCCGTCGTGGTCGTGCCTCCAGTGGCTACTGAACAACAAAACGACGTTTTTCAAACAGATAAAGAGCAGCCGCCGCAAGTGGCCGTCCGCATGCCTTTGCCTCGTATCAATCCGGCGTTAATTGTACGAGGCAACACGTTCTTCGTGTATGGCGGTGTGCTGGAAGACGGCGATCGGGAAATTACGCTGGACGACTGCTGGTCCGACCCCGTTGAATTGTAGAGGCGGCGTCGTGTCAGGGGCTGACGAACGTGCGATACCGTAGGTCTCTCGATTTGAAGCGCATGGACGAGTGGGTCGAAGTGTTGCCAGGCACGATGGCCGAGCAGCTCTGGAAGGGCGAAGTGAGCGATACCGAAGACAGCACGTACGACTCGGATGATGACGACGACGAAGAAGACGAAGAGTTTACAGAATACATTGAGCCTGTCGACGAAGGAGATGAGGCCGACAAACCGCCGGTAGTTCCCTTGTGTGGTGCATATTAGTTGCCGCCGAATTGCATTTTCGTCATGTTGACGCAGGCACCGAGTGAGGCAGCGCTAGCCGTCGCCCGCGGCATTGATGTTCTCGACGGCACTTGCGAAGAGACCAAGAAATCCAAAAAGAAGAACGACCGGTACCACATTCGTTCGACAGGGTGCGTTGTGGATGGATGGCTCATGGAGGAGCATGGCGTGGCGCACTGTAGAAAAGCGATTCGACAAGAGATTGAAACCTTGCAGGACCAGCTGCAGCTCGCGGACGAGACTCAAACGCCGCTGCCCGGGGAGAACCTGCGTGACTTTTTTGCTCGCACGGCCAAGCATTGGGCAACGCAAGTTGCGCAGCTCCCAGATACGTTCGAGCGGCAGTTGAGTGTCAAAGACATCAAACGCGAAGGATTTGCCCTCGCCGAAGTGCGGTACAACGAACTCTTGCCCAGTACGTCCCGCCTCGGCACCAAAATTTCGCAATGTCGTGACGGCGCCTTGGTAGTTTTGGAGCGGCTGAATGAGCTCGAAGCCGAGCAAAAAAGAGCCGAAGAGGACCAAAAGGACAAAAAGACTGCCAAGAAAGGCGGCCGCGATGCGTCCAGCCGGCGTTAACGTTTGTTCTAATTCACTTGGCAGCACTAGAACACCCGTTAAGTTGGCAGCAACCTCCTTCTCTTTTAGAATTTCTCCCACGGAGATAGCGTGTCAGAGCAAGTGTCGTTGTGGCAGATCTGGATGGATGCAACTGCGCCATGGTCTCGTCATTCAGATATTTATACCTATGCGAACAACCGGCCAAAGAGCGACGTCGGTTTGTCCGGCACGAGAAACTTCATCGGCCGGTCGTCGCCGAGGAACCGGGCGACGGTGTCTTCAAATGCGATAGCGGCCTTGTCGTCTTTGGACGCGATCACGGGCTGGCCCATGTTGGACGCATTAAGCACTTGGACGCTCTCTGGGATGACTCCAACAAGGGGTAGCGCTAGCATTTCTTGAATGTCCTACATACCACCATCAAGAAACCAGGAGGACGCATAGGATCAAGCGCGTACTTCGACAGAGAGGCTGTCGTCATTGGCGGCTCGTGCCGCATCGTAGCGGTTGATGAGCAAGCGCTGTATGACGGGCGATCGGCCTTGTTGGGCTCGCAACGACTTGCTCGCAATGAACCCGATCATCTTGTCCGAATCACGACATGATGAAAGCTCCGGGTTGGTTACGATAATTGCCTCGTCGGCAAAGAACATGGCGTGGTGGGCTCCAGACTCGATCCCGGCGGGGGAGTCGCACACAATGTAGTCGAACTGAGTCTTGAGCTCGTCGAGAACCTATGTTTGGACATCAGGATCGGAGAAGAGCTAGTGGGGACGCACCTTGGCCACACCATCCTCAGTCAACGCAGTCTTGTCGCGAGTTTGACTTGCAGCGAGCAGTGACAGCTTGTCCAATCGCTTGTCCTTGATGAGCGCCTGGTTGAGGCGGCAGTTGCCGTCGATGACGTTGATAAAGTCAAAGATCACACGGCGTTCGCACCCCAAATGAATGTCCAAGTTGCGCAGGCCAATGTCAAAGTCAATGAGGCACGTGCGATATCCCAACTGCGCAAGACCGAAGCCGATACTGGCCGCACACGTCGTCTTGCCAACACCTCCCTTGCCAGATGTTATGACGACGACACTTCCCTTAGGTTGACTCGTTTGCATCGCAGGAGTGCCCAAACCCACCACAGAGCTCACGCATCGCGTCGACAACGCGGCGGCGCGCCATGTTTGGTGTCGGAGCAACATGACCAATATGACGAGCGGACCTTTCTTCCTCCCATAATTGATATATCCATTTCCAAAGGATGTATGCATTACAACATTTCGAAGGTTTATCCGGAAGCTTGCGATCATGAAAGGATGTTTTCCCGCTGCAGCAACATACTCCATGGACGGAAGAACCGCAATCACCAATGTCGTCGCAACTGCGGTGCTCTTGCGCGAGGAAGGTAACCCTCTGGGGTCGTAACCCCCACCCATTGAAGCCTATTTGGAGGGCATTCGTTTCGCATGAACCGTCGTCCCTATCCCCATGCGATCTTTCAAAATATCTTGGGTTTTGTAAAGCGAGATACGGGCGAGACAAAACTGCCCTTATTGAGCTCTGATTGGTGTGAAAATTTCTCCGAATGTTTCGGGGCCAATGGCATCGCGACGTCGGTTACGCCCCTTCGATCTTTGGCAATGGAAGGGTAATGAGGTGTCGGTCCCAAGAGCTTCACAGCCCAAAATCCGCTCAAGCTCTCTCGACCTTGTGCCGCCGTCTCACACAGAGCCCAAGCTTGAGGTACGTCGAAGATAGCTATGCGTTTACCAGTGACCTCACGGCCCACACACAGAAACATGATCCGTGCCGCTGCCCTCTTTGCCTTCGCTGCCGTCGCGGTGGCCAACCCTCCGCAGTATTCGGAACCTACGCCTGCGCCCTACACCACTAAACCCACTGAGTACACCCCTGTGCAGCCGACGCCCAAGCCAACTCCCGCACCCACGTACTACGTCCCCCCAATGACTCCCCCTCCGCCGTTCGTACCTCCTACTGAAGACTCGTACGGCCCTGCACCCGAGCCAGCTTGCACGTCAACGTACAAGCCTAACTCAGCCAAGTACCTCGCGTACACGTGCTCATCGTTGTACGCAACCGCGTCCAAGTGGGCGACCAACAACTGCAAGGCGTACTACCAAGTGACCGCTGGTTACGACGACAAGGCGTTATACCAAGCGCATTTGTGCACATACTGGTCGCAGCGAAGTGTGTTCCGCGTTGTCACGTCGTGCTTCATCGAAGCGCACTTGCGCAACGAATTCATCACCAAGTATGGCAAGGACGGTCCGGGCAAGTGGTTCTGCAAGTACTCGGCCTTTGTCAAACAAGTCAAGGACTGCTACTCGTCGTCGCTGCACTATTACCCGCTCGGAGTCTCGCTCAACACGTTGGAAAAGACGGTCGTGGCACTCAACCCGCCCGCCAAGGACACGCCTCCGTTCGAGTTTACGGGCGCGTCCGTCGCTTTGTGTGCGTACTACAACAAGGACCAAGTGTCCAACAAAGTTCAATAAAGCCCACTTCAAACGCGCTTGGAGAATTGGTTCCTGCTGCTACTTGTGTCGGCCAGCCATGTCGTTCACCGTGGAGCCGTGCAATGGCGGTTCGTCGAAGATCCAAGTATTTAACACGTTATTGATGTTTCCAGTTCATATCCTCCAAAATATACTCCATTCCCTGTACCAGGTCTATGTCGTGTCGTAGACGAGGAATGCACCGCAGTCGATCGTTCGTTGCATGCGACGACTACAACGACGCCGATGGGATGTTGGTGGCGGGAGGAGTCGGCGCCACGACAGCGCCCTGCATGATCGTGTCCAAGTCGGCTTTTTCAAGTACAGACGATACGTCCTGCCCGGCGCCATTGCCGCAGTCTTCCAGTCGATCCGTGGCGCGATCGACAATTGTTTGAACCAAAGTGTCGTCAAATCCCAGTTGGTGCGCGTCCGGTAAGTTTAGTCGGCTACAAATAACAGCATGAGAATATATGAGTTGATTTTTTCGTCGCGGTCCATGGGGACCTTGGAGAGCACGGGAACCAGTGGAACGAACGCTTGAGACGGACCCGAGACCCAACGAGAAAAATGAAAAGGATATGGGCACGCACCATCCCACTTGAGAGAACCAGTCGGACACCGTCGCTGTTTTGTACTTTGTCACGAGATGCAGAATGTTTTGAACCGCTTCCAGTCGCATTTTCTACAAGCCAATTCAAGGCACGTTCAAGTGAAAAAGCTTTGACTGGAACGTACGAGGTTGTCAAAGTGTTCGTCGCCTTGGTTGTCTGTCACGATGGCTTCATATCGCGCGAGGACGAGCGGCAGGAACGCGGCACAAACTTGCATGTGCGGCGAGTCGCTTAATCCGCCGACGCCGATGCCGAGCGAGTGTGCCGCGCCAAAGCCTGTCGACAGCGACACCAAACTGCTGCACAAACTCGCGTAACTCAGGCGTTCTCGAAACCCCACGTCGTTTAGATGCATTTTCCCCTCTACATCACCAACACACTTGTCAAGGATGTGCAGGTTGGAGACGAATCCGTACCTTGAAGCGGCGACGACAAAGCTTCCGCGGTGGCGCGAATGCCATTCAGACAAAGTTCGTCTACTTTCGGGTCGCCCTTGTTGGTCAAGAACGACTCAATGCACTGGCCCATGGATGTCAGTGCACCTTGAGCTGTGACGCCCAACGGCACGGACACTGAGAGCATAGGATCAATGATCACTGCGTCGGCGACAATGGGCGTTTTGGTGAACGAGAGCTTGGCCTCGGCGCCTTCGTCTAATACCAATGCTTCCGTCGACATTTCGCTCCCGCACCCAGCCACAGTCGGCATCACGATCAGTGGAGCGACTTTGTGTTCGATCGAGATCGGGCCAGAGGCCAAGTCTTCCGCATTGCCTTCGTTGAACATCAAGGCAGCGATCGCGCGCGACGTGTCCATGACGTTACCACCGCCGAACGCAACGACACCGTTGGCGCCAACACGGCGAGCGTAGTCGCGGCCGTAGTTGATCGAGTCGATGGTCGCACAATCACGCTGCAAAGTTAGCATGAAGCAAGGAATGTTGGCCTTTTGAAGCAAGTATTGAGCGTACTGGGACCGCTTGTCAGCACCAGTATCGCGGTCACGGACGAGTAAGACTTTGCTCATGATCTTGGGAGCCACCACCGTCAACTGTTCCGACTGCATGCGGCCAAAGAGGACACGGGACTTTTGCGCAGGCAGGAGTGTCCCGGGCGCTGCGTCAAAGAAGTACCGCGGGTCAACCTTGGCCGCTGTCGAGTACGCTCGCCGCATCGCAAGCATCATGCAAATCAGGCTGCTGCGAGATTGTGGATCGACGACGAATCGCTGAGAAACCAATTCGGCGAAACCTGTTTAATTTTGTATTCGATACCAACCACGGGCACGTACTTGAGGAACTAATCGAAAAGATTCGTGAAAGTGCGATCGATTGCCTCGGCCAAGAGGCCCACCTGCAGCTTTTCCTGACGAGAGGAAAGATTGGACGTTCGGTGACACGCACGATTGGGTCTCACTCCTCGCCAAGGCACCGTCTACAGGAAATTATACACGCGACCTCCGCTTCGCTCCGGTGTCTACAATTTTCTGGGCGGTTGCGTGTCGCTGCTCGCTACTGACATGCAAATCGTTCTTGTACACAACTAAGCCATGCTGAAACATGGACACTCTGGTTCGGAAAAGAGAATAATATCGTGGATATATGTGGAATAGGCTCCCATACAATTTTCAAGTATTAATTGATATCTTTGGTACCTTTCGGAATTGAATCAAATGTCCAAAATACAGTGATCCCCCAAGTTTTGCAACACTTCAAGAATATACGTTTCTGAAGGCAAATAAAGAAACAAAGAACTAACAAGAATTCATTTTAAGAGACCATTGGATGCAGTTATTGATTAAGTTGAGCAAGGTATTAATTTATACCAGTTCGCAAACCTTGGGGGACTACTGTACGAGGAAAAACTAGTTTTTCTCATTGAATATTCATTCATACAGGTTTGTCATCATGTAATCGCCTTACGGTTCCAAGTTACGCGAGAGTACTTCCTTGCCGACGATGAGCCGTTGAATCTGCGATGTGCCTTCGTAAATCTGGTAGATTTTGGCATCGCGGAACAATTTCTCGACGGGGTACTCGGTGTTGAACCCAGCGCCGCCAAAGATCTGCACTGCGTTTGCGGCCACTTCGTTCGCCAAGTCGCCGGCGAATCTCTTCGCCATGGACGCAAACATCGTGTTCTTGCGGCCGCAGTCTATCTCGTACGCAGCTTTGTATGTTAGCAAACGCGCGGCTTCGATGCCCGTCGCCATGTCCGCCAACATGAACATGATCGCTTGATGTGTCGCAATCGGCGCGCCCATGGTCTTGCGCTCCAACGCGTACTTCTTGGCTTCTTCAAAGGCACGACGAGCCAAACCTACGGCGCCAATCGCCACAGGCGGTCGGGTGTGGTCGAAAGCTTGCATAGCAATCTTAAAGCCATATCCAGGCGACCCTAATAAAGCACTCGCCCATGAGAACCATGCGACGTGATGAAAAGTGGATGTTGGAAGTACCGAGCACGTTTTCTTCTGGCACAACCACATCTTCGAACGTGATACCGCGGGTATCGGAGCAACGCTGGCCCAAGTTAATTTCCTTTCGGCCCTTAGTAATGCCTGGGGTGTTGGCATCCACGATAAAGCCCGTAAACGCCGATCCAGCGGAGGCACCAGGGTCAGTCTTGGCGAGGACGAAGTACCAGTCAGCTACACCTCCGTTGGTGATCCACATCTTCGATCCATTGATAACCCACGAGTTCCCCTTCTTCACGGCGGTTGTCTTGGCACCGGCCACATCAGAACCTGCACCAGGTTCCGTGACACAATACGCTGCTTGCCGTGGTGCGTCAATCAATCGACCAAAGTACTTGGCGCATTGAGCGTCGTTTCCAGCAACGAGAACCGGCGCCAGTGCAAGATGGTTGGCCTCGATGGCAGTCATCATTCCCGTGCATCCATACGCCAACTCTTCGCCGATGATGCATCCATCGAGGGAGCCAAGCCCAAGGCCGCCGAATTTCTACGTATACGCCAGAACGTGTGAGCCTGTTGCGCAATGTATCAATGGCATTTCATGAACTCACCTCGGGGATATGGCCATTGACCAAGCCCAACTCCCAGGCCTTATCGAAGATGGGTTTGGGGTATTCCATGGTTTGGTCATAGTGCTTTTCCTGAGGAATCATTTCTTCGCGGGCGAATTTGCGAGCGAGATGTTGAAATTCGCGCTGGGTGTCGGTCAGCTTGAAACTTACCCCATTTAGCTTGCTCTCGTCAATCGTGGCATGTGCGGCAAAGTTTCGGGTGAGGGTGACCGTCTTCCGGGCGCGACGGGCAGCTTGGAGAAATACTTGGCGAGGCAGCATGTGCTGGGAAGCGCTGGAATCCACAATTGATGAAGTTTGGGCATTCCGAAAACGTCGTTGACGAATCACCCACCAAGATCTTTTATAAAAATATGATACAACTGAATAAAACGACTTCAACATTCATGTACACAGAATACAAATTTATATATCGAGGCTATATCGCTTGATTATCACCATTATATTTTCCTCACATACTGCAATATATTACCAGCGAGCTCTTTTAAGTACGCCGGAAAGTTCGCGCGATCTTTTCGAATTGACGTCGGTCCGAGACATGACCGCGGCGGCATTGGTCACGGTCCGGTCGGTCGCGGGCTTGATGCCGCAATTCCAGCGCCCTTTCATCAAGTTCGTCTACGAGAAGCCGTCCACGCAGAAGCGAGTGTCTGCTAGGACCGACGAAGCCGAAACAATCATGCTACACGGTACGGACACAACAATCGCGACTTGGCGTGACGCGGTATTATGCGTCCCTGTTAATGCCCACACGTTAACGATTGAGCTTTGGAATGCTCATGCACACCACGATGTGTTCCTGGGTCAGACACGAGTCTACTTCGATCCCAAAGGACCGCCAGGTACGTGGAAATCGAAATCGAGATGAAGCACGACCAACTCCTGAAGCACGCGCAGAAGTAGGCCCTTCATGGATTGCAATCAGTAATGTCCCGTACGATGGTGTCAATCTTAAGCGACCTGTTAATGTGGAAGTCATTGTTACGCACATGAAGAGCACTGCCGTGTTTTCGTCGTCCGACGTTCCCCAATCGACGTCTCCGCAACAATCTATCGTTCATCCTTCGTTTCAATTCAAAATTCCTGCGCGGGAGATCGACTGGTCACGCATTGCCACCATCAATGTTTCAGAGATCTTTTTTTTGGTTGATCACCCAATTCTCCATATGTTTATCATGACTGAGACAACGTTTGCGTTAGGGAGATGTCAAATCACTCCTTGAGCTGCAGGACGAAGTCCTGTACGGCAACACGCTGGCATCGTTGGGTAAGGACACCATAATGATTAACTTCCGTTCATTGTGATGATTATTGGTAGACATGATCGTGGACAAAGAGTTTGAAAGAGCGTTCCAAATGTGCCAGTATTCTGCCCAGTACCTCCACCAGTGCGTCGAGTTCCTGTCCCAGCGCTGTGCCACATACGCATCTTCGCATTGCGAGCTGCTCCAACGACAAGAGAATGCTGCGCACGCGCTGGACACAAAAGTACTCTGCATATCCTTGACCTTCACGACATCTCGTCATCGTCAGTGCAAAGTAGAAGCGTCAGCGACGCCATCTTGAAAAACAAGCCAAGGAATGCGACGTCTTGATTGCGGCTTACGAGGCTATTGCCAAGACACTTCCAGACGCAATTTCACAACCAAAGGCTCCATCAGTCGCCTCAGTATCTCCGCAAAGTGCATCCCCTGTGTCTCGTCCAAAGTTGCAGCCGTCCATACCATCAATACAAGGGCCATCATCACCACAAAATCAGCAAACAAATGAAATAAGCTCTGCTCCACCCACGCCAATGACGCAACTGTCTCCTTCCAAGGTTCCCTTGCTCATGAGTTACGAAGAACGAATGGAGAAGAATCGACTGGCTAAGGAAGCCACGCGGTTGGAACGAATAGCGGCGGAGAAGCAGCGTTTGATACAAATCATGGCTGATCAAGCCAAGGAGCGCGAGTGGAAGCAAACAGTGCTCTTTCACGACCAGGCGTTGCTAGACAACGCGGCGCGGCGGCTGCAAACGTGGTTGCACCACATCATGCTCAAGCGTAGGTACCATGCCAAACGCCGTCGAAACGCTGCGGCCGTCGCGATTCAATGTCGCGTGCGGCAGATTCAAGCCAAGCAAGTGTATCGCCAACGTCGACAACAGTCACTTGATCTCACTGCACAACTTGCAAGCCAACTCTTGGAGCAGCGAATCCAACACCAACAGCACGTTGAAGCGGTGCAGCGCCAGCAAGCGAAGGAGCTCGAGCCGATCTTGCGGCTTTGGGCAGATATACAGCAAGCATTTAAGCGGGCATCGAGGGTGCCCACGGGGGCTTCTGTGTTTTCTTTCTTTGACACGAACAACGCTGGACAAGTGGACCGAGCAACATTTCGACGCCAACTTCTCCGCCTAGGTTTTGATATACCTCGTCAAGCGGTTCGGAGGTAAACAACTCAATCACTGACCAACCATGTCGAGGTTGCCTTAACATGGTGGATTTCTAAGGTTGATCCAGTTGATTCACACGCGCGCCAATGTACACAGTGACCGCCTCGTCGTCACCGCGGATCAATTTTCGAAAGCATTTGCCTTGACGAGTGGACATTTCACCCCAGTTGAGGAGGCTCCCGAACCTACAACTCCAAGTCTGGAGGCGCCCTTGGATGCACCAGATCCCATGGTACACCAGCACTTCAAACGTGCATGTTCAGATACTCATGGTATCCTCAAACTTTGGATTAGGTGGTGGCACCAGTGACGCACGTGGCGCCCGCCGTTCCAACATTGGATTCGGTGGAAGGCATCAGTTTATCCTTTCGACAGTTGCGAGAGCGAATCGTACAAGCCGCTCGCGTTCAGTTTGGAGGTGGCAATCACTCGAACATGACGTTTGCGTCACTTCGTACGGCACTAATCAAGCTATTCGCCACGTTCGATCCCCATGGCAGCGGCGACGTGTCGTTGGCAGACTTTAAGGCGGTGGTCGAATCGCAGCTTCACGTGACGATAGATTCGCACTGGGATTACGTTCGCGAGTGTTTTGACGTGGACGGAAGCGGGAGTCTCAACATTGCCGAGTTTGTCGCGTTTGCATTCGCCGATTCGTCCGTGGACGAGATGGGCGTTCTGGGCTATCAACTTCGAGACGCGATCCTACACCGCGTCAAAGCTGCACGAAAGGAAGCTGCCGCCACGATTGAAGACGCTGTGCGCTATGTGTTTCGTCCAGTGTTTCACAAACGAGATGAAGCCACATTTGCCGATTTCAGTCATTCCCTTGCACAACTCAAGCTTGGGTTTACCCTGGGCCAGCTCTCGCGCTTAGTTTTACGCCTGGATCAGGTAGGTTCTTGTCAATGTTGCACTTGACGATGTTGCGTTGTCTGAACTACTCTGTCGAGTGCTCGTCATTGCATTGTTGTTGGACTGACGGATAATGTAGGACAAGAATCATTTGATTTCCCTTGATGAACTCTTGCGATGGCTCAAACTGAGGAGTGCAAGTGACAACTCAAGCAACTTATTGGCGCGTACTCCGTCCAGTACGACGGACAGCACTAGCAGCACCAGGGCAAGTGTGAGCGCCACAAGCGTGGGTGTGAAAGAGCTTCGACAGCAACTCGTTGGACTAGCAGGCGAAGCTACTCCCCAAGCGATCAAAGTCTTATTCGAAAAGATGGACGCGAATCAAAGCTCGAAATTGAGTGCGACTGAGTTGCACGGATACTTGGCCGTGCCATCACTGCCGCTGTCCGTAGTGGAATCTGCTGTCGCGTGCATGGATGTTCGTCGGAGCAGCGTCGTGTCCAAGGCCGATTTCATTGCATTTTGTCTCGACACAACTTCGGCGACAGAAGAAGAGACTGGTGTCGTCATGGAGCAATGCCGCCGCAAACTCACCGAAGTATGCGTGGACCAGGAGGGATTTCAGCGCTGGTTTGGCGCCATGTCCCAACAGCACGGAAAAGTTCGAACAACCGAACTCAAGCACGCATTGAAGACTATGATTCACGTTCCAGACCATGTGATGGAAGGCGTCGTTCGACGATTGGACTTCGATGGGAGTGGATGGATCTCTGAAAAGGAGTTCCAGGCGTGGGTACAGCCCGTACGCGACATTGAAGTGCTGCTCCAGTTGGTCGAACAGAACCAAGCCATGCAACAAAAAGGGAAGGATCTCTTTTCCACCTTTGACTTGGACGGCAACGGTGTGATTGGTCTTGAAGAGTTCCACGCTGGCCTAAAACGATTCCAAGTGAACGTTAACAAGGACGAAGCGGCCGCGCTCTTAAAGGAATTCGATGTCGACACGGACGGAGTGCTAAATGCGTCTGAGTTAAACGCGATCGTGGAAGCATACAACAGCGACGACTTCGACTTGCACGAGCTAGCAGGGCAGGTGTCATATCAAGGGACGGCATATGACGACGAAGAGTTTGACGACTAATCGAAGCAAGTGAACGTGGATGTGCTACTCATGGGGTACATTGAATAGAAACTCGACATAGGAGGTATTCGTCTCCTTATCCATCGAAACGAAATGCATCCTCGAGCTGCTTCTTGGCTGTATGGGATGCTGTGGAGGACGACTTGAAGGCAGTTTTCTTCGACAGCGCCGACTTGACGAATCGAGCCGTGTTGGACTCGACTGGTGCTTTCGACAGTGGGGCATTCTTTACAACGTCAAGTGTGTTTTTGGTTTGGGAGGGTGTCGTAGGTTGCGATGACACTGCACCTTCACACGGCGCAGGATTCGATTTACTGGGAAGCTTGCGAACGGACGTGCGAATTGTTTGTCTTGTTGAGTATTGTGCTGCTGGCTTCGAGTTGCTTCTTCCATCCATGGGTAAAGGCAACTTGGCTAGGTTGTGGTTTGCTGCGGGAGGTGACCTGGTTCGTTTTGCACCGGCGGAGGTTGCCCTTGCTTGCTCGTGAGGTTGGCCGACTACATCTTCGGAAGGCTGCGCAATGTCTAGCCTCCTAGGTTGTTTGCGCATCGTAACTCGTTTGAGTACCGCCGCACTGTTTGGTGGCGTGCACAAATCGTCCAGGCCGCTCTGCTCCGCAGTACTCTTGATAGCGACTGGGGCCGATGTGGGTCTTGAAGTGCTCGACACGTTGGCTAATGTTGGGGCGGTCAATAAATGCTGTTGGGTGGTATGTCGCTTGGAAAAACTTGGCCGGCCAACGGCCGAATTCATGTATTCGTCAGTCTTGGCGACTGCACGTGGGTCAACAGGTCTAGTGGCGGGCGTGTACGATCCATTTGGATTGGGTTGAGCGGCTTTCTTCCTCGAAAACGTTGGTTGGACTGAGCTCTTGAACGTAGCTCTCGTAGCTCCATCTGTGGTGGGGCTTGGCGCGGGCTGCCAACCCTTCAAGACCGTTGGGGTGCTTCGTCCGTTCGACGACAATGGCGACTTGGCTTTTCGCTTGATGGAAGAGGACATTGCTGCGGAAGACCCGTTGGTCCCGTCGTCCGATGCGGTTTCGTCAGCCCAGATGAATGCAGCACCCTTGGCCCGTTTGGAGTCGACGCTGTCTTGCGGCGTGTAGACTCCCAGGGTCCGACTCGTGCGCTTGCGCAGTGCGACTTTGGGGGTCGTCCGTCTGGCCGACGACTCTGCTGAGTCTGGGGTCGACACATTGGAGAAGCCACCTGAGAAGTGAAAGGCCGATGCGGGGGGAGTATTGCCCCCACGGAATGTGGATGGATATTTCGGGGTCGTGAATTCGACAGGGGCGTCGATGCTCAGTTGCGAGTTGTAGCCTTCTTGGGGCGATGGATTTTTCTTTGTCAGCGCAACGGGGATGCCAAAGTTCGCCATAGACTTTCGAATGTCGTCTGCTTTGAACGTTAAGGTCAAGGACGGCGTGTTCTCCGTCTGGCCTTCGCCGTGGTCCATGAGGGCCTTGAGTTCAGTCTCGACATCGATGCACGACTCAAGGATCTCCTCGGACAAGGCGCCGATCTGGGCATGCAGCCCCACAAACGCCACAAGGACACGCAAAAGGAGGTGCGGCGACTGGTCGGGAAGCGCTGCCAATATTCGATGCGCGTTCGAGCTACGCTTGCGCATGACACAACCGAGCAGCATTGCCATGGACCCGCTCAAGATGACGTCTTCAGGATGCCATGTCGCAATCACATCGGCGTTCGGGCGCAGCAGGATGTGCTCAAACGTAGAGACCCGCGTGACAAAGTACGCCGTCAACATGTCCAAGATCGAGTCGTTGTATCGCGCCACATCATCCCGATTTGTTTCGTTGTGCTCGACGCAATTGATCAGCGCACCCAGCGCCAGCAGGCACATGTCAAAGCCAGCTTTGTCGTTGTCGAGCATGGATGGTTCCTCGGTTTCCTGGGACGATGTGGACGAAGAGGCATGGAGAAAAAGAGCGAGGAGCGCGTGCGTGCCATGGGCGGCGGCTATGTGAGTGGATGCGATGTCGTTCTTGTGGGTGAGATTGATCAACACGCGGAGTGCCATTAACGTCAACTCTCGCGTGTCATGGCGGGACGAAGACAAGATTCGAAGCAGCACGGAGAGGACGTTCGTATGAAGCACCAAGTGATCCTGAATGCCGCGCTCGAGAAACGACGCTTGTTCCAGTAGCCGCATTGAATGGAAGAGATGGGACGCCGCTCCACGTTCAACGACCGACGCGGCTGACGCCACATCAATGATGCGTGCGATTGTGTCCAAGCCGCCGCAGTCACGAAGTAACATTTTGCGGTCGTGAAGGAGGGCGGCAGTCGCGAGGCTTTTGGACGCGCAGGGCGTTGAATGGATGGTCTTATTGTTTGAATTGCCATACTCGTTCTTCTGGTCGGTGTGAAATGCATTATTGAGCACGCCCAGAACAACGTCTGTCAAGGTCACGATGGGCATCACGTCGGTCGAGCGAAACATGTCGTCTGAGCGCAAGAGCGTTTCTGCCTGCGCAACGAGAGATACGCCCCGTTTGGCATCACCCAATCGCCGAGTGGACGATTTCTTCCGCAGTAAGGCTCGTTTATTGGAAGCGTCGCCATCTCGGGTCACAACGACAACAGTTGCATGGTTGTACTTCCATGGCGTATCGCTGGTGAGCTCTAACACCTTGAGAACCTTTGACAACACGTCACTTGTCAAGCTTTTGCAATTCTCCGAGTCCAGCGTGACGAAATACAGCAGCGTCATCATGCAGTAGATATGCTCGTACGCGTGGGCTGCGTGCTCTACCTTGAGTCTTTCAACCAGGTCCATGCATTGAGCAAGGCCCCCTTTGGCTCGCAGCAGGAGGCGCCCGTTCGTTGACATTGTTGGAATTGGTGATGCCAGATGGGGTGGTCCTGGCGACTTTAAAGCGCAAACTTCGGCAAGCTGCAACGCACTCATGGAGCGAGATGGACCTTGACCTTCTTCGATGCCATCTAGGTAGTAGTGGATCTGCTCGAGCGCAGCGTGGCTCTCGCCGCTGTGCTGGAGACTCGCCGTGCTCTGCATCGTCAGCGTTTTCAAATGGAGGCACTTTATTGGGCAAGAATTCTAGTTTTGAGATGTTTCATTGGCTAAAACATTTCCCCCCGCTGCAGGATGCACAACCAAATATTTGAACTTTACGTCATTTTATTGGTCGAAATTATATCGATAGAGGCATGCAATTGGTTCATAAAGTTTGAATACTCTCTCCTCCAGAGGCACCACGGACCTCCGCCCTCAACATCTTGACGTGTCGAGCTTACTGCACCATGACTAGCCATATCAAGCGATCTGAAAGCTTAATCGTGTGCTTCCTAGAAAGCGCTACATTCTCTGCGATTCGAAGCCACGAGCATTCTTAAAGCGCCATCCAGATTCGATTCTGTCCTGTTCGGAGGCTGCAGGCACGCAACAAATCCTTGACGTCGAGGATATCGCTGCAATTCTAATGTTTCATGCATGTCTTACTGTTGTTTTAGAAGCATTTGAATGTCGTTGCAGCCTTCGTTGCACATTCCAACGACTCGTGCTACGGCCGTCGCGCCGTTTTGGCGTTAGCCTCGTTTCCGGTTAAGATGGACGCGCGATCCTGGAAATTTCGATCGTCCGGATAACTAACCCAAGCCCTTCCCAGCTTCGAAAATCTGCATACAATTATCCAGTGCAATTCAAAAATGGAACTTTGTGTGGCTCCCCCTCAAACTGAATCATTTCGTAATTAGCACAGCGCCGCACATCTCACACCATGGCTGAAGAACAAGAGCTCCTCGACTACGGCAGCGACGAAGAAGTTGCTGTCGACAACAAGGCCGCCGTAGCCAAGGAGACCAAGAAGTAAGAAACAACTTGCTCCAACCCCTCAAAGCCACTTAACCCACCGTCGTCTTCGCGAAGGGGCCATTATGTCGGGATCCACAGTGCCGGGTTCAAGGACTTTTTGCTCAAGCCCGAAGCACTGCGTGCTGTCGTCGATTGCGGGTTTGAACACCCGTCGGAAGTGCAGCACGAATGCATTCCTCAAGCCGTGCTCGGCATGGATATCATTTGCCAGGCCAAGTCTGGGATGGGGAAGACCGCTGTGTTTGTTCTCGCCACGTTGCATCAAGTACAGTATTTGCGGATTCCAACGTCGTGCTGAAGTAAGCTTACACTTGATTTTCTTGTAGTTGGAACCTGTGGCCAACCAAATCAGCGTTGTCGTGCTGTGCCACACTCGTGAACTTGCTTTTCAAATTGCGCACGAGTACGAGCGTTTCAGCAAGTATTTGCCGGATGTGAAGACAGCAGTTTTCTACGGCGGTGTGCCCATCGTGCAAAATCGAGAAACGTTGAAGAACAACCCTCCTCACATCATTGTTGGCACACCTGGTCGCGTCCTCGGTCTGATCAAGGAAAAGACTTTGAAGCTTGACAAGGTGAAGCACTTCGTCATGGACGAATGTGACAAGCTTCTCGATGCTGTCGACATGCGCCGCGATGTGCAAGAAATTTTTAAGTCGACGCCGCACGACAAGCAAGTCATGCTCTTCTCGGCCACGTTGAGCAAAGAAATCCGTCCCGTGTGCCGCAAGTTCTGCCAAGACGTAAGTGTGCCGTTCTTGGTGTTTGTCGATGACTAAGCACCGTTCGTTCTAGCCCATGGAAATTTACGTCGACGATGAAACGAAGTTGACGTTGCACGGATTGCAACAATACTACATTAAATTGCAAGAGTCTGAAAAGAACCGCAAGTTGAACGACTTGCTGGACGCACTCGAGTTCAATCAAGTAGTAATCTTCGTGTCGAAGAAAAACCGCGCGCGCGAACTGAGCCGTCTCTTGAACGAATGCAACTTCCCGTCGATTTGCATTACGGCGGACCTGCAACAAGAAGAACGCATTAAGCGTTACAAGAGTTTCAAGGATTTCCAAAAGCGCATCCTCGTTACGACTGACTTGTTTGGTCGCGGCATGGATATTGAGCGTGTCAACATCGTTGTCAACTACGACTTCCCCAACGACTCGGACCAGTACTTGCATCGCGTCGGCCGTGCCGGTCGTTTCGGTACCAAGGGGTTGTCCATCAGCTTCATCTCGTCCAACGAAGACTCGGACATGCTTGCCAAAGTCCAATCTCGATTCGAAGTCAACATCCCCGAACTTCCCGACCAAATCGACATTTCGACCTACATGGCCACCTAAATTTTGATTCTGCACCGCTCCTGCTGCCGCCATGGCCACTCTAATCTTGATAATATCCACTCCCACTCCGCGTGTTGGCCTGGTCTATCCTCAAGCATCTCGCTGTGTGTCCACGTCGTGTGAACGGTCGGGTCCGGTGGATGGCCTCTCCATTGAAGGAGTGCTCAATGCCGGCCACCTATCGACAAGAACTGTATTGCGCACTGAATCAGCGACAGCTCTCCCTTTCGTGTCGTTGCCGCGTGAAAATGAGTTGAAGTTGCTGAATCAATTGCTGCTGGCCGGTCGAAGGACAGCCTTCACTAGCATCGATCAATGCGACTCCGCTGACACACTGCATCGGAGTCGCCTTGACAAGAAGACGTCGACTTTTCTCTTTGGAAGTGCCCTCAGTCGAATTCACATGGACACGACGTTCCGCTCGCTGTCCAAGCGCACTTGCAGGTTAGTTTGCATGGTACTTGTTCTCGTACTTTAAACAAGAATACCCGCTTCTAGCGACGCTGCCGCTTGAACGGAGCAGGGTTGATGGGTTTGAGGCCGCTCAACTTGGACGCATATTGGGCACGCAACCTACAGACACGGTGATTCGGTCGTTCGTTGAGGCATCACGCACTCGTCGTTTTTGAGCGGAGTGATGTGGTCAGTGGTATCTTGATCTGTCAAGTGGGTGTACTTGGTCCTACGCATGCGCCAATTTAGTCAAGTCGCCTTCAAAGGTCCATCGCCGTACCGCCCAGACTTGCCGAAGTTCTTGACCTGCATGACAGCGGGCAGGTTCTCCCGGTTCGTCTTGTCCTCGAGCGTCGGTTCATCGGCCTCACGTCGCCGGACGTCGTTCTCCGACGTGACGCTCTTGTCGTCCACGTAAAATGCACCCTTGTGGTAATACTTTTGCATGAACTTCCACTTTTTCTTTTCCTTTTCCGTGCGCTTGCCGAGCGCCGCGTCTTCCTTTTCGCGCTCTTCGTCTGTCATGTTCCGCCGCCGCAGCGTTTCCGCCGCTTCCCGCTCGCGCTCTTCCCGCGCATCCCGGTCCCTGCGAAATTCAGCTTGAGGTTGAACCCGTCTTGTGAAGGAGGTCATACCTCTTGAGCCGACGCAGCTCTCGAAGCTCCCACTCCTTTTGCTCCTGCTCAGGATTCAACCCATCGGTGTCGTCAGGCATTTCTGAATCCGTCGCTTCTTCTTGCATGCGCTGCACGGCGTCACTCTCTTCGCGCTGAAGCACTTCCGCCACCAACTTTCGCGACTCGGCCTTTTTCTCCACAGCCTACAAACGTTGTGACGAATTGATTCAGTGGTCACTGGGAGTGCCAACCCGCGCAGCGAGGGCCTTGTCCCGTTCCTCCAACGCTCGCAGCTTCTCTTCTTGCTCGCGAATCGTGTCCCGAGCCTCTTTCGGCACAAAGATTGGTTTGAGTATCTGCTCGCCGTCGGATGAGTCAGTATCTGTCTCCCACTCAGACGATTCCGACTCAGACGACACCAACTGACTCGACGCAACGGCCCTGGCAACAGGCTTGCTCTCCGATTCGAGCGCAAGCGCTTCGGTCGACTCGGACAAGAGTAGGTCGGGTTCATCTCGCTTTTGTGCAAGCAACTTGTTTTTCAATCGAGCTCGTCGATCGTCTTCCTCGTCGCTTTCTTCCGATTCTGACTCGACCAAACGAGCTGCAAGCGTGGGAGCAGCGGGAGCTGGGGCACCAACCACGGACACCGCTTTCACGACCTGGGCAACGACCTTCCGCCGCTGTTTGGGAGTTTGACCTTGCCCAGAAGCAGGTGTCGTAGAGGACGCAGCCTTCTTTGATCCGGTCAAGAACCGAGACCCATCATCTGGCATGTGCTCCCCAACAGCAGCAAAATCAGGGACTTGGCCTGCCCGATAGCGCATCACTTTCTTCGTCGAGTCGACCTTGGGCTGTGGCGCTTCATACTCATCTGTTTCTTCCAGCCTTCTGGTGTGTCGTAACGACATGGCATCTCCAGGCTCAGTGTCTGGCAGCAGCAGCCCCAGGTCCTTCTTCGTGAACAAGCTCATGTTCGTCGAGGAACCGCGTTGGGCGCGATTTGAAAATGCTCACTTCAAAATAAATAACCTGTGAAAACAAAATCATGCATAAACTTGATTCACTTATCTAGTCGAGAGGGATCTTGACTGTCGGCAGGCAACTCCACAGAGACCAGCCGCAGTGGTCGTGGAAGGTTCATCGATCGATGAAGACTAGATCAAGATGCATAGCAGCGACGTGTCTAGAATGGTCGAAGCAGGGTTTCCTGCGTCCCTGGCTGTGCTAGCCATCCAGGTTAACCTGGCCACGATACGTTCTGACTCGTGGATCTTGCCTAGATAAATTCGAAAACTAGGAAATATCCCAAATTTCTCGAAACCGTTCAAGTTGTGGCATAGCGCAATGTACGATGGTAGGTCACAATGGTGGGAAAATGAAGGTTAGGTTCAAACCGGCATACAGCTTTGTATGTGAGGAATATAAGATTGCTTAGTATGGTAAGACATATCTCCGCGCTAGTTAAGTTAGTGGCCTATGTTGGGCCTTGGAGATCTCGTTTGGTCGACCCGAACAAACCGAAGGGGTTGGATAATATTCCTTGGGAAATTCGGCAATTTCCTAACCTTGATTTGAGGTCATCTATTTTGACAGGTTTTCCTGGGAAAGCATCCTCGCCACAGAGATTGAAAAGATGTCTGGCGATCAAGGCGGCGGCGTGCCGTACATCGGGTCGCGGATCAGCTTGATCTCGAAGACAGACATTCGGTACGAAGGCCTCCTGTTTAACATCGACACGCGGCAAAGCATGGTGGCGCTGCAGAACGTTCGCTCCTTTGGAACGGAAGGACGCCGCCCTGACCACATCCCTCCATCCGAGACTGTGCTGCCATACGCAACGTTTAAGGCTTCGGAAATCAAAGATTTGCACGTGTGCGAAGCCGCTGCACCTCCCCCACTTCCCCCCAAGCAGCACCCCCCCCCACCTGCTCCAGCAGCGTCACCGCAGACTCATGCTCCGCCACCGCCGCCACCAGTCGCAGGTCCAGTGCAGCCTCCGATGCCGCAACCACATCGTGCGCCCCCTCCGCCGCTGCCAAAGCAGCCCATTGCCCAACCTGCCGCCTCGTCGCAGTACCAGCAGCCACCACTGCCGGTTTCCACTCGTCCTGCCTCTCCCAAGCGAACATTCGCTCCCCAGCCAGCTTCGAACGCACTGTTGACTCCAGGTGCCGTGTCCAAGTCGAACCCTGTCCATTCCGTACAACAGGTTGAACACCAACATCATGGCGAACCTACTCGTCATGTTGAGCATGCATCGTCGGAGCCATCGTACCACAAGGTAACCCCTCCTCAAGCGCCTACTTCGGAGGCACATGCAGCGCGTACGATTCCTGGGATGGGCGGTCATCTCTTGCGTCGCAAGGAACGCCGCGTGCCGAACGAATCCGGTCTTCCTGACGGCCCCAGCGCCAGTGGCGAATTTGACTTTGCTGGTGGGTTGGGCGACTTTGACAAGGCCAAGGAGTTTTCCAAGCTCACAATTGACGAAACTGCACGCCCCGTGGTGAAGGGGTCGTACCAAAAGTCGTCGTTCTTTGACACGATCTCGTGCGATGCTTTGGACCGCCTCGAAGGCAACAGCAGTCGCATGCGTGCCCAGGAAGAGCGCAAGCTCAATACGGAAACATTTGGCGCCGTGAGCCTGAACAACCGCCGGCCGTACCGCGGCAACCGTCGCAACAACGGCAGCGGCAATGGAAACGGAAGCGGCTCCGGGAGCAATGGGTACAGCAACGGAGGCGGCCAACGCAGCAACGTGAACAATGGCCAGCGGCAAGGGCAGCCTCGCCAGGACGGCAACCGTGGCCATCGCAACAACAACAACCTCAATCAAGCGCAGCCCCGGAGTGGCGGTCGCAATCGCCGTGGCCAAGCTGTCACACCAAACGAATAAGGTAACACCAGTAGACACGACGACCGGTGTCGGGAGATAGTTAGGAACCACGTGATGCTGATGCGGTAACAAAAGTTCGTTGATATCGTGTGTCGTGTTGTGGACGTGAATGCAGTTGGTGTCCGTCGTGGAATCCACTGCGCCGACGGGTCAAAGCAGACAAGAATGCCATGAAGGATGAGCTAGCCGCGGAGCTGTGGGGCCATGGTGTGCCCTCCCGAGTCGGAGCGTGACGGACTTGTGCTTAGCAGCCTTCGCAACGCCCAACTTCTTCGCAGTCCTACATCTCACCGACGGGGAAGATCGACCGGAACATGCCCACACACGACACCGCTCGATGTGCCTACTGGTATACCTTATTCGCTTGGCGAGGCAGATTGGTCATGTCCAGGGCTGCGGTAGGTTGAGGACGGTCGAGGAACCCCATCGAGTATGCTAACGACTCGCGCGACACCTTGACACCCCATGCATTACATGAGTTCAAAGACTCGAAAATGGCCACACAAGTTGTGCGTGCATCGATCAAATCATGCCAGAACGTGAGTACAGTGATTGGCAGATAGTACAGTTGATGATGATTTAAGCATGCCCGAGGGTTCGCGCAAGGAGACTCGATGTCTGCATTATGCATGGACACAGTTGTCATGGTTGGTGGATTCGAAATGCGAGGTACAGTGGACGGAGGGAACGACGCATTTCTAGAGGATCGGGTGGTGTTGAAAAACACCAGAGGCAGTTCTTGCAATGGCAAGAAATAATTAAGAGCGTTCGCCACGGATGCGACGAGCCAATTGGATGTCCTTGGGCATGATCGTGACACGCTTGGCGTGGATGGCGCACAAGTTGGTGTCTTCGAACAAACCGACAAGGTACGCTTCAGCGGCTTCCTGCAAGGCCAAGACGGCCGAGCCTTGGAAGCGCAAGTCGGTCTTGAAATCTTGGGCAATTTCACGGACCAAGCGTTGGAAAGGGAGCTTGCGGATCAACAGCTCGGTCGACTTTTGGTAGCGACGGATTTCACGAAGTGCAACCGTACCAGGGCGGTATCGATGGGGCTTCTTCACACCACCAGTGGCCGGGGCCGACTTGCGGGCAGCCTTGGTGGCCAATTGCTTACGAGGGGCCTTGCCGCCAGTCGACTTGCGCGCAGTTTGTTTGGTACGGGCCATGGTGACTTTGTATACTTTTGAGGAATGAGCAGAAAGGTGACCCCGCCAAGAGTCGACCAATCACCAAGCACAACTGGGCAGGATTGAGCATTCGCTCGGAAATGTCAAAGTGATAAAGAAAATCCCGCCAATCTGTTTTCTTTATTACAAAATCCATCCAATCAAAAGTCTAACTATCTAAATTCCGCCAATCACAGATATGAAACAAGGACTCTTGATTCTCGTCCAATCGAATGCTGTAACTTGAATCGGATTTTTTTCAAAACCTAGACCAAATTCGGGTATGTGTAGTTCATTTTTGAATTTACATTCAACCAACAACTCAACATGTCTGGTCGTGGCAAAGGAGGGAAAGGTCTCGGAAAGGGTGGTGCCAAGCGCCACCGCAAGGTCCTTCGTGACAATATCCAAGGGATCACCAAGCCCGCCATCCGTCGTCTCGCCCGTCGCGGTGGTGTCAAGCGTATCTCTGGCTTGATCTACGAAGAAACCCGCGGTGTCCTCAAGGTGTTCTTGGAAAACGTCATCCGCGACTCGGTGACCTACACGGAACACGCTCGTCGAAAGACGGTCACTGCCATGGACGTCGTCTACGCTTTGAAGCGCCAAGGCCGCACCTTGTACGGTTTCGGCGGTTAAGCTGCATCTTGCTCTCGCTCTCTCAAGAGAGGCCTACTCGACGGCCTTCTTTATATCTGGTGTTTTTCAACACCACCCATCTTGTATGAACTTATCGTGTCTATTCAATTATTTGAGCTCATGCAAGTCAAGTAAATCGACGCTCTGTCAATTCAAATGCTCGATGACCCATTTGAGCGACTGCACGTGGTCTAACTAGACTCCCCAATGAGAGTTTGAAGTCACGTAGTAGACGTGGTCTAACTAGATTCCCCAATGAGAGTTTGAAGTCACGTCGTGTTGAAGTGGAGGCCACTCATTCACTCCCTTGCCAAAGGTTGTCGGGATGGGGCCTTGAGCCCAGGTCTCTGTTTCTCGAGTAGTTCCAGAACTCAAGCCGCCAAATGCCACGGTCAACCTTGCTCTATCGATGGCTCAATGACACCATTCGCACCAAATGACTAGCGGGCCTGGCCACGACGTCCTGCCTGAACGTCTTCCAACCAGGGTTAGTGGCACTCTGCCTCGTTGTTGGACGCTAAGCTGTACCCAACATTGACATACTAGTAGTTGGTTGCTTTGCAGAGCTTGTGGCGAGCCCAGGGTGAGTGTGATAGAGCTCCCATGGAGCAGAACCAACCTGATGGTTCGAAACCAGTGCATGCGTGTCCAATGAGAATATTACCACGCATGGAGGATCACGTAGAGCGATACTTCTTCTACGATGAACGCCTTCGATAATCGTGAAGGACGACTACAAATCAAACGCAAGAGATCGCGACTCCTCACTTCCTTCGCACTGACACGGCAACTCATTTTCACAACCGACACAATACGCAAAGGTCCGCAGACGTTGGTATCGTTATGGATAGAATTGAGACAGTACGCAACTTTGTCGATATTGTTGGTCCAGTTTGTCGAGATTGCTGCAGGCATGGGCATCTTCCTGACTTTTCAGTCAGTCGAAGTGTTCCTGGCATGTGCCTTGGTTTGGCAAACCTGTGCCTCAGCGTCTTCACATATTGCGCCTTGATGTTGAAAGACCTGCAAGACTAATGCGAGCGATTGTGACTCTCGTGTCAAGGGATATAGAGTAATTCATGCCGCGGAATCCACAACCGCCATCGCCAACGTCTCACCCACCGCTCAGGTATTTGAACGATGCGATCACTCGAGCGATGCAAACGTTGTTTTAGACGACACCTAGCTACGTGCTCGGGAGCGCCGTGACTGTCTTGCTGTCCACGGCAGCATTCGAGTGGAGCGTTGACGGCAGCGATGGGAATTGGTTGAACCATGGGACAACTGGTTATGCGGATGAAAAGGCCACTATTATCCGGACAGTTGAATCTCCGTGATTCAGAAAGAAATGCACCCATGCCCATACAAGCACACGCTTCCCCTACGAAAGACAGGTGTGCCGTGCCGTTGATCCTGCCGACGGAGGCAATGTGGTAAGGTCCATCGTCTTTGCGTTGAGACTCTCATGGTGGCCGCTCCATGCCCCAGGCGCGACGCTGGACCTTCTGAGGAAGAGATGCAACCTCTGGTGTCTTCACCTGTCCACTCGTACACGACCAGCATCAGCATCCAGCCATCGCCTATGGCCCTCGACGTTACCACGCAATTGTCCAGGGTCATGTCTCCCAAGGCCAAGTCGTTTCCAACTGAACATCACCTGAGTGCCGAGAGCGTGTCCTTTGCGTTCTCTCCGACGGCCAAACTTCCACGTCTTGCCGTTCCTATGGACGACGATCTCACATACCTCAACGGTCAGCACGAGTCCGAGTATATCCACCTGTCAATTTTGGATCCCTACTTCGACGTGACGCCTTCCCGCGTGCACATGGCGTTTCAGGAAGCCGACCCGATGGGTTTGGGTTCTTTGAGTCCCGAGCAGTTCCGTGCAGCGCTCGAGAGCATGGGGATTCGATGTCGCGACGAAGCCGTGTTCCAGACGTTGGTGAACAGCATGACGAAAGGATCAAACCAGTCGACAATCTCTATCACGGAGTTTGAGCGTGTGGTGCAAAAGCTCAAGCTCGGGAACCTCTTTGAAGAAAACACGATGGCGCTGTTCCGCAATGGGGACAGCTCGTCACGTTTCGAAGTATGCGACTTTTCATCCAAGCGACTGGCGCTGTACCGCCCGGATCTGCGCAGTTTCTTTACGAGTGAACCCGCGCCGTGGGTGTCGTGCCGATGGATCAACATGCAAGGCCACGACCATTTGAACCTGAAGCGGCTGGCAATCAAGTACCGTCTGCATCCTTTGGCCATGGAAGACACGATCGAGTTGAATGAACGGCCCAAGTTTGACACGTACAACACCCATCGCTTTGTCGTGTTCCCCATTCTCCATCACACTCTGGGCCGTACGTGTCGCTCGATTGGCATGCTTGGAACTGCCAAGCCACTTCATTCCTCCTCATCCCTGCGCGACTTCTAGACCGCGCGTCCTCCTCCGACCCTCGTTCAAACACACTGGGTCACCAGCCATTTGGACGACTCGACAATATGAATTCCAAGACGTGGTCCACGGCATCGACGCGATCCCGGCGACGAACATCCTCGTTCTTGACAACTAACGACACGGAAGGCGAGGACGAGCGGTTCCTTCTGACCGTCGAGCATGTCGCCATCTTTCTTGTCGGCGACGACACGTTGATCACGGTCAAACAGTCGACGGACGCCTCGATCTGGCACGCCGTCCACCGTCGGCTCGCGTCGACGTACTCGAAGGTGCGTCACAACGATGCCAACTTTTTGCTGTACTCGGTGCTCGATGTAATCGTGGACCAAATGACGGGCGTCATGGACGACGTTCGGTCCTACTTGAAGCATCTCGAGCACGAACTCGACACACTCCGCCACCGCTTTGATATCGAGACGCTCCGAGATGTCCACACCGAGCTGGGCCAACTCCCCCGCGTGATTAAACCCACACGCGACGTGCTCAAGAGCTTGCTCGCGAGTCGTGACCTACCCGACACGACCAAGGCGTACCTCCGTGACGTTCACGACCACTTGAACCACATTCTGGACGAAATCGAGTGGCAATTTCAGATGTGCCGCAGCATGACGGAAGAGTACCGCGACGCGAAAGCTGCCCAAGTCAATTACGTCGTGTACACACTCACGATAGTCACGACGGTGTTTTTGCCGGCGCAGTTCTTAACGGGGGTTTACGGCATGAACTTTGGTGCGTTTGGATCTCGACGGGGTGTTTTGCCGTCGACTCACGAGTATGTGTATGGCCAGACAACATGCCAGAGCTCCATTCGCCGTACGGGTACGCTGCGTTTTGGTTGATTTTGTTTTGCTGCACCGGCGGGATGCACTTCTACTTTCGCCACAAGCAATGGGTATAAAGCCAACCGCACGCGGAAGTACCAAGGAGCAGTCCTCTCTCAAATGCAAAGCACACGCGGAAGCTGCTTGCGTCTGCACGAGGCCGTACTCACACGGGTGGGAGTTGACTGCACGATATAATACGAACACGTCATGTTTCCACAAAAATTCATGAAAATTTCGTAAATTTGCCTGGTTTGACTCCAATATTCCGATGGAACTCGTGGAAACCGCGGACGGGGTCGCGTATGCATGGATGGTTGTGGCAGGAGCGACGTTCGTCATGCTCCAGTTTGTCACGGCGCCGTTTGGACGCCATACAGTCAGCGGATGGGGCCCGGCGTTGAACAACCGTCTGGGCTGGTTCATCATGGAGGTTCCATCCATGCTGGTCATGGCAGGGGTGTGGCTGGCAAACTCTGCGACGATGACTGGTCATGCCTGGCTCCCTTTTGCCCTCTGGGTGGGTCATTACTGGAATCGGTCGGTAGTGTACCCTCTTCGGATCAAACCAACTCCCAAGCGCATGCCCTTGGCCATCGTGGCGTCTGCAGTTGGATTCAATCTCGTCAACGCGCCGTTGAATGCCACGTACTTGGTGGCGAATGCCGCATCGTACACCACCGCATGGCTCCTTCACCCGCGGACGCTGTTGGGACTTGCCCTCTTCTTCGTCGGAATGACCATCAACATTATCGCGGACAACCGCCTGATTGCCCTTCGGACAAACGGCTCCACGGGCTATTCCATCCCTCGCGGCTTCCTCTTTGAGTACGTCACGTGCGCCAACTTCCTTGGAGAATGCGTACAATGGACGGGATTTGCCCTTGCTATGTGGAACGCCGGTGCTTTGTCGTTTATGGTGTGGACTTGGGCGAACTTGGTGCCCCGCGCGGCAAGCCACCATGCGTGGTATGTGAGCAAATTCAAAGACTACCCGAAGAATCGCTTCCGCATCATTCCGTTCGTGTATTGAAAATGACAAGGTGGTGAAGCTTCGAATAACACTGAAAATGAGGTCAAGCAAGATACATATGAGCCAAACGATAATTTTTCCAGCGGGGAGGGTGGTGTTGAAAAACACCAGATATTGAGTGAAGACACAAGGCCTCCTTGTGACAAGTCACCCGATTGTTTAAGCAGACGAGGTGAACTTGGTCACGGCCTTCGTGCCTTCAGATACGGCATGCTTGGCCAGTTCACCAGGAAGCATAAGGCGCACTGCGGTTTGGATTTCGCGGGACGACAAAGTAGACTTCTTGTTGTAGCGGCTCAACTTGCCGGCTTCCGACGCAATGCGTTCGAAGATATCGTTGATGAACGAGTTCATAATGGACATGCCGCGCTTGGAGATACCGGTTTCAGGGTGAACTTGCTTCAACACCTTGTAGATGTAGGTCGAGTACGACTCAATGCGCTTGGTCTTGCGGTTCTTGCCCTTTTCGCCGGCCTTCTTCGGGGCTTTCGCGGACTTTTTGCTGGGGGTTTTGGCCATCTTGACGGGTTCAAGTCGAATTTGCGAATGACCAAACCTTCTACCTTGGAAGGACAAAATGGAGGGAGCGGAATCCTTGGCTGTGATTGGTCTACGTAGAATGCCGGTCGATGATTGGCGGAAATCAAAGGTACTGCTCTTGATTGGTGGAATTCAAATTTTAGGCCTGTGATTGACGGAATTTCTTGTTCCCGCGAGGCGCGCCACGGAACACTACCGGGTCATTTTTGAAATTCTCGCTCAAGCAACATGTCTGGCAAAGGAAAAGCTACTGGTGGTCGCGGCAAGAAGGGTAAGGCCTCGTCCCGTTCGTCGAAGGCCGGTCTTCAATTCCCCGTCGGTCGTGTCGCCCGTTTCTTGAAGAAGGGCCGCTTCGCCCAACGCATCGGTGGTGGTGCCCCCGTCTACCTTGCCGCCGTGTTGGAATACCTTTGTGCCGAAATCTTGGAACTGGCCGGTAACGCCGCTCGCGACAACAAGAAGTCCCGCATCATCCCCCGCCACATTCAATTGGCCGTCCGCAATGACGAAGAATTGAACAAGTTGTTGGGCGATGTGACGATCGCGTCTGGCGGTGTGCTGCCCAATATCCACAACATCTTGTTGCCCAAGAAGTCGGCGACCATCGGCACTGATGGCAAGAAGGTCAAGGCGTCGGCTTAAATGGTTGACACTCCACTTGAACTGTGCTTGCACATTCATACACCTGGACAATTCGTCCTACAACTGGCTTTTCTAAAAGCCACCCACCTCCAAAGAAATGCATCTGCTTGCCCCGATAGGAAAAGCGAGTGCGCATGAGTCAGGCTGCGTGTTGATGCGTCACGCTCCTATGCGCACCTGTTTGGAGCGTGTTCAGCTATATTATGTCGATGTCCTCGCTCACTTGACTCCATCACAGCCCTCGAGCAAATGTTCTAAACTCGGTTCCTAATTGTTCGCAGGGCCAAGGAGTGCAGTAACGCTGCAAATGGCGTCGACACAAAGTAGGCACTGTTGCGGACCTCGAATAGGTTCAAGCAAGTGACTGCAGTGCCCGCCAAATACTGTCTTCGAATTGCCGTGACGTCCTGACTGTGCTTACCTTGATGACAAGCTTGCGGTCGCTATCAAGCGATCGTCGCGATGGCCATTTGCTCTTGGGGTTTTCATTTGCGCCTCTCGTACCGCGCGCCGTCTGCCTCCTCGTTACAGAACGAGATACAAGATGACATCTGGATCCGTGTTCGCATCATGATTTAGCGCTGGAATCTTCAAGGGTCGTGGGCGACTATCGTCATCGGCTTCGCTTGGAGGTGTTGGCTGAGGCATCGTCACACCGTGTCAAGATCCATCTCGTGCGCCAATGGCCACGTCTTTTTATCCGACGAATTCAAGCACTAAATCGATTACACGGATGTAAACGGACCAATCAGATCGGTCCCCGAATATTACTCGATTCGGCGTCCACTTCGCCTTGTGTTCCGATTGAGGCAGACATCGCGCGACACCGCCAGTGGCTCCGACTCTTGCTCCGTCGCCGCTTGCGTGCCCATGGATGAAGCACCCCAACGGCTGTCTGTAGCTGGAACGCCAGCGGTTGGGATGGTGCCAAATTGGTCGGAGCACCCTGTCAACGAGAACTTCTACGGCAAAGCTGTCGCTCCCACTGCAACGGACTCTCCATACGACGCGGTCTTTTCCCCCATGTCCAAGCACAAAGGTATGTATGGCGCGCGCGACGTGTACACGACGGAAATAGACCGACTTCGATCGACAAACAACAACGACCAACACGAAGTCGACACGTTGAAGACTCGAGCGTCGACAGGATTCAAGAAGGCTGTCGTGGAACGACCGGCCGGTCCCCCTGTACACACCCTGCGGGAACTCACACAAGATTGTCATGGCGGCGCCAACCCGCAAGGAGGCATGACGCCTCCAAGCATGCACCTTACGATTCTTCGGCGCAAGGTGTGTGTGCTATCACCTTTCGAAATCTCATGTACAGTGTAGTTGGAATCGTATATGGATGAAATCGACGCTACGATGGAACACAAGGTGCACCATTTCGGCGCGGTGATGGCAGCGGCCGCCGCAATGGACGAACGAATGAACCAGTCGAAACCCGAGCCCGAATCGTTGCCAGAGTTTGTAGACTTGTTTCTCAAGTCGTTGACAGCCGATGCCACAAAGCGGCACGCGGACGGGCTCCCGCGTCTGTACGGCATGGTGGCTCGAGCCGCGCATCATAGGTGTATGAACCAACTGCACCGTCACCGGCGGTATCTCGAGAGCTTGCACCACATCTTGACCGGCGCCCAGGTGACGGACGTGGGTCTGACTTCAAAGGAAGTGGCGTCCGTGACCAGTGTCGACGACGTGCTCGTGTTTGACGTGAAGCTACACTATTTGTCTCGCCAACGGGACTGGCTTCTGCAACTGCAACTCGCGCGCGAGCAGGCCATGGCGCACGCCCCCTCTCCATCCTCCAACAACCATTTGCACAGTGCGGCGCCTCGCTCCCTGTCCAAGCATGCACACATGAAGAAGCTTCTGGAAGTTGCGGGTTGGTACCGTTGGTTGCAGCAGCATGCCGACGAAGACAACAACGACGCGGTCGGCGACGACGTCGACGAACGGCATGAGCACTTGGCTGAGGTGTTGTCGGATGACGCTATCTTGTCCGTGCATGTCGACTTGATGGCGACGGACGAGGTACCGCTCTCTTTACTTGACATTCCATGATGGAACGTTGTGGCAGTGGCGGTCGGTCATTCAAGCCCAATTTGAAAACCTCGTGTTTGGCCATCTCGAGCGCCGCATCAGCCAGCGCGTGGACAAGGGCTGCTTTGACGCGGCCGCCCTCTACTGCGAATCCTTCGACCCGTCGTCGAACCAAACGTCGGGCAAGCGCAGCAAAGCATCCGACTACTTGAATGTTCATCCCGACTGGACCTGGCTGCGTGACCCGCAACCGAAACACGTGATGGCATTCGTCACACGCATGACGCGGCACATCCGCCGCACATTTGCTATCTCGGACGACATGCACAAGAGCCTCTACGTCTTCATTCAGCGCATGCTGTTTCCTCGCATGACCATGCTATGCTTCAATGGCGCCGTCTTGACTGAATGCGCGCGCAAAGATGCCCTGTGGCGAAGTCAGCAGATCGCCCTGCGGAGGCAGCATCATGGCAAAGGCGTGTCGCTCGAGCAGCTCGGGGTATCTGCCCGCACAGCTGGTACGTGTAAAGTGTATTGTTGACCACGGTGGAGTGGCTAACGGGCGGTTTGGGACTATGTAGAGAATCTGCGGCGTGCGTGGCCAACGTGGACGACGATGTTTCCCAAAGCACGAATCGCGTTTGCTGCGATGCAAAGCATCGTGCCGTGCGACTTGTTGGACGAGATGATGCACGGGGTAGTAGTGCTTCACCAAGAAGCGGCGCAGATATTCGGGACGACCCGTATCCCCGTCGATACCTTCTTCCCCCTCTTCAGCTACGTCCTGCTCCACACGGACCTCCCGTTTGTCCACGCGCAGTTGCACCTCCTCGAGCAGTACGCGCTGTGCAATCCCCCTGGCGACTTGAACCCGACGCGCAGCGGCGAAGAATCGTACTATGTCTATTGCATGCATGCCGCCGTTGAGCACATCTGCAGCCAAGTCGTCGCGCCCTTAGAGTAACTTATATGCGCATCGCGCGCAAATTGTCGGTGTCTCCTGTTGATGAAACGAGGTCGTTGTAATATAAATGGTGATTCTATTCCTCGATACAATGGCCAAATGATTAAAATAAACGATTTCGCGGGGGAGTTGCTTGGCCAGTTTGGAATTCATTGACATGGCCAGGCACTCCCGTGGCGCCAAGGCCGCCTCGCCGTCGAAGATGTCCGAGAAGCCCAAGCAAAAAGGCAAGGGAGGATCGTTGTCCAAGCGAGCTTCAGCTCATGGAACCAAGTCGCGCGGCAATAGGACTCTTCCGTTTCCAGAGGAAGTGTTGCCATTGATCTACCCGTTCCTAACATGGCGGGACACTTATCGTGTGCGAGGAGTCTCGCGATCATGGCAAACGGCCTATCGTGCATCCCTAGAACATGCTTCCCTGGTGTGGACTTCACAAGTATTTCAAGGCGAATCATGGGATGAAATCCTTGGCAAGTTGCAAGCGCACGAACAAGTCTTCGAGACGCCAACACTGCCCCACTTGGCGTGGGTGATTGCCTCTGGCCAACCGCATTCGTTTCGGCGCATGTCAGGATGGCAAAAGCTTCTCGACGTTGTCACACAGCGGAATTTGCTTCCTGTGACTTGCAATGTCGTGTGCGCCTACAGCGATGCTGGACTGATTGGCTACAACACCAACGGGGGGGTTCCACCTACCGAACTCGAGTCGGACACGATCGACGGAAACATGGCGCTCGCTATCACAGTGGGGCATCTCCCAGGCACGTCGTTGACGCTCGCCCTTCCCGAGAAAGATGAGATCAATGCAATCTTGCGAGCAGTCCAGGCTGGCGCCGGTACGAGCGCTAGTCTTGGGCTTCCCCGCGACACGTCGTCTGTCGTTGTGCTCAGCACGAACGGCCGCCAGAGTGCCAATCTTCTTCGAGGTCTCCACTTTCTCCATCCATCCCTCGAGTCAGTCGTCGGTGCGCTGGTGCATTTCACCGACAGGTGCGTCCCACTGGTGTACCGCAATGCGACCTACAACCCAACCAACCGCACGTGGCAAAATCACCTTGTACAGACCACAAATCTGCTTGTGGGGTTCTCTGGCCGCGTTCGAGCAGCTCCGTTCGTGTCTCTGGGCTTCGAAGTGTGCTCGCCCATCCTGCAGGTGCTCGTAGAATATCCTGAACTCTTTACCTGATGAAATTTGCTCACGAGTAGTGTGCGGGTGTCGTCGAAGAAGAGCATTTCCACCTGTTGCACATGTACGACGCCGTCCATACGGCAGAGAACCCGACGAGACCAGTCCACCCCCTCGACGTCATGCGCCTGCCTCCGCCCCAGGGAAGTCTGCACTTGTTTGTGGCCGATTCAGCAGCTACGCTGGAATCTTTCGTGGTCGCGCCCAGCCCGACATACTCCGAAAATGCAGCAGGACTCACGTGCATCGAGTGCATGTACGACATCGACAAACACATTTTATTCTCGCAGTCGTCCGGAGATCTGACGATTGTCGATTACTGGCCCGTCGGCGCATACGGCGTGTTTTGCACCCAAACAGCGGCAGCAGCGCGACATGACTTTATCGCTTCGCTGAAGCAGGTACAGGACAAGGTCGCTGCGGAAGGAGGTCAAGCCATCGGGGCACTAACATTCCCGTGTGCCGCCCGCGGCGCTGTGTTTTACGACGTGCCAAACGCCGAGGGCGACTTGTTTCATGCTGAGTTTCCAAGCCTTCCTCTGACAGGCAGGAATTCAAATAGCAAATGCCTGTGCACTGAGCGAATTTGTTTGTAGGGGTGTTTGCCGGCGGGGAGATCGGCCCGATGGCACTTCCGGGGGGCACATGCGCCGCTGCGTCGACCCAATTGCAGCAGTTTACGACCTGTGGCGCGGTTTTCTACTCGACATAAGATGGAAGGGATGCTGGGAAAGGTTGGCTATCTCGTTGTGCAAGTTGTTGCTAGCCAGCCATTGCATCATCGTTCGGCCGACCCCTTGCGCCATGGAGATGATGGTTCGAAATGGGTCTGGTCTTCACTAGGATAAGCATCCACAAGGAAATGACCGACACAGTCGGCACGAATGAAGGACGAATGGAATCTAAGTGGGTTCTTGGGGTATGGAAAAAATGGTCAAGTCCTACGCCTTGGTCTGTTGGTTGCCAACTTCGACAGAGGCCGTGACCAAGTCCCGCAGGATGTCGCAGAGGCGCTTGTGGTTGAAGACGCGTTTTTCATACCGGTCTTCCGTCAACTTGACGTGTTTTTTGTTTTTGTTGTAGCGGGGGCCGCACAGTTGAATAAAAATCTCCTTTTGCGCGTCGGACAACGAGAGCGCGCTTAGCGGCACTTCCATCGTCACCTTGGTATCGTACGTGGTCTGGTCATCCAAAAAGAGTTTGTTGTCAAAGTCTTCAAGGGTCACGTTCATTTGCATGGCGATCTTCGACCCGTCCAGCAACGGGTGGATCGTGGATTCCCATGAATGGTCCATGAACGGGACGAGGTCCTCAAACACTTGAAGCATCTCCACATCGTGCTTCATGTCGTCCGTGAATCCTTCGGGGAAATCCGTGTTCCACCAGCTAGGGTTTTCAAAGTTCTCTTGGATTTCAGGCAAGTCGTTGCCTTCCCACGTGTCGAACGCAGTGTGGAAAACGCGTTCGACATCGCCTTCCAATGGATCAAAGTTGTCACCGCCGTCGTCATTCTTCTTTCTCTGAGTGGAGAAACTGCGCATCGCATGAAGAGAAGAAGGAGCGACCACCTTCGTCACGGTGAACTTCTGGGTCGCATGACGGCCAACTCGTTGGAGCGCGGCGCGGAAGGCCATTATGCAATGCCAAAACGCAAATTGACACCAACCGTTTGACGTCCAAGGCGGGCGCAACGACGTACCTCTATTACTCGATATACGTTTAAATATTATATGCTTAGAACATGGATAGAACTTTTACCTCCTTTGAAATGCGTAACCTCTATAAATGGATGCTTCATCCTGTGCAACGAATTGGCCAATCAAATTGCCGTACGTTGTTGAAACGTATTTTAACCAATGAAATGCCATTTTTGGACTGTGAGCCAATCAAAACGATACAAATCAGCACCAGGTTCACTTCCACTTCCGACATCTTACCAGCGGCCATGAGCGAGCCCGATGATCTCTTCACGCTGAAGAACCAGTTTTGGGTCGGCAACTACCGCAATGCGATCCAAGAAGCAACGGTTCTGACCCATGTCTCTGAAGCAACCAAACTGGAGCGCGACATCTACGTCTATCGCTCCCATCTTGGCCTTCGCAACTACGCAGCCGTGTTGACAGCAATCCCTGACGGCGTCGCATCTATCTCACTGAATGCCATCAAGCTTTACGCGACATACCTCAACGGGGGGGATGCAGAAATCACGTTGCTTACCGTGCGCGAGTGGCTCAACTCCCAACATAGCGAAAACCCGCACTTGCTCCTCGTGGCGGGGTTGATCTTCATGAGAGAGCATAAATTCTCGGACGCGCTGTCCGCATTTCTCAAGGGAAAGACTTTGGAGCATTCTATGTATGCCGTACTGATCTACCTGAAGATGGATCGCGTGGACCTCGCCGAAAAGCACGTTGCGGACATGCAGCGCATCGACGAAGACGCGACGACAACCCAATTGGCGCTGTCATGGACGTTGGTTGCAAAAGGTGGAGTTGCATGCGATGAAGCAGCTCTCCACTTCCAGGAACTTGGAGACCGATTTGGTGCATCGGCGTGGCTGCTCAACGGGTCTGCTGCGGCGTTCATGGGCCTCGCTAACTTCGCCGAAGCTGATCGGTTGTTGCTCGAAGCCGTGGCGAAAGACCCGACGTTCGAAGATACGTATGTCAACTTAATTGCCACGGCCCAGCATTTGAAGAAGGGCCAAGACACGATCCAGCAGTACCTCGCGCAGTTGCAGCAAGTTGCTCCCGCGAACGCGTGGTTGGAGTCGTACTTGCGCTTGGAGAGCGGCTTCAACCGTCTTGCGGCAACGTATGTATAGAAAACAAGATGGACTAATGCACACGACTCGGCGCGGAGCGATTCTGTTCCGTTGATTTCACCATTGGAAAACGGGCTTCGGAAATGTGGCAACTGCTTCATCGCGTGCTAAGCGCGCAATCGATTGTTGCGGCCAATCTTGCCCAGGCCACGTTCGCCGTGCTCTCCTGGATCATTTTCGTCGTTCGTGTGGACTCGTTCGTGAAAAGAATTCCGGGATGGATTACCCACGTGCTGTGATAATTGGGGTCGATGGATTCTTTGCATAGGAAAAGGCAACGGGTCGAGTTTAATTGAGGGGGTTACGAGAATAGTCAATACAAATCGGACCGACGACGGTCCTCAGCCTGCAGCTGCATGCGCCCAGCTCCAGCGAGTCGCTTCGACGCGGGGGCAATGTTGCTCGTCGACTGAGTCAGCTTACCATTCACGTATTCCTCCGACTTCGTTTCGACACGACCGTCGGCGTGGTGAATCGTCGATGTCGTCTTTGTGATGACTTGACCGTTGCGGTTGCGAATGCTGGACGAACTGCTGGAGGTACTGCTGCTCATCATCATGCTTCCACCGCTTCCGAACGAATTGGAGCTCAGCACAATGTTGCCAAATCCACCAAATCCACCAAACCCACCAAACCCACCACCGAAGCCCCTGCCGCCATGAGGATCATCAAACAGGTCATCCAGGATACTTCCACGAGAGAACGGATCAAATCCGTGAGCCCTCCGTTGGTTTGTGGGAGCAAATGGGTCACCACCCCCAAAAAACGCTCGAAAAATGTCCTGGGCGTCGAAGACACTGAACGGCTGGAACACGCCGTCCGAGTAAAACGCAGACGCCGAGCCACTGCGTCCCCCACGAGATCCCGCGCGGCCGCCGCCATATTTTCTTGCATAGTCGTATTCCTCTCTCTTGCCTTGGTCACTCAACACCGCATACGCTTCGCCGATCTTCTTGAACTTTTCTTCAGCCTGGGGATCCTTGTTCTTGTCAGGATGCCATTTGATCGCAAGTTTGCGGTACGCCTGCTTGATGTCGTGGTCTGTGGCATGCTCTTCCACCTCGAGGATCTCGTAATAGGTCGCCATGCCGCCGCCGGAACTTGGCGGGGGATTTTCTAAAATTATGCCCCGTCCCCACTTCAACATCACTTCGAGAACGTTCGATGAAACTTTATATTTTCCGGATAAACCTGTGATACTTGGAATAATGAATGATTTCTTAAGAATTTTTAAATGAATGTTGTTGTCCAGATGTGTCATTTTCGACAAGGTCCTGTGTCATGACGTCGCCGTCACCCGACACGTCCATCTCAGGATTGCTGTCGCGAATGACGTCCTTCCGCTTGTACGGCGCTTGAACATGACGATTTTCACACTGATGAATGCTGGGGTAGCACTTTGAGTGAGTCGGACGGCTCCCAGTCAGCCTCGCAAGCAAGACCACCTCAAATCAAACGAGAATTGCACATGAAGGTTGCGATTGTTGGTGGGAACGGAGTGGTATGTTCCTACGAGTTACTGTCATGTTGTGTTCATGAACGTGCTTAGGGAAAGTCGTCGATCGTCCGCCGTTGGCTCAAGCGGCCGTATCAATCTGCGTATCATCCGACAATTGGTGTGGACGTACACACGATCAAGTATTCTAAGCGGGGAGCTTCAAAGGACTCACCAATCTACGTCGACGTTTGGGACGTATCGTGCGCCGAAGTCAACAGCCCTGCGTTCCACGAACTGCTGTGTACCGGTCTCGACGGCATCTTTTTCGTGTTCAACGTCCATCGCGTGAGCTCGATCGCGGCCGTGGATGCATGGCAAACCGCTTTGGGCAAGTTCATCTCGTCGTCCGAAATTCCATTCTACCTACTCTCGCACAAAGCCGACATGCTCCAGAAACGCGTCATGACGAGCGACGATATTGATGCCTACGTGCGGGTACCCAATTGCGTTGCTCAACCATTCTGGCGAAATAATGGACGAACTGACCTCTCTAGACCGCAGGATTCAAAGGATGGAGCTGGACGGTAGGGCGCGCCGGGCTTGGAGAAAGCGACAAGAACCCGGCGGTCTTGGAAGCTCTCGACACGATGGTATGTGCATGAATCGGCTGTAACCACACTCAAGTCACATTTTCATTCAGATCGATCTGATATGTCGGGGCAAATCAGCAGATGAAATGCTGCGCGACAGGTATTCCCAATCTACGAGCATCTCCAGTCGCGGCGTACGTGGCCGTGTGGTTGCCTCTTTGCAACCTATTGATGCGTGCAACAGGACGGCATTCTGCAGCCCATTCATCCAATCGAAGTCGCGATCCCGTCTGCTGCAGGGACGTTGTCCTTCGTGCATGTCCCGACGCAGGCAATTACGACGATTCCCCGGGACGTTGCCGACGACGTTCCATCGCGCGCCAATGCGGCCGGTGGGTTCGGGGCCGCGTGGATGTTTGGCGACCAAAAGGGACAGTACCTCGTTGTGCATTCGAGAGAGTCCATGGACATGGTTGATTCATCCGACGGCGAAGCGCTGTCCGACGTCGGGAGCGACCGAGGAAGCACAGCGTCCTCGCACGAGACCACGACGACATTGCATTCTCCAGTCGAAGATGACGGATGGAGATTCTTCGCCGGGAGCCTTGACCGCGCCAAAACAGAGCGACTGCTGAGGTATCACAGCATGACTGCCTCGTGAACAACCGAGAGCACTTTGACGTTGTAGCACACACGGCGAAGGCGCGTTTTTGGTGCGCCGTAAGGACGCTCGCACGTTGGTACTGTCGTACCAAGGAAACCACGACGACGCCCATCATGTGCTTCTCGCGTTTCAAGACGGCAATTTCTACGTTGGCGGTGCGCCATCGTCGTCGAGACAGGTATGCGGTCTTTGCTCAGCCCTTGTCCACAAAACTGCTCCGTCCTAGCCCTCTACAGCTCCGCCGCTGCCGGCTTTCTCGACGCTCTCCAAGTGCCTCCGCAGCTTGCGCAAGTACGCATTCCGCGGCCTGACGTTCCACCGCACGCCGTCGAAATTTCAGTTTGGCAGACCATCGACCATGGACGTTGTCGTGGCACCTCCAACAGGCCAACGAAGATCCGACGTGGCGGCGCCGCCTTCGTCTTGGACACCAGACGCGAATGCCCCCCAGGCGCATATGCAAGCTCCCCAAACTCCCGTTGACGTGCCTCCCCTCCAGCGCCTTGGCGACATGATGTCGCAGTTTTACTCGCAGGTCCGACAACGACTGGACGATTTTGAACGCCTTGGTACCACCGGTATGACTTGCAACCACGGGGAGATTTCATTTCCCTCTCCTTTGTGACGCTGCGTGTGCCTTGTAGACAAGCCACAACTAGACTCGTTGCGAGAGTTGGTACGACTTGGCCAGCGATAGAGTACAAACAATTGAATGGACTGCAATAGGTCGATACTGAAGTCGCAGATTATGCTAGCACCGCAACCGACCAAGCCGTGGAAGTCGTGTGGCGAAGGTTCGTCAGGGACATGGAGGTCTGGAGCCAAATCCTGGCAACACTGGTACCACCACCACCCAAGGAAGCGTGGCCGTTGGTTGACACTCTGCTGCTAGGACATCGATGCTCCATAGCATCTGCTTTGATATGCCACATACTTCGAATGACCGCGTAATGAGCCAACACGTTGATTTGTCTGCTGACCTCCGTGTGGCTGAGGACGTTCGAGGGACAAAGTCCATGTGCCTGGTAGTGCAATTTGGTCGCTTCACCAGTGGTGACTGGCTCGTACGAGCGCTATTTGCGCACTGGATGCGACGATGAACGTAGGGCGCAGCGTCAATCGAGTTGCATTACACAATAGACAACGGCCCTTGCTGGAAACGTCGCCATTTCCTTCAAACAGAAGAAATGATCCATTCATAGCGAAGACTGCTGTGGCTCCAGAGCACCACGTACGCCTTTCAACATCGCTCTGCTTGAGTCTCTGCGACTACAAAGACGTTGCCGCGGGGCCGCCGTCGCCCTCCATTCGACCAATATCAACTCCGAGATCAAGTTATTCATCATCTCGTATGTGGCGTCAAAGAAACCGCCAGGGTGACGCTTGGTGCACAAGAACATCGTCATGTCGACGGGAGGCCGTCTGCTTGAGGCAAGAGCGGTGAAAAGTCGTGTGATTCCAGAAAAGGATCCGCTCTTGACGACAGGAGAAGTCGTCCTCCACTTGATCAAGGGCAACATTGGCGCTGGGGCGCTGTCACTGCCGTATGCGTTTGCCAAGGTCGGGATTGCCGCGGGCCCCGTGTTCTACCTGTGTGTGGTGCGCATCCTGTACCACCCACACAATTCTTGCATACGCACGATATAGGTCGTTGTGTGCATCTACAACATGGACTTGTTGCTGTATTGCAAGCGCAGAGTGAGCCCGGACGGCCACGGGATGTCGTTTGGCGATGTCGCCAAACAAATCCTGGGAAGCGGCGGCAAGACGGTCGTGAATGTGTTCCTTGTCGGCACACAGCTCAGCTTTTGCTGCGTCTACTTTACAGTGGTGGCCACGAATCTGCATGCGATTTTGCCCGCGAGGTGCGGATGCCAACTCAACGACCGGGGTGCACTCAACGTCACTTGCACAGGGTGGCCGTCGATTTTGACGAGCGCCAGATTATCTTGCTCGTGTTCCCCGTCATCCTTGCATTGTCGTGGGTCCGCAGCTTACACCACATCACGCCGTTCTCTGCCTTAGGTAATCGCAACCATTTGTGACTGCGGGATTTGCCGAAAAACTCTGATCAATTCTAGCAAACTGCGCTGTGTTGTTGGGGATCGGGATCGTGTTTTTCTACTCTGCCCAAGCGTATGTTCCAGAGGCGCCTGCGACCCCACCGATTGCATTCACGTGGACGTCCTTTCCAGAGTTCTATGGTTCGTGGGATGGATTGTGCTCGTTTGGTGTCACATGCTGACTGGGTAGGCACGGCTGTCTACAGCTTCGAAGGCATTGGGTTGGTCCTGCCACTCGAAAATGGCATGCACGAGAAAGCTCGGTTCCGCTGTGTCTTGCTGTGGACGATGGTGTTCATTATGGTGTTGTTCCTGTGCCTCGGCGAGTTGCCGGTGCTGGCATTCGGGACTATCGACAACGGCAGCATGACGGCGGTGCTGCATCAGTACTTTCCAGGGTGGCCTGTGGCGCTGGTACGACACTTGACACTCTCTTATCGTAAACTTCCTCTGATGCTTTCCTAGGCCAACGTTCTCATGGCGGTGGCGTGCCTCTTCACGTTCCCGATTCAATTCTATCCTGCTCTCGAAATCCTCGAAAAGTTGCTCCTGCGTCGAGGATTCTTCACTCCGACCATTCAATCATACGATGGCCTAATGCCGCTTCCCGTGTCCCAATTGCAGAGCAGAGCATCAGCGGGCTCATCTTCGACGGCACGTGTTCCTCAAGTATTGGACAAAGCTCTGAAGAACACGACACAGTACGAAGTCCGCCGCACCATGTTTCGATCCATGCTATGCACGACACTCATGCTTGTGGCTGTGTGTGTGCCCAATGTGGGGCTCCTCATCAGTCTGTTTGGTGCGGTGGGATCAAGCATGTTGGCAGTGACCATTCCTCCAATCCTGTACGTCAATCTCGATGGCGCGACGCTGTCGTGGTATTCCTGGACCTTGCACATGCTCGTGGCGGGTGCTGGCATTGTCGGAATGGTAGCAGGGTCGTTCCAAGCCATCGTAGACATTGCCAGCACCTTTGAATGACAACGGCGTCCTCGTCCTTCCGCGGCCGTCGTTGCAATGCCTGTGCAACGGAATTACCACGATTGGCCAATCAGACGCCGCCAGCAAGTCCACACCCGATAGGGTTACCACATCATGATACTCTTATATGAAGGAAATGAAATTGTGCAGTTTTATGTAGGCTTGAAGAAGACTACTTGGACCGCATCTTGTATCATTTATAAACGGTTATGTGTTTCCAAGTCTTTTCTTCACTACAGCGTCAACTTGGGGACCACAATCGGCACAATACGCAGGACGACCATGAAGGTGGCGACGTGGATCAGTACGGCGACGTGCCTCTTGGCGACGCTCAGCCATGTTGCACATGCAGATGTTGAATCCCACGAGGTATGTGTTACGGACGCGGAGACGTTGGCACGGACTTGACTGCGTGGACCCATGTAGTACGAGCCGAAGGAAGAGGTCGTTGCTTGGGTAAACAAGATTGGACCGTTCAACAACCCGCAGGAAACATACACGTACAACTCGCTTCCATTCTGCAAGGCCGACGGTCTCGAATTGCCAGAAGCGCATGCGTTGGGCATCGGTGAGATCCTCGAAGGCAACGAGCTGTTCAATTCCGGCATGAAGTTGCAATTTGCCGTCGATACACCCAAGACAACGCTATGTTCCCAAACGTTTTCTGCAAAGGAAGCGCAAGAATTCATCGATGCTGTGGACGAGCATTATTGGTACCAGATGAGCGTGGACGACTTGCCGTTGTGGGGACTTGTTGGCCGGGTCGTTGCCGACGACGACGAGCCCGAAATCCTCGAACAGGTTTTGCGACGTGCCTTCGCCTGGATGTCGATGGAAGGTATCCGCTCATTTTCTTGGATCCCCTCGTAGTTTAAGGTTGGCGATCGCCTGATCTACACGCACAAGCGGTTCAGCATTTCGCACAATGGCCCAAACATCATCCACGTCAACTTGAGCTACGCCGAGGTCGCAACGACGATCCAGGCCAACAAGTACAGCCGACTTCACGTTTCACCATCGGCTAACGCTCTGGGTACACAGGAAGATCAATTTCACGTACGAAGTGTCGTGGACTCCGACGACGATTGAGTTTGACGATCGTTTCGATCGGTATTTGGAAGACGAGTACGTTCGCAGCCCACATGTTCTTGTTGCATTCGTCTCATTGCGGTCTCGATAGGTTCTTCGAGCACCAGATCCACTGGTTTAGCATCTTCAACTCGTTCATGATGGTCATCTTCCTTTGTGGCCTTGTCGCCCTCATTCTCTTGCGCACATTGCGCCAAGACTACGCCAAGTTTGCAGCCGACGACGACGAACTCCTGCTCGAGCCTGGCCAGACGAGCTCCATGCTCAAAGACGAAGGGTCGTCTGGGTGGAAGCTCCTCCATGGCGACGTCTTTCGTGCGCCGCGCCATTTGCTCCTGTTCTGCGCGCTCTTGGGCACGGGGGCCCAGCTGCTCGTGCTGAGTTTCCTGGTCATTCTCATCTCCATCGTGAGCTCGTTGTACATGAAGCCTGGCGGAGTCGTCTCGGTCGGTCTCACGTGCTACGCGCTGTCGTCGTTGGCAAACGGATGGGCCAGCGGCGCGTCGTACCACCAGTTCTTTTACCCCCGCGTGTCGAAGGACTGGATCAAGGCGATGCTTTTGTCGGCCGGGTTGCTGCCGTCCGTCGTGTTTGTCTCGATCTTCTTCATCAACTTGACTTCGATTGCTTACGGCACGACGTATGCCATTCCGTTCGTCACGATTGTCCAAGTGATCCTCGTCTGGTTCTTCGTATCGTGTCCGTTGGCCGTCCTTGGGACGATTCTCGGCCGCCATGGCGCCGCCAAGCGCGGGTTCCCCTGCCGTGTCAACAAATTCCCGCGTGAAATCCCCGAAGCACGGTGGTACCTCCGCCCGTTGGTACGTCCAGTGTGCCCGACACGGACATTTTCAACAGAGCCGCGTCTTGCGTAGGTCCTCGGGCTTCTCACGGGCGTGCTTCCGTTCGGATCAATCTTCATCGAGATGTATTTTATCTTTGCCTCGTTTTGGAACTACAAGTTTTACTACGTGTACGGGTTCATGCTGCTCGTGTTTGTGATTTTGACCATTGTCACGCTGTGCGTCACGATCGTGTCAACGTACTTCTTGCTCAACGCGGAAAACTACCATTGGCACTGGACGTCGTTTTCGGCCGCCGGCAGCACCGCGCTGTACGTGTTTGCGTACTCGGTGTACTTTTACTTTTTCAAGACGAGCATGTCTGGGTTCGTCCAAACGAGCTTCTACTTTGGCTACATGTACGTGCTGGCGATCGCGACGAGCGCATCGTGACGACTTGTGTAGGGCGCTCTTTTGCTTTGCCTTTTTCATCATGTGCGGAACGATCGGGTACTTTGGAAGCAGCATCTTCACCAAGAGAATATACCGAAATATCAAGGTCGAGTAAGGGGGTCCGTTGGCGGCAGTGCCTGTCGTCGTGAAAGTGACAAGACAGCTTGTCGTTGCCAGGACAAGAAGTCTGGAAGGCGAACGATCGGCACGGCGACATAACCCTTGAATACGATGCGATCTGCTAAAAGTAGTCGGGGCCCGCAGTCGGGCCGTTTTGCGCCGCCATGATGTCCAACGCATCGTCGGACGTGGCGAGGGAAAATTGCACCCGACCCTCGTCCAGCACGGCCGATAGCGACGCCTCCAAGTGTTTCGGCAGTTGCACGAGCGCCCGCAACGTGCGGTTCGCATGCGGCGTGATGATGTGCGCGTCCGCGTGGATGCTGAGGAGACCCATGTAGATGCGAAACATGTGTGGCCACCCGCCTTGAAAGAACCCGTCGAGGAGGATGCCGATCGTGCATGGCGACAGCGACGGCTCGTTGAGGAACAGACTCATGATCCATCCACTCGAGAACATGTGCGGATGGATGCGATGGCTGCGAAGGCACTTGTCCACAGAGGGCAAGTGGGCGCGAATGAGGTTGTGCAGCTGGTGCATGCGCTGTGTCGTGCCTGGTAGGTCGGGCAGGTGGAAGAGGTCTGCCATCGCGTAGTGCTGCATGGCGGCGGCAAACACTTGAAATGTGGCTTCGTCGTCGTACTCCAAGCACGTCAGGAGACTCGCGCCGAGGAATGTCATGCCGTGGCAGTACCCCACCAACGGGTCCAGCTGGCAATACGCCATCAAGACGTGGGTGAGCTTGGTGTGGAGGCCGTGGAGGGTCTCGACATCCTCGCTGGACATGTCGACTTGCGCCCCGAGACGGCCCGTTCCAGACAGAGATGGAGTCCGAGGGTACATGTGCTCGGCACGCACAAACGTTGTGCGCTTCACATCAGCGATTATCGTGCGGTGGAATCGATTGTGTTTATCTTTGATGGCACGGTCGAGCAGTGTGTGATAGCACCACACGGCCGGCTGGTGCGAGGAACGACTTGTTTGGGCGACTGACGTTCGAATAGCCATCCTTGCTACGTGCGACTCGATAGCATGCTGCCACAGCCTGCCGCGGACGCGACCGGACCGCATGGAGCGCGACACGACCTGGTTGGCGGCGATCGCGTTTTTCCATGTGGTCGAAACCAGTTGACACCGGAGGACAATGTCTGCCGTGGTCAAGTACTCAAATACGTGCAGAAACACACCAGAAAACGATCCCCGCAGCGGCATCTCTAGCAATTGGAGCTCCCTGACCAGGAGCGACACGGCATCTTGCCCGGCGACCACAATGGACGTTTTCAACGCGTCAAGTTTGGCGAGGATTTTTATCACGACGTCGACCTTGGGCCGCACAGTCCGTTCAAAGTCTCGGACGAGCGCGTCCATGGCGGACAGCTTTATGTTGGCCTGAGCGATGCGCTTCCACGCGCGGGGACGAACTGTGTTGAGTTGAGACTTGTCTAATCGATCGAGTCGCGCCAAGTGGCGGGTGTACTCGGTCGTGTTGGTCATGTGTATGTGCTACACTTGGAAGGTAAATCACCTGCATGACTCGGCGCGTCGATGAGTGCTCATTACCATGGCTTCTTGCTGCATTCTGCGCGCTGACGCGATGTTTGGATTCTTTCGCACGTACACGCTTCGTTGGAATCGCATGGCTATGTCATGGACATCCTCAGCGTGCATGGGCAACACAGTTGCGTCCTGCAACCACACGCGACCATGTTACGCATCACACTGGAACTGGATCAAACTACCTTGACTTCGTTGAGCGGTAGAACCGAGGGAGGGTCCAACGACGGGTACGTCGACACGTACAGTTCGTGGTCAAGTTTATGCTTCTTGATGGCGCTCTCTGGTACGATGACTGCTGTCATCTGGGACACAGTGGAAGGTGGCAGGCTCTTGGTGCAGTCCGACCCCTTCCGCGAAGGAGTTCTGCTTGACGTGGCAGCATCGAACCATTGCGAAAGGCCTTCGAACGACTTGGCGATTGCCTCGAAGAACGTCAAATCCTTGTTCATGCGGCACGGCTGTGACATGCAAAAGATTTATGTGGCTGGTCGTCATCATCCGGACACCGGATAAAACAATCCTGACCAATCAGATCCGCCACATTCCCCCGCGGTCATGCGATATGTTGTTTGGTGCATCACTTCATTGCCGTGGTGGTCGACGCCTCTCGCTCCCATCGACATGACAGCGCGCGTCAACACGTACGAGAACGGTAAAGTGGTCCACATCGGGTCGACAGGAGACGCCGTCGGCTTGTCTGTGGCCAAGCTCGTCGCTGACCTGAGCAAGAATGCCATTGAAAACTCTGGCCGCTTCACCGTTGCACTCTCTGGCGGGTCCCTCCCCAAGGTGAGCTGTCGCATCCAGCATGACCCTGTGTTCACGGCAAAGGTCATGAGTAGATTCTCGAAAAGGGTTTATCCTCTTTGAAGGATGGCGTGGACTTTTCAAAGTGGCATGTCTTCTTTGCCGATGAGCGCGTTGTCCCGCTCGATCACGCCGACAGCAACTACCTCGCCTGTCATGACGCTCTCTTCCAGCATGTTTGTAACCACGCCGCGCCACATATTGCCCTTCGTTCTTATCCATAGTACAGGTGGCCATCCCACGCAGCCAAATCTACATGATTGCCTTCAATGACGACCCTGCCGTCGTTGCTCAAGACTACACTCGTCAACTTAGCCAGCTGTGGGGCTCCGAGGTTGTCGTACCCACCTGCATTTGATCGACGTTCTCACTCTCATTAGTTGCCGCGCTTCGACTTGATCCTGCTTGGCATGGGTCCCGACGGACACACGTGCTCCCTTTTCCCTGGCCACGCCCTCTTGGATGAAGCGTCGTTGTGGGTGGCGTCCATCTCAGACTCGCCCAAACCTCCTCCGAAGCGCATCACACTGACGTATCCTGTGGTGAATAACGCGGCCTCCGTACGTGATGGATTTATTTCGAGTCGTCGAATGTCGAACCAAAACATGGAGCTAGGTGGCTTTTGTCGCGACGGGCGACTCGAAAGCGCCGTTGATGCGCCATATGCTCGGTGTAGAAGCCCAGTCGCCGTCGCTTCCAGCGGCCCGAGTGTTGCCGACGGCTGGCCAAGTGCATTGGTTCATCGATGAAGCTGCCGCTGCCAAGCTCTAAGTCGTAGTAAACCTCACTTTGTGTGCATGTCTTTCCTGAGCATTGCATCCTACGCCCCTCGCGGTTCGGCCAGCACAGTGGAATAGTCGTCGCCAGGGCACGAGCGCACCTTCCTTGCCCACATAAACTATAAATGGCGCTTCCATAGGCAAGCATCTCGGGCGTCTGCGGATGTCTTCCAGAGTGGTCCGAGGGGATGGTGTCCAGGACGCGTCAAGCTTCATGGGGCCATCGCCTCGGCCACGTCCATCTCGCCTCGCTCGGTGGGTCTTCTGCATCGAGCACGTGCCGTCGAGGTGCCTCATGCATCGTCGGAGGCATGTACTTCCACTTACGTGCTCGGACCTTGAACTCGCCACATCAACACACCTTGAACGTGAACAATCCGGTGTGATAGGAGTAGTGGCTGTCATACAAACCCACCAAGCTCGAAAGGAACCACGTGCCGCGGCAATGTGCACCTCCCGGGCTTGCATTGACGAGCTTGCTGTGTAAGCCCTGTGCGGCGTGAAACACACCGCCGACGCTCGGGGGCATCTGCGGCTTCTCCGTCAAGTGCCCCAGGCCCCCCCCTCCGCGCCGCAGTGTATTTCACTTCCCATTTGCCAAACTTCAACCAGCACATGGATGCATTTGACTGGATTGGATAAAATTCATCCAAGAGACACATACGGATTGGCTCAATTTGTGCATCCAATCTGGAGCAAGGATACACCGGTGGAAGTTCCTGGCGACACTTTTGCATCACCCCCAAACCCTCGGTCGTGCGATGATCCGGTCCTTGCTCCACAAGTCGACGCTGTCCCCATCGCGCCTTGCGTTCCAGCACCGCCAACTCTCCATTCAAAATGCCAAGTGCGTCGGCGTTGTCCGAGAGGTCTACAACAAGTGGGAGCGCCGCGCCCCCGTCACGCCGGCCCACGTCCAGGAGCTTGTACAAGCGGGGGTCGAAGTCCGCGTGCAACCGAGCACTCAACGCATCTTCACCAACGACCAATATGTCGCCGCAGGTGCGACCGTCACGGATGACCTGTCGCCCGCGAACGTGATTGTCGGCGTCAAGCAAGTGCCGATCGCCAACCTCTTGCCTGACAAGACATATATGTTTTTCTCGCACACGATCAAAGCGCAGCCCGAAAACATGAAGCTTCTCGACGCGATCTTGGCCAAGCGCATTCGCATGATTGACTACGAGTGCATCACCCAGGGTACGACCTCCCCCGTTCCCACCCGTCATTCATGGAGAAGCAGGAGGCCAGCGCAATGGACAGCGCCTGATTGCATTCGGCGGATATGCAGGCCGCGCAGGGATGCTGGCGGGGTTCCGCGGCCTTGGCGAACGCCTCATCAACAAGGGCTACTCGTCGCCATTTGTCAACATCGGGTCAGCGTACATGTACCCGGACTTGTCTCGCGCCAAGGACGCCATCGTGGCCGCCGGCGAACTCATCCAAAAGAACGGCCTTCCCGAGGACTTGTCGCCGATGGTTGTCGTGTTCACTGGCAACGGCAACGTGTCCAAAGGCGCCCAGGAAATGTTCAAGCTCTTGCCGCACAAGATGGTCGATCCGTCCGAATTGCCGCATTTGCCGCCCAACCGCCACGTCGTCTACGGATGTGTCGTAAACGAACATCACATGGTACCGATACAAATTCCGAGTCTATGACGTGGCATCCCACGATTGTTCTCCCTATGTCAGGTGAAGCGCAAGGACGGGTCGGAATTCACCAAGTCGGACTACTACAAGCATCCCGAGCTGTACGAGCCCGTGTTCCATGAAACGATCGCGCCGTACACGTCGCTGCTAGTCAATTGCATGTACTGGGACGACCGGTACGACATTTCCGCCACATGCTCGTCGACGTAACAAAATGCATCGCGCGTAGGTACCCTCGCTTGATCACCAAGGACCAGATAGACGACCTGGCGCGCCAGGCGGGTGGCGACCCGAAGCTGCAAGGGGTCGCGGACATTTCGTGCGATTTGGGCGGCAGTGTTGAATTCCTCGACCGGTCCACAACGATCGAAGATCCGTTCTTCCTGTACGACATCAAGTCCCGCACGTCCAAGTCGTCGTTGGAAGGGTCCCCAGGGTACAATGTGTCGCTCCTGCGGCTGCCGCCATGTCATTCTGTCTGGTAGAGTCATGATGATGGGAGTCGATATCTTGCCGAGTGAGTTGCCCACGGAATCGTCGACGCATTTCGGTAATCACTTGGTCAGCTACCTCAAGGTTCGTGCATTGCCCAACGCTGCCACGGACGCGGTAGTTGTTCTCATGGACGTGGTTGGCTGTAGACCCTGTCGGCGGCGGATGCCACGACCCTCCCCGCCGAATTGGAAGGCGCAGTGATTGCCAAGGACGGCAAACTCGCCCCCAAATTCGAGTACATTCAATCGATGCGCCAAGAACGTGAACGATCCAAGGCCCATCAGTACGAAACGGAAGCGGCCGCGATCGCCGGCAGCACGTGCGTCCAGTTTGAAGGCCACATGTTCGACAGCGGCCTGCTCGACAACGTGCTGAACCTGGTCGAGTCGCACAACGGCGGGTTTGCCGTGATCGAGTGCCAAGTGCGACCGAACTTCAACGACGCCGACTCGCCGACGACGTCGGCGCGGGTGTCGCGCGTGATTGTCCAGATCAGCATGGACACTCGGGTACGCATCATCATGCTCGCGCTGTTTCGGCGAGAATATCCTGACCACGCACGAATTAGAGCGAACTGGACGAAATTCTGCGCAAAATCCACGCGCTGGCCGACTTGACCCCCAAGGCCGAAGCGAACGTCCGTGAATTGCCCGACTACTGCCAAGGCAAGTACGACCAAACCCTCCGCCAGATCAAGGACGGTGCCGGTATGTCGTTCACTGGCAACGCCACTGTCCACGATGCCGCGGAGCGCAAGAACATTGTGTGCCTTGGCGCCGGCCTCGTGTCGGCGCCGTTGGTCGAGTACCTCACCCGCGACCCCAACCATTCGTTGACGGTCCGGACACGTTTATGAAATGTTGGCGCATGCTGACGAATTCGAGTAGATTGTGTCTGGGTTGCCGGGGGAGGCGTCCGCCATGGCGCAAAAGTACACCAAGAAGAACCGCGCCGTCAAACCGGCCACAATCGACGTTGGCAAGGACCAGAGCTCGGTGGCGTCTCTCGTGTCGGAAGGTTCGTAGTTGATGGAGAGATGGCGTTTCGTTGGGTTTGGAGTCACTTGTGCCGCTCTGCTAGCTGACTGCGTTGTGTCGCTGTTGCCGGCCCCCATGCATGTCAACATCGCCAAGATGTGTTTGGATTCGGCGACGCCGCTCGTGACGGCCAGTTATATCTCCCCGGAAATGCACGCGCTCCACGGTCAAGCACAGGCCCAGCGCATCCCGATTTTGTGCGAACTTGGCCTCGACCCTGGCATGGTACGACCAATTCTTGGCACGTCTTGTCTCACCGTCTTGTCATTAGGACCACATGAGCGCCATGAAGATTATCGACGAAGTCCAGGCGAAGAATGGCCGCGTCGTATCATTTTCGTCCGTGTGTGGGGGGCTGCCCGCCCCGGAAGCCGCGGACAACCCGATTGGGTACAAGTTTTCGTGGTCGCCGCGCGGCGTCTTGATGGCGGCGCTGAACGCGGCGCAGTACCGCAAGGACGGCAAGATCGTCCAAGTCAAGGGGTTCGTCGAGGTCAGCGCCCTCTCGCATGTGACTACCGTGCTTGTAGGGAAGACTTGTTGACGACAGCCGAACGAGTCAACTTTTTGCCCGCGTTTGCGTTGGAGCAGATCCCGAACCGTGACTCGCTGCCATACGCCGACATTTACAACATTCCAGGTACAAAATACGCCACTGTCGACGTCGAGAAACGTCGCTCGCTGCACATGTAGATGCCGAATCGATTTATCGCGGCACGCTTCGATATGCTGGCAACTGTGCCATCATGCACGAATGCCGCCTGCTTGGCCTCATGAACACGACCCCCGAAACGCTGCCTGCCACATGGCCGGAACTCCTTGCCAAGCTCAAGGCCCGCAAGACCCTCCGCCCGGATGCGGAGGCATTCTTTACGTGGCTGGGATTGACCGACCCTTCAACGGTCATTGGTGCGTCGGCCTGCTGTTCAACTACCTTCACATCCCATCCTGCTCTTGTTGCATCGATAGATCCATCGGCCACGTGCACGATCGACGCGTTCTGCTCGCTCTTGACCAAGAAGCTGTCGTATCTCCCCGGCGAGCACGACATGGCGATCATGCACCACGAATTCGGCGTCGAATTCCCCGACCGCCGCGAAGTCATCACGTCGACTTACGTCGGGTACCTTTCTCCGTGATGGGTGCATGCACATGACGAACTGATTCATCCTAGATATGGCGATGAAGAAAGCACAGTCATGGCCAAGACCGTCGGGATGAGTGCCGCGATCGGCGTCGAGTTGATTTTGCGAGGAGATGTCTCGTCGACGGGGGTGTTAACGCCGACGACCCCCGACATTTACACACCTGGGCTGGCTCGCCTGGAAGCGGAAGGCATCCGTTTCATTGAAAAGACCCGCGTCGTGGCAAAATAAGCGCCGACTCGAACGCGTGGTGGTCCAGCCAGCCCGTGTGCCTACTCTCTCCTAGCGAGCAACAATTGAAAACGTGCTACAATATACTCGAGTGGTGTTAGCGGGTAGCAGACGTGAGTGCTTTACAACACGCGAGCCAGGACGAGTCGCCAACTGGTGCCGATTACACACCAAACAGTCGCATGGCTTTTGTGGCCGCGCTGTTGGCCGCCAAATCTTTGGTTGGCACGACAAACGAGGTGTCCGTCCACTGACAGCGCGATTGCGTGCATGTGCTTGCCTCCGCCACCGTCCAACTCGTCAAAAGTGTTACTCGACACTGTTGGGGCCATTGCCGCACGTGGTGTAGAAAGCGTTGCTTGGGACCAAGCCCGTCGCGATCGGCGACGACCTAAAACGAGATGACAACAAGTGCAGCAGTCTCTCCGAGAAAAGGTGCCTACGGCGGGAACAAGAACAAACAAGCGTGCGTGAAGAACGTGTTCGACGTCTTGCAGCGAGAGCTAAAGCAAGGCATGGCACATGCATGCGACAACAAGCAGTCCAGTCACCTGCTCCAAGTACATGGCCCCCAAAGATGCGACAAAAACGTCGGCCACCACGGGCAACAAGTTCATCGCCGCGCCGACTTCGGCAAGGCGAGCCTTGCTCAGGAGGGACGTCCGCACGGTCGACAGTAACGCTTCCTGTCCATTCAGTTGATACAAACACATGCGACACCACCGACCTGATGATACGGGACCATGTCCATCAAGTCGCGGGATGCCACGACTTGCAAGACGGAATCGCCAAGGAATGCAAGGCGGCCGCAATTGCCGTCGCCTCGATATCCCACCTTAGCCTTGCCTCCAGAGGCGGCAGAGCCATTCAACGACTTGTGGGTCATCATCTAAACGACCCGTTGAAGCGGTTGCCACCAAGGGTCAAGATCATGTTGGCATGGTCAACCTGTAGCCACAAATGCGGCCGATCCATCCGAATCGGACACGTCGCGAGGAACTGTTTGTGTCGACCACGCATCTGGCTGGCTTCGGCATGCTCTTGAAAGCTCTTGTGTTGGCCATCCAGTTCTCGCTGGACTTTAGCCGCCAAGTCTTGACTCAGTAGAAACATAAAGTCGGCCAACTCGGCGTCGTACACGACAAACAGTTGCTTCAAGAACGCTCTGGCGCTAACGACACCCCTCGCCCATCCCTACACGTCACCACCGTTGAGAATTCATCCGACCAATGGCGATTTTCGTACTTGCTCGTAAATGATGGCACCGAGAATCGCTTTGACGCAGTCTGCTGCGACAGCATTCGACACGTCCCTACGACGTTTCCGAGGTCATCGGGTGGTCCTTCATCTTGTCTCCGACAACTCACTCGTCGACGGTGGCCAAGTCAAACGACGTCAAAATGAGTTGGTCGAGCTGGCACGTCTTGGCCAAGTCACCGACCGTGTCGTTGGTGACGATCTTGGTGCGCAAGTCGTGCAAGTGCCCTTCGGACACATCGGGAAACTACAACGAGTTGTCCCCAACTACCAACGCGATGAATGGATGATCGCACCTGACAAAAAATGTTGGACGAAACGACGAACGTCAAGACAGCATCGCCCAGAAACTTGAGACGGTCGTACGGGCACAAATAATGCGAGTAGGAGGATGCGTTTGGTTGAATGGGAGTTGCCGGCGATGTGTGTGCGGTGGTGCATTTTGGCGGTCCATTCAGTGGCGATAGCGTATTTGTCCGAAACGTGTGGCCCAACTGTACGCGTCCGACGACACCTTCCAACGTGTTTGCATGCTGCACGCCGCAATCGATGCTCGAGACGTGTGTGAAGGCTTGCCGGAGGAGACATTTGTCGTCAAATTCGAGCTGCCATCGCGCTTCAAACTCGTCGAGTTGGATGCAATGCCGCAAGAACCGAAAGATAAGTGGCAGCGCCGACGCGATCTACACACAACAGAAACTCAATCCGACTGATGGGTCGCATAGCTCGTCGAGTGGCGGTTGCTCGAGCCTTCAGACTCGGTCAAACACAACTAGACCGATGGCTTCCACACCTCGAGGACGTCGCACTTGAGACCAGTGAGGTAGCTCACGTTGGGATGCAGCACTTTCATCGTGGAAGGGACCTGGGGCGACTCGCTGACCAACGGGCCGATTTCTTGCCACGCCTTGACTCGGCGGGGGTCTGTCACGCCCTCCAAGGGTTTTGCGCCAAGCCCATCATGGAGCAGTTGCTATGCCACGAGTCGATGGATTTAATGCAGGGATGCCAATCGTCGTACCGGTTGAGATGTGGCAATGTCAACGCGGAAACAACCTGAACACATAAGGACGAACAACGCCATCGCATGAGGCCTTCTGCGACGGTAAAGCATAGTGTGGACTCCATACCTACATGATTCGCGCCGTCCTCATACGCGACGACGTGGTGCAGCAACGACTCCGGTGGGTACTCTGCCAGGAACATCTCGGCAGTGCACTTGGAACTAGCGACCATGTAGTCCATGATGACGTCGATGGAGAGAAGCGGCCCCGAAAGAAAGCCCATGCGCTGGACGTCCTACTCAGTGTTTAGAAAGTTCGTGTCGCGACGGCGTGAAAAACCAAGCCGTACTTGAAGTAACACGTCGTGGACGGCGACGAAGCGAGGGTAGACGTGAAAGGGTGCGCATGTAGGAGCTATGCCGTCCGCCGATGAAGGGTTCCAGTCAGGAAAGAGTTGGCTTGACGGGATGCGAAGAACCTGCTACAACAGGAAATCTTGAAACCCCGACAAGCGCAAGTGAACATTTGGGCCGACGAGCTCCGCCGGTAATGGGACGTGGTCAAACGTGATCGTGCATTTGATATTGTCATGAACGTACTCAAACTACGCCAAGTGTCAGCGACCTTATGCATGCATCTGCGCAGATACAGGTGACGGATGCAAGATGGTCTGGTGCGCGAGCACGTAGAACCCGTCAAACACATACGGCTGAAAGTCGGCCACGATGGTGGTTCTTGTCGTGGCTTGCGGGCGTTCTAACGATATACGAGCCATCAGATTGCTGAAGGCATAGAGTGCCCGTTTGCTTCATCACCTTCACACTCCCACTGCATAAGGACGCACTCCACAGTGCTGCAGTTCCAATCCAGCACCACGCCATGGTGGACAGACATGGATATTGCTTGAAGGAGGTTGTTGTCTGGTAAAACATATATACTGCGGAGTATTCTGTCCTCAATGATATCCACATTACGGTAAGAATGTCGGTCAAAGACCACCACTCGAATCCATGTCGTCCATGCAAGGCGGCGCATTCCCACATTGACCTCGACTCGACGATGAAGCATCCCTTGTACGGTGGCGCGCTTTCTTGCGAAATTCCGCGAGGTTTCGCCGATGTGAGTGAGTTCCGACAGGTTCCAGACAACCAGGAAGTGTTTGCGGAAGCGGCGACCGACCGCTGCATCATTGTGGAGCTGTTGGAGCTGGAAGCGTCCGTGAGCGGCACAGCAACTTCCGAGTTCTACTTCCATGAGATCGCAGAAAGCAACAATTGTGCACCGAATGACTGTACCATCTTGCAGACGTTACTGGCGACTGAACAAGACATCCCAGGCCTTGCCACGACGGCATTTGTTACGATCGGCAAGCAATGTGTTGCCAAGTTCAAGGAGGCGTCCAAGAACACGATGCAATTGTACGTCTGCTGCGTGCGCCTGCCAAATGTCTCGACCGACCTTGTCATCTCCGTGACCGTTCCCTTGCAGCTCCATCCGAGCAGCAGCAGTTCGCGTGATGCTCCGATTGCCACAAACGCCGATGAAGGCCAGCTCATTCTCAAGGGTCTTTTGCGCACGCTCGAGGTGCACGACTGGGGTCTATTTCAGTGAGCAAGTTCCTTGAGCTTGTCATCGACCACGTAGCGGCCAAGGAGCTCGCGAGGACAGTTTGCAGCATATACCAGACTAATTCGAAGCACAGCATTCGGTTTTCAATCGTGCCTGGATGCCCGAGCGCATTGCATCCACCAGACGCATTCAGAAAGCACTTCGGATCGATATCCATGGTGCCACCATTTTCAATGTGTTGCTCGTCGCGGGAAGGAGTGGCTAAAGTACAGCTCAGTCGCACTCGTCGTGTTTCCTGCGTGTTCCGTTGAATTTGTTATTCGCACGATCTATTGCCCAAGCATGGACCATGCATAGCGTTCCAGACGACCTCCTATTCAATAAATCTACTCGCCAACGGCAAAATACGCGCCTCGTTTGAGAGCTTCTGCCACTGACACCGCGCTCGGGACGTACAGGACCCCTGCTTGCTCTGTCTCGACCGGGAGCTTTTCGTACCACGCCGCGTCGAGCGAAGTGACTGCCGTGGGTCTCTCGCCCGGGTGGCACTCTGAATTCCTTCCCGCATGGATCGCGGTGGTTGCCACGAGCGACTGAAACACAGGAAGGGGCACCTCATCGGAACGTCGACTCGGCGCGTCGTCAAACAGGCTCTCGTACTCGGTCACGACAAATGCCGACAGTCGCAGCGTCAGAGGTTGCCGGACGCTTGTTGCTGCCACGGCAGCGCTCGTCACGAGTTTTTTTTCAAACGACGACCCGAACGTGTCCCAGTTGATCCCGACCAAGTCGATGCCCGTCAAGAGGACGCTCGGGAGGTTTGTTGTCGACGCTTCGACGGGGTCGCCATCTTCGTCGATCCCACCGGCAGACGTTGTGTCGTTGTGTAGGGCAGTTTTCATGCCCATCGCTTGGAGGGCAATTCCGGTCCCTCTGGAAAACTGTTGCAACAGCGCGAGGAAAAAGTGCTGGGCACCAAACGAAGCGTGTGAGGAGCCACGTTGTGTTTTCGCAACTAAACTCACCTTTGGATAAAGGAATGCACCAAGCCAGTGCTGTGTCGGCGGGCCATCGCGCACCCACGCCTCAAAGTATCGCATTTGACGAAGGAGTCGATACTGGAACGTCGTGTAGTTGGTTTCCGTCGACCGAGCGAGGCAAAGCCATGCGATGGGGGTCAAATTTAGCTGCGTGGCGTGGTGAATCTCTGCCAGTTCGGGGGACATGAGTGCTCCGTCGAGCAAGCACTACCCACGCATTCAGTCAGCCACCACTCTGCCATGGACTCCTCGCGTTGTGGCGCAGGATGCTTACCGCTTGCAGCTCAGTCAGATACACGACTAACTTCGTACGAATCGCGCGATATCCCGCGAGCTCTCGGTGGACAACGCCATGCATGGGGAACTCGTAGTGGATGGGACATTTGGAGACGTCGATGCCCAGTTGCATCGCCTCCAGCAGTTTCTCGAACGTGTTGTAGTGCTGGACGTCGGCCCGTGCCATGGCTGGGTCGTCGCAACTCACTGGCATGACCGCCGGCGATGACGGTAACCTGTCGAGATGTGGCTGGAACGAGCGCTGTATCGCAGCAACGAACTCGCTTGTTTTGGCCTCAAGGGGCATCTCCCGTGCCGTTTTCGCCAAGCCAAACCACGTGGGGTCATCCACCAGCGGCATGTCGGGCAAATTGCTGACCGAAAGCGATAACTTTGGTGGCGGTGTTGTGACGGGTGGAGCGGCCGCCACGTGCGCGCCGATGGCATCCGACACGGACGAACGTTGAATCAATCGCAAGAGCGACCCAGCAGTACCGAGTTGACGAGCTTTCGACGCCCACGACGGGATGATCTGCTCCCATTCTGCCCGATGGCTTCCGTTGTAGTACCCGTCCATGATCACGCCGAGCATGGACAAGTCCCATGGTGACGTCAATTTGACGGCATACACATGCGACGCCGGGTCCAAATGTTCTTGTGCCAGAATCTGAAAGTCGCTCGTTTCAATGTCAAACGTGCCTTTCCACCCCAGAACGCCGTATTGCTGGCGGGCCATGAGGAGCGCGTGCAAAAAGCACAGACGCAGCCCGTCGCTTTCGACGACGGTGGCCTCGGAACCTGGCATGTTTGTGTGATTAGCATCCATGAGTTGACGTGCATGAAGCACGCACTGGAAACGGGCCGACGGACAAGGCTCGACGTGACCAAGAGCTGTTCGCGGAAGGATGTCCCGCAGTCTTGGAATCGCTTGACCGCAATTTGCGTCAGGGTCATGGGCAGCACCGTCGGATCATGCACACATAGCCACACGCGGAAGTCCCAATGGAACGCGGCAATGTCCATCGTCTACATGCTCAATTGAGTGGTGGTCTCGTCCTCCTACGCGAGTTGCTCTACCTTGTACATGTTGTCGATCGTTGCGATCCACTGACGGTTGGCGTCGGCATTTCGCAAGACAACCCACTGACCCGTCTTGGACGCTGCCACTAGCATTTTCTCGAAAGCACCATCATCTGCTACAGGCTGCCACGGTGCCATGACAACATCCGCTTTTGTTTTGGCCGCGGCTGCTCGGATGCCAAGGATCCCATCGCTATCCCGCGAAGCCACGACGACCAGAGGATGCTTGCACGACGAAATCGTGGCAGTGTCGCATACGGTCCAAGTAAACGCGGCCGAGAGGACCGACATGGTCACAGTCGATTTCGCGAAATGCAACACCTCTGCGGCCAACGCGTCCGGGCGAAGGACGCGCACGACACAGAGACGCTGCAGTGGCGTCAAGTCGACAGGCAAAGCGAGACGCGTGGTCTGCGGAGCATCGAGGAATTCTTTCCACACAAACTTGAGTTCCGTCTTGAACGATCGCGCAATGTCTCTTCGCTTGTGCGTCGGCAAAACGAAGCAGAACGCAGTGAACGCATGCCACGATGCTGTCGCTGGAACCCACGACGGGCATGGGATTGCAACGACTTGCGTCGGATGCGCGGACGGTTTGACAAAGAATCGAAATTCGGGGGTGCTGGAGAGAGCCCAATACCACGACCCCGACGACGCGTCCGCCACCGCATCCAGGTCGGCGTCGGCGCCATTTCGATTGTCGTCGTCATCGTCGTCATCCTTGTCCTCGACATCGTCATGCTCACCTCTGCCGCGCTTGTCACCGCTAGGACGTCCGTCGATTTGATCCGAGTGCTGCAGGCGTAAGGCAAACAAAAAGTCGACGAGCAACCTGTCCGGTTCATGGACGTTCCAATGCAAGACACGGTAGGCAGTGTTGGTGAACTTGTCGACGAGAACGGCGGCGCTGTCTTTCCCGACTCTGTCGATGACGTGGGTCAAAAGCGATACAAGGTACGCCACCGACACCCCGTACACTGGTCGGATGTGGCGCAGGTCGTCGAAGGCCATACATACGCTGCAGAATCGCTGGACCATCGCATCCATCGAGTACGGAACGTACTGAGCGTTGACGAGTTCGCTTTGTACTTGGTCAAACTTGTCCATGGACTCGCGATGGAGCGTGCGCCACTCAAACAATTTGGAGCTTTCGGCAAAGATCGAGTCGTCGCTCTTGGCGGTGGCTAACACATTCAAGCACTGGTCCTCGACGCGCCTCGCGTCCATGTCATAGTCCACCGCCGACAGTCGGAGCTCCTTCCAGTGGTGCGCCGTGTGTTTGGACGAACTACATACAAACTCGGCGCGAAAAAGGTCCATGCACACTTGCGGCGTCAACTCGACGTGGATGCAGTGCACAAGCGACGAAAACAATGGTAAACTCGGAGCGTTCTCGTCGGTCGTGAACAAGTAGACGGAGCTCAGCAGCGGAAACTCGACTAGCGTGTCTTGGACAGCCAGAACGTTCGGCTTGGACGCGCCATGGAGGGCCACATGCCGCCTTGCCAGGAGCAGCGGCAACGTGACGGACTTGACAATGTGGTCGACGGATGGAAACACGACAGGGCGAAGCTCCAACACTGCACGAAACATGTCGTTTTCGACCGCGGCCATGTTGTCCAGGTTCGGCCATAGCACGAGCGGCGTCTTGCTCTCGCTCATGTCTCTTGTCATGATCCAATTGAACGCGATGCGATGGGGGTCAATCACGAGCGGCACGAGTTCCATCGATGACAAAAACGCGGCATTTTCTCGGCACACTGGGTCATCTGGTACGCCCTGCGCCACCCATCGTTGCATGGTCGTTGCGTCGATGAGCAAGTCGCTCGTCGCGTGAAGTTGTGTGTGCAGGATCAACCCGTCCGACGTGAATTCATGGAGCCGTTGTAGCGCTTTCATCCACAATAGCATAAGCTGCCGCCTTCCATATGCGTTTAGGTGGCTCCCGTACATGAGGAGTCCGGTCGCGACCAAGAGATCCCCGGCCGCGCGATTCGTCCACTCCATCAGGTCATCGTACTTTTCCTTCCACCCCTTGACAAAGCCACGCATCGCTGCCAGCACGACTTCGGCTTTTTCGATTGCCGTCGAATGGTCCGTGAGTCTTGCAGCCAAGTCGCGGACTTTGGCCTCCGCGTCATCGCGGGACGTTTTCGTCTTTTCCATCTCGGCCGTTTGCTCCCGCAACAAGCGATGCAGGCCATCGCAACGACCGATGCATGCCTCCAGCGAACTGCGCTCGAGCTCCAGGTGGGTTTCTTGCGGCTCCAGCAACAAGATGGTCTGGCGATAGTGGATCAAAGCCCGCACCCACGCGCACATGACACCGGCGACCATGTGCGTCGACCCCAGCACCGCAGGAGTGAACTCTGGAGATTCGTAGATAGGAGTGAGCGGCCCGAGGACATTGTCCGGGATAGCACTCGCCACATCCGTTCCGAATGCTTGAAGCGTGGCGAGCGTCGTTGGACTGTGAAACTACGAAAGCCTTGATGAGACCCCGTCCTTTCGATGCCATGCGTGCTGTACACTAGGTAATCTACTTACCAAGGTGATGGTCGGGATGGAGTAGTCCATCATGCGAGTATTCACGTCACGTTCATCGCAAACTTCGACGGGCTCCACGTGGAGAAGTCTCCCCAAGCACTCGTACAAGTGCTTGGCAATGAGTGGCAGCGGAGACACCAAGATGAATTCGCTAATGTCGTGCACCGTCAAAGCCCGGAGGGCGCCACGGGCATCCAGGAACATGTCTGTCGCAGCTTTCAACGTGGTTTCGTACCGGGCTTGCTCGACGGCGAGACGGCTTTCGATATCTTGGCGGATAGCGTCTTCTGCGTCCACTTTGCGTTGTGTGAGCAACATGGCCTGGGCATCCGTGTGCATGCCGACATGGATCGCTTTCGACACCTGGTGCATTTGTCGAATCTCTGGCTGTAAGTCGTGGACCGTTGTCGACACATTGTTGGCGAGCTTCTCAACGTATTTAATCGTGTCGAACGCGGTGGCGAGCTTCGCCTTGCGAGCGCTTAGTTCCGGGATGTGTTTGGCCCATTGCTTGGCAAACGCGAGAATGTGCGCGAGGACCTTGGAAGGAGTCGTCGGATACGTCGGGGATTCGAGTGGCTTGGCTAAGTGGTGCAAATGCAAACACAGGTTGCCGTATTTTGTGACTTGGTCGTCCGTTAGCTCAGACGACGCAAGGCGACGTCGAGCAATGGCCATGATGGTTTCGTCCGGCCACGTGTCCATGTAATGCACACGGCATCGTCGTAGCAAGTGGTCGTGTTGAGTCAAGACGGTTTGGAGGCCAGTGGGGTTTGTCCCCACCGTGAGAACGACCACGACCTTGAGCAGGTGCTCGATGCGACTCATGCAGAACGACTCGACGGCAAACGCATTTTCCAAAAACACACTCTGGTCTTTGGCGTTCTCGCGCAGGGACGGCGCGAGCGCCTCGATATCTTTTTGAAAGAGGAATTCCGGTACGACGTTGCCATTGACAAAGCTGCTGATGTCCTCGAGGCACTCTGGTCGATCCAACAACGCGTCCTTCACGATCAACACAATTGGCTTGTTTTCCGACACTACTTTGATCAGGACTTCGTTCAGCGCCGCTCGCCAGTGGGCTCGAGCCCTCAGATGTGGTGTCTGCACGTTCAAAAACATGACGCTTGTACCCAAGAGCGAAGCGGCCAGCCGCACCAACGTGCTTTTCCCAGTGCCGGAGCGTCCCAAGAGCAGCACGTGGTCGCTGCAAACAGCGCTAGTAGCTGGTGCATAGTCCTGCAGAAGGCGGTGAAGGCGGAGTACATGCTCCATGGCGTATGTCGTGGACAAGTCCACATCGTACTGGACACCGTTCGGTCGCACGGGGGTTTCCGACAACTTGGCCAGGTCTTCGAGTACGCGTGGCTCAATGGACATGACGTCGGCAACTTCGACGTAATGTTGCCGGTCCACGAGATCGCTGAAGCAAAGGTGCTGGAAGCTGGCTTGTAGATGCGTCGAGATTGGCAGCGCAGTGTGCGGTTGCTGTTGTTGTTGCTGCTGTTGGGCGCCCTGGGTGGTTGCTGTGTTCATCTTTTCCAAGCTGCCGTGGTTGGCTCGACTGCTCCTTCTCGCCATAGCTGGGGACGGCTCCTTGGGGCTTGTCGCGGACGGAAAGAACCCTGCGACGCTGAGACTGTTGCCAACGGTAGCGGGGAATAGCGCTTCCATAGTGATACCAAACGTCGAGATGCACACATCGCGAAGGGCCGAGAAGAACGTTGTGGACTCGGCAGGCGACATCAGCTTGTCGTGGAAATGCCGAGTTGCTTCGTGGCACCACAACCGAATCATCGGCGATTTGTCGCTGCTGATAGTCGTCGACGGGCATTCGCGGCTCGCCATGTGCAAGACGTGGACCAAATCCGTGAGTCCAAATATGTAGTGTGGACTTTTAGGAGTTGTGCGGAACTTGTCCGTGCACGTATAGTACAATCGCGTCGTGGCTTTCACGAGCCCCGTCGCCATTTGTGTGTACTCTAGCGAAAGGTTCCTGGATTGAGCCAGCCACGTCGTGATTCCAGTCAAGAGCTTTGTCATGTCAGCATCTTGTACCGAGGTCAACCCGATGGGGGTAAACTTCGCCCCGAGGCGACCGTCAATGTGGTGGGGTAGCGATGGACGCAATGTTAAAGTTGCGACGCATGCCAGCCCAATGATGAAGCAATCAGTGTCCGTTTTGGGCTCGAAAATGGCTTGGGCATCCAACAAATGACGAAGGCTGTCCAGCGTTGAGCTTCGGTCGGTGGACAACGCTCTCGATGGAATGGGCAAACCAACATCGTCTAGCAAGAGAACGCACGTCTTGGACGAGGGGGCCGACAGGACATTCTTTCTCGACCGCTCCATGTGGCTTTCAAACCCATCGAGGAAATGCGATGGCATTAGCCATGAGTCGACTTTGTACGGGAGGAAAACGAGCGATGCTGGAGGTGGTGGTGCTAATGGAGCTTTCAGAGGTTTTTCCCACGAGCCAGGGGTCGGTGGAGGTGGTGCATTCGTCTGGAGCTCTTGCATAGCTTTGGCGCGAATGACAGATTGCGACCGGAAAACGTCCACCACCGCGGATTTGCCCGAATCACGAGGGCCGACGAGAAGCACGTGGTTGTGCGGCGTTCGATTCTGCGTCAAGACATCAAGAAAGTATGCTGCGCAAGCGGTGTTGGGCGTTGGAATAAACAAGTCCGACAGGCGGTGGACGAGAGGCGGCGGCGTGTAGCAATGATTCGGGTACAGCTCTGCCCACAACTCCCACTTGAGTCCCCACTCGACGCTCAAGCCATACGAGTACATGAGCTCCCCCGCGTGCGCAGCTGGAAAGAACATGTTAAACTTCTTCGAGTTGACGGTGAAATGTCGCGATGACGTTGCGGTTTGGGACGTGGTTCCTTGCGGCATGGCAGACGAGGTTTCGCCGGCGAGAGACCGCAAAAACGCGTCAAACTTGACGCGCTCGTCGTGGTTTGCCGTGTGGCCCACCCCCCACACGAGTGCCTGCAAGAAAATGCACTGCGCAATCGTGTAGTTTTGTTTGGCTGTCATCGACGTCATCTTGGGATACGCTGTTTGAAATGCCCCGTCCATGAGCGACAGCAGTGCATTTACCCTTGCGACGTCCGATTGCGGCATCGAGAGCTGGAAATGCAAGCGTACGAACTCGAGCGCTGGCTCAATCATGTCGACGGTCGCATCAAGCGCTTCTTTGATGTCGTCAATGGCCTCCAAGTAGTCTGGCATGCGTTCGAGCCATCCGGCGTACAGCGTTCGCCAGGTCACGACCTCGGCATCTACGTACACAATCGCGCACCGCGAGACCATCGAAGGCGACGCCGACGCCGCGTCGGTCGATTCGAAAAGCAGGCGAGCTTGCGGTGGCAGCGGAATGGCTTCTCCCGTGACTAAAAGCAACTGCGCCGTATCGTCGAGCAATGTGTTGAATCCATCGGCCCAAAATGGATCGACATCGCCATCCAGGACGAGCCAGGCTTTTGTGACAGAGCTGAGATGAGGCACCGAGACTGCTGCCGTCGACGTGTTGCCTTGCCCGCTGAGCTTTCGCAGGAACTGCGTTAAGATACCATCCTGGAAGGTCTTTGTCGAAGCAGCCATTGACCCGTAGAGCTGCCCAAGGGTTATGCTGCGAGGAGCGATGACTTGAATGGCCGACGACATGTCGGTAGGATCTCGGGGTCCACTGCGTCGAGTAAATGCTTGCATGCGCTCGTCGAGCAGCTTGTACACTTGTCCTAACACTTGATATAATGCCGTTTTACCGCAATTTGGAGGACCGAGGAGCAACACGCCCGAATGACGTCGGATAGCGTCGTGGAGCTGGTTCAATTTGGTCTCGAACGCGGGAGAGCTGACGTAATCCTTGTGCGATAGCGCCAATTTGATCGCGTCAGCGGACAGCGGAGCGTCTGACTGCAATGGGCTGCTTGAGACTCCTCTCAACATGTCCTTGACGAGACCATTGAACTCATACAACGACGCTCCGGGGATCTGGCTACGTAGGACTTCGGCTATCACATGCGTGACGGCTAGTTCTTCGAGAGAGATCTTTTCAGGACGTAGCGCGCCAGCGTGCTCGACAGCAAGGCACAACTTTGCGCCCTTCACAATGGCGTGGACATTGCGAAGACACAACAGGTTTTGCCGAGTCAAGGTATCTGAACCGATCGTGCCTTCAGCCATGGTCAGTGTGTACTCGACGAGTTGGGCGAGACGCGGCGGGTTGGTAAAACCACCAACAAAAAAGAGAGCTTGGGCCACGTGGCTTAAGCTTGGCGCCACGACCACCACGGGACGGAAAAGCCCTTTAAAGAAAATCGGCAAGTGGGGCCGGGCTTCGCTCGGTTGGAACGTCGCCATGATGTGGCCGCCTCGCTTGAGACGGAGTTTCACTCCTTGCACGATCAACGACGCTTCGCGGGCGTGATTCGCTTCTTGAATCTTTTGGATCGTTTCCATGACAATGCCGACTTGATGGAACACGATGTTTTGGACATCGTCGAGACAGAACCACGCGCCGCAAGCCGCGACACCTTTTAACAGTCGCAACAGTTCGTCGACGTTACTGGTCGCGACGCACGAAAACAGGACAAAGAGTTTTGCACAGGACGTTGCAAGGGAGCGGAAAATCGATGTCTTGCCGACACCGGCCGGGCCTTTTAGAATCGTACCTCTAGCCAACGAAAACGCACTGAACAACACGCGCGCGCATTTCAGCGTGTTGGGCAGCATAATGAGCGTCGCGCGGTTCCCAACGTACTCGTAGCCGTACGGAATGCTCGACTTGATGAGCTTCAGGTGCAAGTTGCTGTCGTTCCAGGCGTATCGGAGCTGGGACTGCCACGCAAACGCATCGACGTCCGCGACATGTTGCTCCATCAAACTGGACGTGACATCCCGAACGTGAAGCATTTGCGTGATCAGGTTTGTGAGCACGTTGATGCGACTTGCAACGACAAGACTGGCGTCCGAAAGTTCCGTCACAAGCTCCGACATGCGACCGTCGAGGTCGGTAGTCAAGTAGGCCTCGAGTTTGGCTTGAATCGAGCCAGGGGTCGGGGGCATGTTGATGGATTCCCCTTGCATCGGCTCGAGGGACGACTGCGCGGTCGTGGATGGATCTTGGATGAGTTTCTCGATTTGCATTCCCCACATGTAGTACTCGACGCTAAGTACCATTTGCTCGGGCCAGCATGACGTCCACTTTCGAAAGTCCTTTTTCCCGTAGTCGTTGAGAGCGTTTCGAACCATGACTTGCACCGCTGTTTGGAGTTGCAGCTCGAGGCGGCCAAGCCACGCATCGGTGGACACCTTTTCCGTTGTCACGACTTGGCAAAGCTGCATCGGCTCGTCGAACATACTTACGACATGCGTGATATCATGTGTGTTGTTCATCTCGACGCGACCAACACCAGGAAAAATCCGTCCAAGAAACGTTGACGGCGCTTTCATCGTGGACGTAGGGCGTGCGTGAAGCGTAGTGGGCGACACAGACAGAGCGGCAATCAACTCGGCGTTGGACAAGAGGTAGAATCGAGAAAAGAGCGCACGCTTCGCCTCTAAGCACGTGGTCAGGCCTTCGAGAATCTCCTCGAGGAGTTCGAGACATTCACGAAGCCGTTCCGAAGCTTTGTCAATTTGAATGGCAGCCAGACACAATGGGCGGGCGACGACGGCACTGACGACACTGCGCCAGTGGCCATCCACGATCGTAAACTTCTTCGCTTCGTTGGAAGATTTGTCGAGAATCGCGCGAACCGGGTCCGCGGCGGAGAAGAGTGGCTCCATTTTGCGCCAAAAGTTGCCGGTTTGCCACAGGAGGTCCGTGATGTCGCGCAACTTGAGCAAACTCCGTTCCCATGCAATTGTTCGACCAAAGAATGGCTTGCGATACTGCGAGCATCGAATCGTTTGCGTCTTGACGATGTGGTCATCCAGTTTGATGTGGATGTCGTCGACTGCGCTCTCCGCCAACACGAACGTGTCGGATGCCACGACGAACTTGTACTCCATTTGGAGCCACTCTCCCGACATCGTGTCCAGCGATCGCTCGATTTCGGCTTCGTTCGTCGCAGCTTCCGAAATATCCAACAGCTTGTGAACACTGTCTTGAACTCCCAAGTCAAGCAATCGTTGTAACGTGATGTGTTCCGTCGGGTCGATGATAAACCCGACCGTCTCGGCAATCTCAGTCCAGTGTCGGTCGCGAAGGTTCGTGTTGCCCATGACGGAAATAATCCCAATAGAGTCTTTCAACTCGAAGATTTGCTTCTTGAGCGTCTCCGCGGCGCCGACGGCCGCCGGTGACGTCGACGCCAACTGTTTCGTGGCATTCGTGAGTGTGACCGTCATGGCATGCACTGTCTTTTCCGTTCCCTACGATTGAATCGATCAAACGTGTTCAAAACCGAGTCGCTCTTGCCTTGGCATCCAATTCGAAGATATTCCCACGCATCCACTTGACGCTGGCCTCTCGAAAATCCCGAGCGGTGCGCCAGAGTTGATCGTACGGCTCGAGGGCTTCGCAAATGTAGTCGAGCTGCATAAAGTCGGTTTGGACCCACCCGAGCTTCGCCTCCTCTTCGGATATGATGTTGATGGTGTTGCGGGCCTGTGTGATAGCGTCGCGTACTTTGCCGAGCTGCACCACGTACGTTGTTGCGTGGCGCAGGTCGCTCTTCTTTTGAAACGAGTTGACTTCGGCCTCGAGCTCTTCCAGTTCCGCTTGAAACCGCGACCGTTTAGCAATAAACGCTGTTTCGATACGCGAACGCTCGTGCTGCAATGAAAAGTCTCCATCGCGCAGAATCTTTTCAATCTGGTGTTTCCACTGAAATGTCTTGCAAGTGGACGCGATGACTTCGGATGACACGGACAGCCCGGTGACAGCCGGACATTGCTGCACCAACGCGCACTACTTGCCAAGGTGAGTGCCACGGCCACCCATGTCGTGGAGAGATGCTGGTGATGGCAGGCGCACAAACCTTCCTGAAGAGAAACTGGAGCCGCTGGTTGACGTTGGCCACGCTGTCGTACAGATGGAGCAATTCGTGGCTGCGCAGCTTTAAAATGTACGCCTGCACCAGCCATGGTTGTTAATGACGGACGCGCCAAGTGGCTGGGTACCTCGAACTCGACAAGTTCGTGCAAGTCAATGGGTTTGCGAGCGAGGCGTCCTGCAATGAGCTTGAACTGCTGCCTAATGTCTCGGTTCATGCGGAGCGTCGTGTCCGAGAACGCGTGGAAGAGTTGTTGGATGAAGTGTGAAGCCTTTTGCAAGAGACCGGCATTCAGCTGCGAGCAATCAATGTGGAAGAGGTTCGACGTGGTGGTGGCACCAATGTGGTCGTTCTCCTTGGTAATCTGGTTTGCAAATTGCGTAAACTTTTGAACCTCCTGCTTGTATGATGCAATGTCGTGCGTTTGGGCAACAAAGTGCTCAAGTGGTAAGTCGCCCGCTGCCACAACCTACAGGAGCATTTGCATCCAGGGTCGATCGTGAAGATGGAGTGGTACCGAATACTTGGAGTACTTTGTGCGGAGGGCTTGGGCATGCGCCAAATTGTCTTGCAATATCGTCCGGATCGTGTCGGCAGCATTCACGACCTCCTCTTCGTGCAGGCCCACGGCCCACAGAAACGGAGACCCACCCAAGATGATGGACGGCTCGAATTTCGTCTCCACACGATCGATGTGCGTGAGACAACTCGGGATGTTGTACAGAATGTTCATGAGTGACAGCTGCACATCTTCCAGCGCCATGGCAAACTACAAACCACCCGCACTTCGGTCAATTGCGTTGTGTATTGTGGTCTTGGATGTACCCGAATTTTCGTCTGGTCCAAAACCAACGATAAAAGCAGCCCTTGCGTCGACTGTTCACGCATCTTTCCACTTGCTGAAGGGTTCGCAAACGTGTTGAAGAACGCCACGTAGGCGTCGATGGAGCGGACGACAAGTCGACGCAATTGAAGGGACATCAAGGCTGCGATACAATCAAAGTAGTGCTTCGGTTGCAGCAGCGCGGACGCCAGGACTTCGTCGTTCTTGGCGGCCGTGAGAATTCGCTTGGCTTTGGCAAACCATTTTTCCATGAGCGTTCGCTTCACGTTGGTGGCATGGGCCATCTGCCGTTTCTCAAACGCACGGATGTCGAGTGGCGCGAACTGTTGCGCCATCTCGGTTGACGTCGGGATATCCACGAGCAGCAAGTCCTCAAAATCTCCCCACATGTAGTGCAGAGCCATCAAGTGCGTGTCGATGAGCATGAGGTTTTGCTGGATGTGCTCTTCCGCCCGACGCTTTCGCTCTTTCCACCCAGCCGTGACACAAATGAACGTCGCGTATGACTGTCCCCACTTCCACTTTTCATGGGCTTGAAACGCAGGCGGGACACCGCCCGGAATACCCAGTCGAACTTGGGTCACTTGGCGCAGCAGCATGTAATCGAGAATCGCCTTCTTGATGCTATACATATAGCACTGCAGCGTTTCTGCAAACATGTTGGCCACGAGTGCATCTTTTTGGCAGCTCTGAACCTTGCTCACTGCTCGTGCAATCAGCGTTTGGATGTGTTCTGTCCACGATGCGTTCATGGGGACGATGTCGCTATCATCAATGATCTTGTCCAAGTAGTGCAAGTACCGATCGACAATCTCGGTTGGGGCCAACGTAGGTGGCTGGGACGGGCGGCTCGCCTTGTCTCCGTCGAGGGACCGCGTCCGCGACAACGACACGACAACGCCGTCGGCGGCGTACACGGGCTTGCCGGACGTGGTAACCAACGGGAGTTCCGTCCCTTTGTCATGCACTGGACTCGGTGGTCGCAACGTTACAAAATGTTCCTGCACCCGGTTCGCTTCGTCGTCGATAAAGATAAGGCCGTGGACGGCGTGATGGTGCTTTCGAATGACGAGGTTGCAAGCAGATAGGTTGTAATTTGCCCCGATCCGCTCGGACGACGTGAGCTTGTTGACCACGTCGACTTGTTCGACACCCAAAGTCCGGCAAAACGGGTCCAGCAACGGAGGGTACTTGGCGTCGAGCTGCTTGACTGTGTCCATTTGTTGCCCCTGATTCGGGTTTAAGTTCCACGGCATGGGCTCCGTGGTCAAGACAATTGTCGGTTTGTCGTCGGTGCGTGAGAGCAACTTTTGCCGAAGCACTAACCGCGGACTCGTCGGCCGAGACTCTTTCGAGTGATGGATGCGTGGGTTGCGAGGACTTGCGTCCTTCTCAATAAGCGACGTTGTGGGTGACGATGGTTTCGTTGGGACGAGGACGCTCAGCTTTTCTTGACCTGTTGGTACAATGTACGAAGCAAACGTTTTGGAGCTCGACATGAGCGACCTGCACACAGCCATGAAATACAACTCAAAAGCATCTCGCCCGGTTCGCACCGTGGATTTGAAGGGGGTTTCTGAGGTGTTGGCTCGGCTGCTCGGACTTCAGACTCCATTTGCACCTGTACAAGGCATAACTCTTGTAATTCCTCGTAGTGGGGACGTAGAAACTCAGGATGCCGCCGTACCGGTTGCTTCTGCGTCATGTGGCCGTCGAGAAAGCGATGCTTGCACGTCACGACCCCAACCCCGATACTCAGCTCGACCTGCGGCTGGGTTCGCATGCGATCGCCGATGTTTTCAATGATGTGTTCGAGCCACGACTTTGCGTGGTACTCTTCGATATTGCAGTGTTGAGCAATGTCGCGGAATTCCAACGCGTGGGACATGGGGGCTGGCGCACTTTCGTCGGTAAAAAGCCCAAACTTCTTGGCAAACGCCGGGTTGGCGACTGCATCACGGTAAGCCAGAAATCACGTCAAAATTCCATCGGTACCAAAGTGGGGAATACGAATGTTATGTGAGTGCGCTCCGATTGTGACCGTGCCAAACCCTGGAATTGTTGCAGGCTCGTCCAACTCCACCTGCGCCAAGAACGATCTGTTGGCAACGAAAACGTCGTGGGTCCCATATGAAGTACCTTTTCATGAACCCAGTGGCACACGAATGTCCAGACTTGGACCAGTTGGTCCGCCGTTGGCAACGACACTTGCAAAAGACTTCTCGGCGTCGCTGCCATGCCGCCACCGCGGTTCATCATGCGGGAGGATGACGACACAACAACGTTTTTGCCAGGCATGGCCAAGATTGGATTCGAGTCCCCCACTTGCACGTTTGTTCGGATCATCGGAAGCCGCACCGATCGATCCATGGCACGTCGACTTGGAGTAGTCCACCCTTTCCTGCCAGCAACAACGAAATTAAATTTCGCTCAAACTAACGTACCTTGCGCTGACTATACAGATGCCAGGTGTGAGAAAAAATACGAGAATTGCGCCCCTTCGCCAAAAAATCCAACGCTTGAAACCGCAGTCGGTTTCAGCCCAAACAACTCCAGCCACTCGCCAAAGCCACACGCAGACGTTCGAAAGGGCTGGACGGCGTCAATCATGAGCATCTCGAGAACGTGCTGCTGGCAGGTTACCTTGGCCCCTATGATGGGGTTAGACACTGAGACGTTGACGAAGCGCCGGTGTGACTGCTCACTTCTCTAGCCACCAACAGTGCCACGCACTCGTTTTCCTTTGGTTGCACCATATTCGGACGTAGCTACGCACCGCTCGAACGACATGGATGGACACGAACGACGATAAGTATTCCGAGTAACGTTGGCACAAGTCATAACAGGAAGTTATCCAGGAACGAATGTACCATTAACTACAGAGTACGCGCTTGCAACAAGGCTTCTTTATTGCAAGTATCCTTCGCTGGACTCGGCAAGCGCTTTGGCCGACCGCTTGGCGTCGTTAAATAGAGCGTTGATTTCATCGACGTCGTCGACGACAATGTCCGATCGCCCCTGCGTTTCAGCTAGAATGCGCGCCGGCGTCAGCAACTGAACGGCATAACGCAGCGACGTCGTCGCGCCAATTTCGCCCATGCGGGTCAACGCCGCTTCGTGCAAGTTGATGTTCTACGTTGGATAGTTAAGAAACTTGGGCTTCATTTGAAATGGTTCGAGCACCTCCGCTTCAGCGCGAATGTTGACGATTTGGACCATTTCCTCGACGGAGTACGGCATCGTGCGAATGATGAGCATGCGATCCAGCAAATCCAACGGGATGCCGTGGGGCGACGAAATTTCCGTGCCGCTACAAGACGCTGTTGTGTACGACGCCAACTTCCATCGCGTACCGGACATTGCACACGCCGCGGTTGGTGGCAAAGATCACAATGGGTGCCAACGTGGATTCGAGAGCACGGTTCAAGTATGTGAAGCACTCAATGTCGAGCATGTGGACCTACTTGACGAGTCAGCAACGTCGGGGCTGTTGGGGAGATGTGCTTGTACCTCGTCCACAAAAAGCACACCAGGAATCAACTCGGCCACGCCTTGGTCAATGTATCGATTGACGACCTTGTTAATTTCGGACCGGAGCTTTTCCGTGATTTCTGTTTTCTTGGACTTCATCAAGTTGCCCATCATGCTCATGATGTCCTGGCCCCCTTGGGGTTTGGCGTTCGCAATGTCCAGGTCATGGAGAGTCACGTCTTGGATAATTTCCTTTTTCTTGTGAACGTCGCCCTTGGGCATTGGAACATATTCGTCGGCTTCGAGGTCGTACTCCGTCGCATATCTAGTCGAAAGTCAATGGAATTCGCTACAAGTCCACTTGTCATGAAGACGTACGCATCTGAGCGCCCAACGCGCTTGACGCTGCCACTGTTGGCTTCGATGTAAATCACATCACCGCAAGACACCTTTTCCTTCTGCAGGCCTTCGTAGATGCTCGGGTCGAGACGCAATTGCTTAGACCCTGCATATTCACCCGATTTTGATTGACAATGGCTCATGGAAATGCCGGACGAACCTTTGGTCGTCTTCAAGCCAAGAATGACGTGGGAAATAGTCTTCCCGTATCCGCCCAACGGGTTTTCTGACTCTTCCGGCGTAATTTCAGTGACCTCGCCTTCGTACACTTCCTTGTTTTCCTTGATGCGCAGGCCGATAGCTCGTCGAAAATTCTCCATGAGAATTTCTGTCTTCTTCACTTCAGACGAGTAAACTTCGGAGCCAACCATTGGGCAAAATGGAACCTTCGGCCCGAGTTCTTGAGACACACCGAGCGCCAAGGCGGTTTTCCCCGTGCCCGGGGCGCCTGCCAACAACAACGCACGTCCAGCCATCTTCTTGGACTTGATGAGCTCGACAACAATCCCCGCTGCTTCACGCGCCTTCTCTTGTCCCACCAAGCCAGACCCGATTGGGAGGGCCGAGCCGTCGGCATCCAACCCCAGTCCTTTTACGTGGGTATGAACGGCCACCCGTTGGGTTTTGATCGTGCTCACAACTTCTTCAATCTAGGCAGCCAAGAGTCAATGAAGAGTGTGCCTTGCATATCGCGAAGCGCTCCGTCGGCAGTTGGAAGCGCTGAGCCGTCGTTCCTTCCCACTCGACGTACCTTCATCGAGCGCTACTTGTGGTTTGCGACTCCTTTCGAAAGCTCGAAATTGTTGGGCTGGTGATTGGACATATATGAAGTCATTTGATTGGTTTAAAAGATGCCTGTTATGTGTTTGATTGGTAAAAATGTGTGAGATCTTGCAGATCTTTCTCGAACGTCAGCCAACCGAAATCGAACGCACACTATTTTCAGGAGTGCTTCGTTTGTGGAAAGGTCGCGCCGCCCAAGCGACGACATCAGTGGGACCAAGGAAGGCGAGGGCTTTATGGCAGCAAAGATAATTCGTCAAGCCATTTGCGCTGCCTCTTTTATCTCAATGGATGTGCTACCAGGGACATCTGTGTGCTGCAGGCAGAACGTGCCTCGTCGAACAACTTTTCCACATCCTTCGACAGCACACCGCTTTCCACCGCCGTGGGTCACGCAGTAGCCTTCTCCGCGGTCTTTTCGCATACAACCTTGATTGATACACCTGCGAACACCGCCATGCTTGTGGCATAGCCCGTGTCGCTGGATCGATTTCATGCACTGGGCAACTTTGCACGTGCGAGGAGGTTTCCTTGTCACGTCGCCTTGGTCGTCTTGGCTGCTGTTCGGCGTTCCATCCTGCCGCGGCAGCGGCCGCAGCGTAGGTGTTTGGCGGAAATTTAGATAGCTGTGGTCAAAGTGGGACTGTTGTATGTCTAGCAGCTTCAAGATCGGTGATGCAACCGCGACACAGTGTGCGCTGGCTCCATCCTGGCGGGTACGAGGCAGACTGTGTCCGTCGAATGCCATGGGATTGGGGTAATGTGATGTAAACGTTGTTCGTAGAATGCTTTGAAGCTGACCAAGTGGCTTGCACTTCACTGACTGGTCTTCTTCCAACTGGATTGGGCTGTGGATAGCACTTGATCCTTGAATCGCTTGCGGATATATCAATGAAGAGTTCACGAGGGGCGCGAGAGGAGCTGGCTTGGGTCTTTCGGGAGACCGTGTTGAGTTCACGCGTGCGAAGCCGGCATGATGGGAACGTCGGTTTTGCGTGAACGAGTAATCGTGCGTCGAACGTGCTTCGGGTTGCACCACGTACCTTTGCTCCGCAGTCCATTCTTCACTTGTCGTGGTGCTTCCGCTAATGGGTTGCCGATGTGGAGCGAGAAGAGGCAAAGAGGGCATGAAAACGAGGTCGGACGTCACGGGTAGGTTGGGCCGAGTGGCTGCAAACGGTGCCTCGGGCAATGGAGGTTGTGATGAATGGTTCAGTCGACGTGCGACGGGAGAATGGAGGAGCTCGTTCAGCATGTGTACATCGCCCTCCGTGATCGACAACGGTGGTCTGAGCATGCTGAATTCTTTTGGCTAATGGTCAAGTGGGAATGAAACCGTTCGACCCGCCGGCCCTTGGGCTCCTCAAGCATCGAAAAAGAAGAATTTCCCAGTCGTGATATCGCTTGGGTTTTCAACGTACAAGAAGCAGAGATATATATGCGTGAAGTTTGACTGAATCATGGTTTAAAGAAGGGATTCGGGCATCTCGACATCCGCAGCTAGCGTCACCACATTAAGTTGGCATGGTAGTCGGCTTGGCCATCCCACGCTTCCAGCTGGCGCAGGTTCAGCTGAGGCGTCGAAGTGTCAACACCACCAACGTCGCCTGCAAGGCCTACGGCAAACTCGACCGCGTCCTGAAACGACTGCTTTGCCAAGGCATACTTGCTCGAACGCATGTGGCAAACGCCTACGTTGTTGAGGAGGTGCGTGCTTCGAGGATGCCGCTGCAATTCCGATTCGTACAAGGCACATCCTTCGTCGTAGCGACCGAGGTACATGAGGAGGCGCGCTTGTTGGAGCTTCGCTTTGACACCCGTGCGGGGCATGTGCCACAGCGAGCGCTCCCAGTATGGAGGGCTCTCGGCAACTCTACCGACTCTGGCATAGTAGTCGGCCAAGTGATCCAGAGCTCTCCAGTCTGCAGGATCTTGTCTACGTAACGTAATGACTTCAGCACAATAAGTTGTTCAGTTGCTGGCTGCGGCACGTACTTGATGTTATGGAGCCATAGCGTTTCGTCATTGCGCCATGTATTCATTTGGCGGGCACTCAGTAACGCGAACGCGAGGAAGATAGCAGTAAAGCTAACCAGGCAGGAGTTTATGCCGAGCTTTGTCGCGTGGGCAATTCCAGCACCAAGCAGTGGAATGGCCACCAGAGTTGGAAAGTAGACGTATCGATCTGCCGTGAGAGTGATGATTCCATGTTGCACAAGTCCGCACACGGGGAGAAGCATCACGACAGAGTACGTCCACGCTGCCAAGGCGCTTGGACAAACCGCTCGTCGACTCAAACTCCCTACAGAATTGTATGAAGGCGTCTTGGCAATGGACCAGCGGCGACGGACGTACACATTGTAATCCCAATGCAAGCCACTAAAGACAAGAGACTTGTTGAATTTGTTGAGAAGTTCATGTCGCCAGGAAGGAGGCTGTAGTGCGCCCTGAGCTCCGTCGGCCATACAAATGTTCGGATCGTCCACGAAATCATCACAAACGCCTTGACGATGCATTCGTGAAATGGAATGTGCAGTGGATCTGCCTCCCATGTGTCCCCACCTTTGTTGGACGCGACCATAGCCCACACAGCCATTGCTCCAACAACTCCAAAGCCAAAGAACCCCCGAAGGAGCTGTAAAACGTGCCATCGAAGACTTGGATTGATGGAGGGTCGCTTGAGGCAAATCAAGACGTCAATGAACACCAAGCCCGCAGGTGCGAGGACCGCCACACTCTTGCTCAACACTGCACATCCATACAAGACTACAAAATGGAGTGATAATTACGAAACGTGACTTAAATAGATGCGTTTACCTGTTGGCAGGAGACGTCGAGCCAATGCATAGGTTGAGCTGGCCTTTATTCCTGGTCGTGACCAATTAGCAACATGAACGTAGTAGCACATGCTGACGAAAAAAAGGGCGAGGGCGTATGGTTGGGCAGACGGCCACGCGACGACTTCAACATTCAAAGGGTGGATGAAGTACAGGAACGCGCTGAGCGTGCAGCCCAGTGATGTTGCTTTTGGCTCCAGCGAGTCCAACAACAACGCTAACAAGTCGATTGAGACCTGGCGAAGGACGTAGCATGACGCGGCGTGCAGAGTAAGCGTTATAAGGCGAACACATTGAGAGTTTAGACCGCATGCTGCAAACACCATGGCTTTCAGGAGATGAGCGAGAGGTTCGTACACCCCAATGCGGACCTCGCACAGCATCGCGCGGAAATGGCGCCAATCGAGGCGGCTAATGACCTCATTCTCTACAAAGTTGATGCTATCGTCCCAAGTAAGTAGGAATTCCCATGACCCACACAGGAGTGGTGCAGCGTAGATCATGGTACACATAAGGAAGGCACTTACAAGCGGCCGCTCCATGTGCTCTACGATTAGAAATTGAGATCTTTGACCAGCCAATGGATACTGAATCACACTATTTTGTGGACTTGGATGGATTTTACACTATTTAACACCCGTTGTGAACGTAACCGATTGAACTGCGGTCGTTTTGCCCAGTTGAAGCGACGCTTCGTGTTGCGACGAGCGGAAGTACACGGAATCCCTTTGCCTCTCCTTCGTCGCCAACATGGACATACGCAGCCCCAATCGGAGGCAGCGCTCTGTCGTGGACAACCCTGACAAGAAGGACAAGTCTCCAACCCCCAAGAGCATATACACCCTCGTGCATGATTCCAAGTACGACCTGCAGTTCATCGACCCCAAGGAAGAACGACACTCCATCGCGCCAACCGCTCCTCCCAGTTCACTCGGGTTTTCGTCGCCGCAACCCAAGACTCCTCTTAAAGGCACACGATCTCCCAAGAAGATCCCCGAGATTTCTTTGCTCAAGAGTCCTCCCAAAGAGAAGAAGAGCGTAAAAAAGCCATTACCAGCTGAAGCTTTTGTCGCTCCCAACGCGCCTCCCTCTCTTTCAGCCGCTCCTTCAGTCACTTCTCCAAGCAAGAAGAATTCTTCGTTGGACTTCTTGCGAAAGACTCTCGTGGTTGAAGCCACAGACTTGTCCATCGAAGACGTACGATCCCCATCCAAGCCGGATACACTGCATTCACCAGTCCCTGGCTCCGACATTACGCCTCATGACGCACTCCCCGGGACACTGGACGGAACGACGGACGAAGCGCTCATTCGTGCTGCAGGGCTGCACACCGGTGAAGACGCGATTTCATTTTTCGCGCGCAACGGATCGAGCAGCCAAATCAAGTTTGTCCACTTGAATCGTGCGGAGTCGACGTTGCTCTTCCGTCCGTACGACCTCAAGGTTGTAATGCCCGGTGATGCGCACCCCGAACACTTTACAATGTCTGCGAGCGGCCTCGTGCACATCCAGCCAGGGTCGCCGTCCGAGTTTATCGCGCTGGCCGAGTGGATGCGCCAGTCGACACTGTTTAACGTTCTCACGAGCTTTCGCTTTTACAAATACTACCTCGTGAACAAAGCGTTCATGGCGTGGAGCACGCGAGTCCGGTATAAGTTGTTTTGCCGTCAACGCAAGCAGCTGTGCAACTCCCTCTACTTGGGGAAAGAGAGCTTCTCCGCCCCGCTCCTCCAAGTGAACAAGGTCATGATGGACCTCCAAAGCGTCCTCCTCCTCGACTTCCGAGCGCAAAAGACGTACGAAGCCAGCGCCTTCGTGGAATACCAAGCCACCAAGCGCACAGAAGCGTCCAAACAATTTGAAACGTGTGTCGAGAAGCTGCAGGCGATTGCGCAAAAGGTGTGTTCGGATGTCAACAACTTGGCTCGCCAGGCGCACCATAACGACGACTTGAACGACTTGTCCGTGTCGGTTCACGCAGACAAGACCAAGTCCATCGTCGCGGCCAAACACGAGCAAATCCAGCGGCGCAAGCTCCTCAAGCGGGCGGCGGAAGAAGCGTCCATGTTGTGCGACTTCATTCGTTTGATCGATTACATTACGACGGAAAACCTTGTGTTGTTAGCAGTCGCGAGTTGCCGCGAATTTCTCGCCGAATTGTCCAAAACACCGCGCAAGACCGGGCTGTTCGAAACGACAATACATTTTGGCGACTCGGATACGGTGTTTTCCCCCACGTGCGAGCAAATCCAGGCAATTGTCGTGTCCATGACTGACGACATTGTGGGCGCCGTCAACTCGGTCTCTCGCATCATCTACCTGCGGCCGTTTGCGCAGTACATGGCGAATGCCATCACGGACGGTCCCCACATTGGCCCCACGATCACGCAGAGCGTTGATTTTCAGTCGATCCGGGCCGAGTTGGTCGCCAAGATCCAAAACGACTACATGGAAGCGACCGACTACGTCAAGATCTTTGACAGCGTCCGTCCAATCTTTGAGTACGACAAGCAGTGGGACTTTGAGAATGACTATTCTCAGCGGACGCACACTGTGACGTCGTTGAAAGCCGATATGCTCCAAATTGCAACGTGGGAAAAGGAACTCGAGAAAATGCGCGCCGGCCAAACGATTGGCATCCTTCACGTCGAGAGCCGTAAACTCAAGCAGAACCTTATCCCGATGACCACGGCAAAACTCGACGCGATGAAGGGCCTCGTGAAAGATCAAGCTCGCGCCAAATGCAAACTCCAGCTGAGCGAATACAAGCAGCGTATTCAAATGCTCAGCCAACGGCCTCAGCACTTGAAGGAGTTTGCCGCGCATGTCGAGCGCGTCCAAGGGCTCAAGCAAAAGCAAAAGGCACTCGTGAAAAACACCAACGTCGTCGACGAAATGTACCGTCTGTTGAGCAACTACGGCGTTCGCATCAGCAGCGAAGACATGGTTCAACTCGACGACCTACGCAGCGTCCAGGAAAGCTATAAAGAAGAAACGGACGCCGTCGAGGTATTTATCCAAAGCAAGCTAAGCGAAATGACGCAGCAACTCGACTCGAACATTGCTCGTCTTGACGAGCAAACCGTGCAACTCAACGAGCAACTCCAAACGGGGGTGTTCATCGACGTGACCAACTTTGACGAGACTAACATCGTTCTCGGGGAACTCGACGTTGTCAAACAACGTCTGGCGCAGCTGGAGGAACTGTCCAAGCAATATTCCGAGTACCAAACGCTGTTCAACATTGACCCGTACAACTACATCAACTTGACGACTACGATGGACTACTACAACACAGTCGAGACGCTGTGGACGGCCGTAGAAAAGTGGAACGAACAACAACGCCATGTGCTGCACAACCCGTTCGTGGACATTCAAGTCGAAGAGCTGGCCAAGGACGTCGCGGTGGCGTTTAAGGACGCGTACGCCATGCACAAGAAGCTCAGCAACGATGTCACGGCATTGCTCAAGGACAAAGCTGCTGAGTTCAAGCTGAAAATTCCAACGATCTTGGAGCTCGGATCGCCGAGCATGAAGGATCGACACTGGGAAAAAATTTACAAGGCGCTCAACCAGCCGTGGTACCCTGGAATTGCTTTCACCTTGGACAACTTGATTTCGTACGACATCTTTGAATTCAAGGACTTGGTGTCCGAGATCTCGGCGACCTCGTCGGGAGAGGCTCAGATTGAAGCGTCGCTGAACAAGATCAAGATTGGATGGGAAGAGACCAAGTTTACTTGCATCCCGCACCGCGATTCCAAAGACATGTTCATACTGGGAGGGTTGGAAGATATTTTGATGCTGCTTGAGGACAACCAGGTGACGCTGCAAACGATGATGGGGTCTCGCTTTATCATGGGCGTGAAAGACGAAGTCGATCGGTGGAACAAGAAACTCGCGCTCCTGTCAGAGACGCTCGATGAATGGGTGACATGCCAACGCAACTGGATGTACTTGGAAACGATTTTCTGCGCTGAGGACATTCAAAAGCAGCTCCCGATCGAAGCGCAAAAGTTCCAACTAGTCGACAAAAATTGGCGCACCACGATGGGCCGTACAAACGACGACCCATCCGTACTCAAGGCGGTCGAGAACGGATCCGAAATGCTCGACCAGTTCAAAGTGTCGAACCAGTTGCTCGAGGAAATCCAAAAGTCGTTGGAAGACTATTTGGAAACAAAGCGCATGGCGTTCCCACGGTTCTACTTTTTGTCCAACGATGAACTGCTCGAGATCCTCAGCCAAACGCGGGACCCACGCGCAGTCCAGCCCCACTTGAGCAAGTGCTTTGATGCAGTCAAATCAGTGCACTTTGAGACCCTCCCCGGACAATCCATGCCAAGCAATCGCATCACGGCCATGGTGAGCGCCGAAGGAGAGCGCGTGACGTTTCCCAACATTGTCGTTGCCCACGGGCCGGTCGAGACGTGGTTGCTTGAGGTCGAGAAAGCCATGCGGGACAGTTTGTACACCGAGTCGTACGCGTCGTTCAAAGCGTACCCAGTAGAGCATGCCATCGACCGGAAGGAATGGCTGTTTGCGTTTCCATCGCAAGTGATCATCATGATCGACCAAGTGTTTTGGACCCGCAACGTTGGGGTCGCGATTCTCCAAGTAGAACGGCATGAAAACGGTCAAGCCGTCGAAGAATTTTTGCAATTCAGCCTCAAGCAAATCGACGGCATGGTGACGCTGGTGCGCAGTGACTTGACCAAGCTCCAGCGCAGTCTGATGGGAGCGCTCATTACGATCGACGTCCACGCGCGAGATGTCGTCCGATCGCTGTGTGCCAACAAAGTGTCATGCCTGACCGACTTTGAATGGACTCGTCAGCTTCGGTACTACTGGGAAGAAGATATCAACAACTGCGTCGCACGCCAGACCAACACGCGATTCGTGTACGCGTACGAGTACTTGGGCAACACGCCGCGTCTGGTCATCACACCACTCACCGACATTTGTTATATGACGTTAACTGGTGCACTGCACTTGCGTCTCGGGGGAGCACCTGCAGGACCTGCCGGAACCGGTAAGACGGAAACGACCAAGGATTTGGCCAAGGCACTGGCCGTGCAGTGCGTCGTATTCAACTGCTCGGACGGTTTGGACTACAAGATCATGGGTCGGTTCTTCTCGGGGCTCGCACAAGCCGGGGCCTGGGCGTGCTTTGACGAATTCAATCGAATCGACATCGAAGTGCTCAGTGTGATTGCCCAGCAGGTCCTTTGTATCCAACAGGCCATCATTTGCAACGCCGAACAGTTTGACTTTGAAGGAAAACTCATCCGACTCAACACCGGGTTTGGTGTCTTTATCACGATGAACCCGGGGTACGCTGGGCGAACGGAACTGCCGGACAACCTCAAAGCGCTGTTCCGACCGGTCGCGATGATGGTCCCAGACTACCGTTTGATCGCCGAAATTGTCTTGTTCTCGGAAGGATTTGCCAACGCGCTTCCGCTGTCGCACAAGATGACGCAGCTATACTCGCTGTCGTCGGAGCAATTGTCGAAACAAGATCATTATGACTTTGGTATGCGCGCCGTCAAGTCGGTGCTCGTGGCTGCCGGACAGCTCAAGCGAAAGTGGCCAGAGACCCATGAAGATTTGCTTTTGATTCGGGCGATGCGAGACTCGAACGTCCCCAAGTTTCTCGAAGCGGATTTGCCCTTGTTCCGTGGGATCATCAGCGATTTGTTTCCAGGCGTTGTCGTGCCGTTTGTTGACTACGGCGTCCTGCAAAAGGCCATTGAGACACAGTTGGCGCTTCTGAACCTGCAACAAGTCAACTCGTTCGTGGCCAAGACGATTCAAGTCCACGAAACGCAACTCGTGCGCCATGGCATGATGTTGGTCGGGGAGGCGGGCAGCGGCAAGTCAACCAATGCTCTGATTTTGTCCAAGGCGTTGACGGCATTGCACGAACAAGGCGTGGTCGATCGCGACGGATTTTACAAGGTCGTGACACGCCTCATCTTGAATCCCAAGAGCATTTCGGCGGGCCAGTTGTACGGTGAGTTCAACTTGCTCACGTCCGAGTGGACCGATGGTCTTGTGCCAAAACTTGTCCGGCAAGCCGTCGCGGAAGCGAGTGAGAGCGACGCTCGAAACTGGGTCGTGTTTGACGGACCCGTCGATGCTGTATGGATTGAAAACATGAACACCGTCCTGGATGACAACAAAACACTCTGCTTGGCCAATAGCGAACGCATTAAGCTGCCATCTACGCTGCACATGTTGTTTGAAGTCCAAGACCTTCGCGTGGCCTCGCCCGCCACCGTCAGTCGCTGCGGCATGGTATACATGGAGCAGGTCCACGTCGGGCTCATCTCGGTTGCTCGCACGTGGAAAGTCAACGTGCTGGACAAGATCCTGACGTCCGAATTTGCGGCGATCGTGCTCGAATTGGTTGAGATCCACGTGCCTGCAGCCATTCAATTTGTCCGGACAAAGTGCCGTGAAAAGGTGCCGAGCAACAACGGGAACCTCATGCAATCGTTCTTGAACTTGCTTGCGTCGTGCTTGTCGGCGCCGTCGGTGGCTACCAGTACAGCCAACAACACGGCGGACATGGGAACGCTGGCGCGGATGTACTTTGTCTTTTCTCTCGCGTGGAGCGTCGGGGCCAACATTGACGACGCTTCTCGGTCAAAGTTTCACCAGTTCTGCACGGAGCAGCTCGGGCCATTGTTCGACTACGTCGGGAACGTCGACAACGTGTACAATTATGCCGTCGACGACACAAACGGGACGTGGGTGTCGTGGCTGCACCGGACGCCGCACTTCACGTACGACCCGAAAGCGTCCTACTTTGCTATGCTCGTGCCAACACAAGATACAACGCGGTTCCGTTTCCTCCTGGAGCGACTCATGTCGAATGGCCACCATGTTCTCTACAGCGGCGAGACGGGAGTCGGCAAGTCGGTCATCATCCAGTCGTTTCTTGACGACATGGCCAAAACCGACTCGTTCGTGGCGTCTACGATGGGGTACAGTGCCCAAACAAAGCCAGCCAACCTGAATGAAATGCTCGAACTCAAGCTCGAGAAAAAACGCAAGAATTTGCTCGGAGCGCCGCACGGAAAGAAGATGCTCATGTTTATTGACGACCTCAACATGCCGGCATTGGAAGTGTATGGTGCACAGCCACCGAATGAACTCCTTCGCCAAGTCATCGATTCCGGTGGATTCTACGACATTGAAAAGATGTTTTTCAAGAACGTAGTCAACGTTGTCTTTGCCGCTGCATGCGCGCCGCCGGGTGGCGGACGGTCTGAAGTCACTCCCCGCCTCCTTCGGCTTTTCCACATGTGCTGGATCCCCAACTTGTCGGCAGACGCCATGACACAGATCTTTGTCTCGATTCTCAGCGGGTTTCTCGACGTGGAAATACCGACCCTAAGCCACATGTCGACCGCGATCGTGTCTGCCAGTGTCCAACTCTACCAGCGCGTCGAAGCTGAGCTCCTGCCGACGCCGTCCAAGTCGCACTACACGTTCAACTTGCGCGACTTGTCCAAAGTGTTCCAAGGCGTGCTCATGGTGAAAAAAGTCAACGCGTCGACAGCCGAGGCCCTCGTTCGTTTGTGGCTCCACGAAGAAGCGCGAGTGTTTCGCGATCGGCTGATCGACGCCACCGATCGCGCGTGGTTTAACTCCGCCTGCTCGACGTTGTTGGAAACTCACCTAAAACTGACGTGGGAGCCTGTGACGTTCGAAGCTTGTCTCTACGGCGACTTTACAACCCGCGAAAATCGGACGTACGCAGAGATGACCGACATGGGACAGCTCAACGGTCTACTACTCGAGTACTTGGAGGAGTACAACATTACGTTTCCGAGCCAGATGCATTTGGTTTTTTTCAACGACGCGATTCACCACATCAGTCGCATTTGCCGAATTTTACGACAACCGCGAGGCAACGCCCTGTGCGTGGGTGTCGGTGGCAGTGGGCGACAAAGTCTGACACGTCTTGCTGCGTTCATGGCCGACTACAAGTGTTTTTCGATCGAAATCACTCGTGGGTACGGCACAGACGAGTTTCATGAAGACTTGAAGAAGATCCTCATGGTGGCTGGCGCCGAGGCCAAGCCGGTTGTGTTTCTCTTCAGCGATACCCAAATCGTCGTCGAGTCGTTCTTGGAAGACATCAACAACATATTAAACACAGGCGACGTCCCCAACTTGTACGCAGCGGACGAAATGGAAAAGATCGTGAGCATGGTGCGCCCGATCGCAGCAGCTATGGGCAAAGTCACACGGGAAGACATTGTTGCGCACTATTTGACGTTGGTGCGTGAAAACTTGCACTTTGTTCTGGCATTCTCTCCGATCGGAGCGGGGTTCCGCAATCGCTGCCGCATGTTTCCGTCGTTGGTCAACTGCTGCACGATCGATTGGTTCAACGCATGGCCCGAAGACGCGCTCCACTCGGTTGCGATTCGATTTTTGGCCGCGTCCGCGGAAGAACTGGGCATCGACAAACATGTCGAGACGTTGTGCAACATGGCCGTGACGATCCATCGAAGCGTCGAAGCGGCGACAGCCAAGTACTTCAAGGAGCTCAAGCGGCAAACATACACAACACCGACATCGTACTTGGAGCTCATTCGACTGTATGTCGACATGCTGCGGACGCAGCGTGGACTAGTCAAGGCGAAAGAAGCTCGGTATCGTGGCGGTTTGAAAAAGCTCGCGGAAACCGAAGAGATTGTCGGGAATCTCAAAAAGGAATTGATCGTACTCCAGCCCGTGTTGGTCAAGTCGCAGCAAGAAACATCAGAGTTGCTCACGCAAGTTGCGAAGGACCAAGAGGAGGCGGACAAGCAGCAAGTCCTGATTGAAGCGGACGTGAGCGCTGCCAATGCGATTGCTGACGAAGTCAAGTTGATCAAGGACGACTGTCAAAAAGATCTGGACGAGGCCATGCCGGCATACTATGCCGCCATCGGGGCGTTGAATTCGCTCAAGAAGGACGACATCACGGTCGTCAAGTCATTTGCGAACCCGCCCAAGATGGTCGGCGTCACCATGAACGCAATTTGCCTGCTCTTTGGCGTCAAGCAAGAGTGGAACGAAGGGAAGAAGCTTCTGAACGACATGAAGTTTTTGGACAAGCTCAAGGAATTTGATAAGGACAACATCCCTCCAAAAACTATTCGACAGCTCGCCAAGTTTGTTCAGGACGAAGAGTTCACTCCCGAGAATCTGGCGAGCATCTCGTCCGCCGCCACGTCGCTGTGCATGTGGGTTCGAGCAATGTACACGTACGATTCTGTGGCCAAGAACATTGGCCCGAAGAAGGAAAAGCTCAAGAGCGCCGAAGCCACGCTTGCAACGGAACAAGCCAAACTCGAAATCAAACAGTCGGGGCTTAACGAAGTGCTAGCCAAAGTCGCCGGCCTCAAGCGCACACTCCAGGAAGCGCAGACGAAAAAAGCCGAACTCGAGGCCCAGACAGCGTTGACCCAGGCGCAGTTGGTTCGCGCAGAGAAGTTGATTGACAGTCTGGGCGAAGAGAAGGGGCGGTGGCTCGAATGCGCCGAAAATTTAGGCCACGACATGATCAACTTGGTCGGCAACATGATCCTGAGCTCTGGGTGTATTGCGTACATGGGTCCGTTCACCGCCGAGTTTCGATACGACATGCAGCAAATGTGGGTGAGATTTTGCAAGGAATCGCAGCTTCCCGTCGACAACAACTTCAGTCTGGAGCGGATCTTGAGCGATCCCGTCGTCGTACGCGAGTGGAATATCATGGGGCTGCCTGCGGACGCGTTTTCCACAGAAAATGGACTGTTTGCCACCATGGGACGACGGTGGCCGCTCATGATCGATCCGCAAGGCCAAGCCAACAAGTGGATCAAGAACATGTACAAAACGATGAACCTGCAAATCATCAAGCTGACCGAAAAGGATTTTCTCCGAACTCTGGAAAACGCCATTCGGTACGGCATGCCTGTGCTACTCGAGAACGTCGAAGAGGAACTGGATCCGAGCTTGGAACCTGTGTTGCTCAAGCAAGTATTCAAGCGGTCCGGACAAAATCTGTTGCATTTGGGCGACTCGGACATCCCGTACTCGGACTCGTTCCGATTTTACATCACGACCAAGCTGGCAAACCCGCACTACATGCCTGAAGTGTGCATCAAGGTCACGGTTATCAACTTTACCGTGACGTTGACAGGGCTCGAGGACCAGCTGCTGGTTGACGTCGTGCGGAATGAGCGGCCAGACTTGGAGCAAAAGAAGGACGAGCTTACGGTCGCAATTGCCGCTGACAAGAAGGCACTCAAGGAGATTGAGGACAAAATCCTATACATGTTGGAAAACTCCAAGGGCAACATCCTGGACGACGAAGAGCTCATCGACACGTTGAGTCACAGTAAGGTCACATCGAGCGCGATCAAGACGCGCATGTCGGAAGCTGAAATCACGTCGAAAGAAATCAACAGCACGCGCGAGGGGTACCGTTGCGTGGCCGTGCGGGGCTCCATTATATACTTTGTCATCGCCAACCTGGCGCTGGTCGACCCCATGTACCAGTACTCGCTCCAGTACTACCAAAAGCTGTTTGTCATGCGACTCGAGTTGAGTGAAAAGTCTGAAGCACTCCAAGCCCGCCTCGACATCTTGATGAACGACGTCACGAGGAGCATGTTTGTAAACGTGTGCCGGGGGCTGTTTGAGAAAGACAAAGTCGTGTTTGCGTTCATGATTGTCGCCTCGATTTTGCGCCAACGCCATGCAATCTCGCCGGCCGAGTGGACCTTTTACCTCATCGGGGCCAAACGGTAAGTGATTCAAAAGGTGTGCATGGCTTGTGCATATGCATCTCATGGCAGTATGATGTAGAACACACGCGCTCGACGCAACGCGCAAACCAAAGTGGCTCCCGGAGCGCGTCTGGATCGGCGTGGAATCACTCATGGAAGTGAACCCGGTCGCGTTTGAAACGTTACCCGTGTCGCTCGTGGAGTACAGCGAAACCTGGCGCGAAACGATCTTGTACTCGGAGTTGCCGCATCAAGAGCCCATTCCCGGCGAGTTGAACGAAGCGCTGACGAATTTCCAAAAGCTCCTTGTGCTGCGCGTCTTCCGGGAAGAAATGCTTGTGTTTGGGACGCGCGAATTTGTCGGGAGGGAAGCGGGGCCGTTCTTCACAGAGTCCCCACCGTTCGATCTGAAAGGATGTTACTCCGACTCGGCCCCAGACATTCCGCTTATTTTTGTGCTCAGTCCCGGTGCCGACATCACTGACTACCTCCTGGAGCTCGCCAAAAACGAAGGCAAGGACGGCGCTGGCTTGAAAATCATTTCACTCGGCCAGGGTCAAGGTCCAATTGCTGAAGCATTGATGAAGACGGCGCGAGATACAGGAGACTGGGTCTGCCTGCAAAACTGCCACTTGGCCGTGAGCTGGCTCGGCAAACTCGAGCAGATTCTGGAAAAGAGCAAGGAGCTCGAGCTGCACCCGCAGTTTCGTCTGTGGTTGACGAGTATGCCAAGGTACGAAGTGTTGTCGGATGTCAGTCACCACTACTAACGTTTATCGTCCTGTATGCAGCTCCAAGTTTCCAGTGCCGATTCTTCAGAACGGCATCAAGATCACCAACGAGCCGCCAAAAGGGATGCGCGCCAACTTGGGCCGGACGTTCCTCGACATGAAGGATGCCGACTACGAGGGGTGCTCCAAGCCCCGCGAGTACAAAAAGTTCATTTTCGCACTCGCGTTCTACAACGCGCTGTGTTTGGAGCGGCGCAAGTTTGGCGCGGTCGGGTGGAATATCCCGTACGAGTGGATGAACTCGGATTTGAAAACGGGTATGCAACAAGTCAAGTTGTACTTGGAAGAGCAGGAGGAGGTGCCGTTCGTTACGCTCAACGTAATGGTCGCCGACATCACGTACGGCGGGCGCATCACGGACCGATGGGACAAACGAACCAACTCGTCCATCATGCGCAAACTCTTTCATGAAAATCTCCTGGACGACGCGTATCGATTCGCGTCGTCCAACACGTACTTTGCCCCGGCGACTGGCACCCTCGAAGACACTCGCAAGTACGTGGCCAGTTTGCCCATCGTGGACGCCCCCGACATCTTTGGGCTCCACGCCAATGCCGACATCACGTTCCAGCAGAAAGAGACGAGCCAGCTGATCTCGACGATGTTGCTCATGATGGGAGGTGGAGGTGGTGGCGGCGCCGAAGCCAACGACAACGACTCGGTCGTGATGGAGTTGGTCGTGTACGTTCAAGACCGGATGCCAGTCATGTTTGACGAAGCTCGCGGCCACCCCGACAGCTTCAAAGAAACGAGTGGAAGTCGCAACTCGCTTGGGGTGTTCCTTGGCCAAGAAATGATTCGATTCAACGGGCTAATGAAGGTCATGAAGACGACGCTCGAGAACTTGAAGCGTGCGATCAAGGGACTTGTCGTCATGTCCGGTCCGCTCGAGCGCATGTACAACGGATTCCTCTTGCAGAAAATTCCCAAAGAGTGGGAGGACGCCGGGTACCCGTGCTTGAAGCCGCTGAGCTCGTGGGTCGAAGACTTTTTCCGACGGCTCGACACGATGAACTCCTGGCTTGTCGAAGGGCCACCTCAGTCGTTCTGGCTGCCTGGCTTCTTCTTTCCCCAGGGGTTCATGACAGCCGTCAAGCAAGTTTACTCTCGCCAGCACCAGATAGCAATAGACGCGCTCATCGTGACGTGCGAGGTCATGCCGTACGGCGTCGAAGGGGTCAAGGCGCCGCCTGCATTCGGGTGCTACATCTCAGGTCTATTTATGGAAGGCGCGCGGTTCGATCGGACGTCCATGCGTATCGGCGAGTCGACGCCTGGAGAACTCTTTGACAAGATGCCGGTCGTGTGGCTCAAGCCCATGCGCAGCGTCGAGTACAAGCCCAAGAACGTATACGAGTGTCCGCTCTACAAGACGTCAACTCGGGCGGGAACTCTGTCGACAACCGGCCACTCGACCAACTTCGTCGTGGCGCTTGACATCCCGACCAAGCAACCGCCAGACCACTGGATTCGCCGCGGATGCGCCATGTTGTGCATGTTGGATACGTAGACAGTAGTTCGCTAGGTGAAATAGACGTATAAATTACGGGAAGCGAGGGACGTCACTGAGAGTGGTGTGACGACGACAGCCGACGCAACTTGTGCTTGTCGTTGTGTTGCTGTACGAGTAATTGCAGCTCGACGTGGTCTTTCTTGGGTAGTTTGCGCTTGACCGAGGTGCTTGATCCCTTCGTATCCACAGCTTGAACCACCACACGTACCGGTTGCGGCGTCTGCTTTGCCTTGAGCTCATCGAGCAATTCTTGGAGATCTTCGTGGGGGGATTTGACGAAGCGTTCGATTCGTGAGGGATCAGGAGATTGATGCGACAAGGACGACGACACAGGTCCAGGTGAAGCAAGCGCCTTTCGCCGATTGCTTTCAGTCTCGGTTTCGCAGGAAGCTGTCAAGCTGTCATGGTAGTCGTACACGTGATCTTCTTTTGGAAAATGTCGAGATAAGCTCTCTTGAGGAATCGAGTGCCAATTGCAGTCCAGAGAGCTCTTCCGTTCATCAGGTGCAGGGGGTTTCCGATGCGTTCTCGAAGTCGTCATCGGCTGATGTCCTGCGTATCGAGCATCACCAGCATTCGACAACCTTGCGTTCTTGACCTTAGCGTTGTGTTCCTTCAGCATTTGCTTGATATGGTCCTCCTCCTTGACTTTGACCGTTTTTGCCTTTTGCAGGAGTTGCTGTTGATGAGGCTTTTGAACTGGTTTACGAGGCGATGCATGTCCAGTATGAGGGACCTGGAACCACTCCCAGTTGCGTTGATCCTCTTCGTCGTCCTCAACGTCGTCTGCCAGTGAGAGGTCGATCCATTCCTGGCGCACGTCGAAGTCGAAGGATGGATGGACCTTCATGAAGCCACCACGGGTTTGCCGCCCTTTGCACGAAATATAAAATAATAGAGGATCCTACATTGGTTGGTGAGATATTTTTCCAATGGCACACTTTGGACAGAATTGCAAGAATATTGCCAAAGCCTACAATATTCGCGAATTTTTTTACTACTTAGCATTTCGTCATGAAGGTGACACTCCTCAGGGTCGGCAAGTACAAAGAGATCGAGGAAGGCCTCCACGACGTGGACTGCTCCGTGACTCTCGTTGAATTCGGCAAGTTCAACATCCTGTACGATACCGGTGGTGCATGGGCTCTTTCCGAACTGCTTGAGTCGCTCGCGACGTCTGGCTTGTCTGCTACCGACATCACGCATGTCATCGGGTCACATGGTCATTCAGACCACATTGGTTGTCTTTCAGCATTCCCCCACGCCTTTCACTTTATTGGTGGAGACGCCAACTTGCGCAACAATTATTCGACCCTTGAATCCTCGGACTCAAGTAGCGTCGATACTGCTCGGTTCTTTCGCAATGAAATGTTCACTGGTGGCAAGTTCCACCACTGGGGCGCCAACGGCATTCCCCTAGACGATCCTCGCGGAAAGTACGGTAGTATTCGCCTTGTCAAAACACCAGGGCACACGAGCCAATGCACGTCGCTGTTGCTTGAACATCAAGACGGAGGTATCGTGTTGGATGGTACGTCGTTTTCGCGCATTGCCATCGTTGGTGACCTGTGGGACTGCGTCGACGATGAAGACTACTATCGCACTATCTCTCAGCTACCTCTTGTCCAAGAGGAGAGCCGATCCTTCGTGTTGAAATGGGGTCCCGATTGCATCATCCCTGGCCATGGAGCTCCATTCGCGCCTTCTGACTTGGGTTAGGTCAGGTCGAGCACTCATCGCAATAATACGAAAAAATGATCGACACCAGGTCCATTTTTCGTCGATATATGCCAACTGTCCCAAGAAATTTCAATGTGAGGCCAAATCACTTGTGTATTTTACCCGATTGTTGCAAAAATACCATCCCAAAATTACAAACTCCAAAGTGACATTTTTGTCCCAACATGTCACTGTATCCTTTTCTGGTGTAACAGGAGCAGTTTCACAAGTGTAACTGCTCTTGAAACAGTTCATCTCCATCGCGCCGCGTCTGGGCAATTGAACACATTCGGTGCCCGGAGAGGTTCCTCAATGCAAAAAGTCGACGCGGCAGCGCTGTCATTCGAGCACCTCTTGTCGTTGACGCAGTCCCACGAACATGTCGAGTGCGTGGATGGATGGACCGGTGTCCTCGACCGGCTCGCAGAAATTGACGGGATGCAGCTAAAACACGTCGTCACGGCTGCCAAAGCCACGTTCAACAGCACATTTGACGCTGCTACCCTCAGTATAGTGTACCAGGTAATTGCTCTCACATTTCCAAGTACTATGTTGACGTAACAATCGTCGATGCAGGTGGTGAAAAAACTAGGGTGTCGGGGGGAAATGGAACGAAAGCTGTTGATGCGAGAAGAAGTCCCCAAACACTTGCTTTCATCACTCCAGAGCCATGTCGGGGATGCGTCGACGCAGTCCCACGGCCTTCAAGCGCTGTACCCTCTGGCGTTTGACGCGCCGCACCGCGTCCAACTGGCGACATGTGGGAGCTTGCCCTTGTGTGTCTCGGTCATGGCCGCGCATCCCACTGTTCTAACACTGCAACAGCACGGATGTCGGTTCCTTCAGCTCATGGCTTTCGACGACGATTGCAAGCTGACGATATTGACCCATGACGGCCTGCCCGTGGTCCTCGCGGCACTCGACCGCTACTACACCGATAAGGACCTTGCAATTTCGTCTTCGGACTTGCTGTATTTCCTCGTCGCCGACTTGGACAGCGACGACGAAAAAATTCAAGGCATTGCGTCAGCCATAGTACTTGCGGTGGTGAGAGTCATGTGCGTCCACGGATCCGACGCCCGCATTCAGTCCCATGGAGTTGCCATCCTCAACAGGTACAGGCAGACCTGGCCTTTGGCTTCGATATATTCGTAACTTTCGCGGTGGTGGTGGTATAGTTTGATCGCGAATGATGAGGCCAAGCCACTTCTGTGCACCGAAGCAGTGCTTGACGTGGTTGAGCAGGCCATTGGGCTCACAGACGACGCAACAACGGATTCGATCGTTCTCCTCTTCGAGTTATTGCAAAATGTGGAATGCCGAAACGAAATTATAAACAACGCCCCCTCCACCTACAGGTGCGCTACTGTGCGAGTTCGATCCGGCTAGGACGGACTGATGGATCCTTCTCGCAGATCGATCCAAGCGATTGGGGCCAAACTTGTCACAGCCACCCTTCCATCCGACGACGCAGATAGCACGGAACGGAAGGCGTACATTCAGCGGGTCTTGGAAGGCATGTTGACCACGATGGATGCACGGGTAGCCGCAAGTCAACTGCCCACGCCATCGACGACGCCAAGTGAACGGTCTGCAGCTGTCGTGCCACTGCCAGCTGCGCTCTCCACCACCACCATCACGACAGAGCCTTGCATTGAAAGCAGCGACAACCTTCATCGGCACTCGATACAACTCCCGTCGCCATCGAAGCTACACGACACGACGACAGCTGATACACTTGCGATAGCTGTCCACGATGAAGAGCTCGAAAATTTTGCCGTGTGCGATCCGAAAGATGAACTCAACAGCAACTGCTTCAAAATAAAGCAACGAGGTGAAGCGGGAGCCCCCCCACAAGCTACACCCTTGCCGACAACCGCGCTACCGTCGGCGCAAATCATGAACACTCTGCCTCCTTCTCACGGATCTACTCCTTCATCCAAGGCAAGAATCGCATCATTTGCAACTGTTCAAGTCTCACCGGCCTCGGTGAAGTACGACATCGGAACTCGAGAAGCGCGGACTGAGCTGGAAGCAACACGCGTGGCACTGGTGGATGCGACGAAAGCGATCGAGTACGAACGGGCCAAAGTTCGTAAAGTGATTTTCAACTACAAACTCATGAAGAGGCGGCTGGCGGACCAACACAAGCTGCTCTGTGTACACAACGAACGGTCGGTGGCCGACGCCGAAATCCACGACACGTTACTGCAGCGTGTGCGATACCTCGAGGCTGCACTGGAGGAGGCCCAGACTTCGTGGGGCGTCGAGCGCAACTTGCGCGTGAAGCTCGAGAACGAAGTCAGCAAAGGCGCGATTGCTCTGGCAACCGTCCAGAAGGCTCTCGAGGATCAGAGACCAGCGGTCAAAGAACGAATGGTGCCGGAGACACGGTTGTTGGATGCGCAGAGGTCGGTGCAGCAGCTTACGGGGGACAAGTTGATCTTGGAAGAGGCCATCAAGGTCGCCCAGGATATGATATACACGTGCGAAACCAACCAAGTACGTTAAAGCGTGCACACGCCCCTTCTTCAACCGTCATCCTGGTATCTCTGCGACGTTGTAGTTCTTGCTTGAAGCTCAAGTCAAGCAGGTCCGACGAGAAGGCATGGAGAGTTTGCTCATGCGGGAGGAAGACGTGGAGATTCCAAAACCCAGCAAGTACTTGACCCTGGCGTCCCCCACGGCCAAGCGGACCCAAACGTATAGCCCCACGCCGCCCCGTGCGGATGCGCACGACATCAAAGAGACTCCGTTGACGCTTGAACTGAATGACCAACAAGCCATCGGTGAGTCGTCGCTGGCGTCGACTGCTCGATGACAACGTGTGCTTGGCGTAGAGGCGTTCTTGCACCGGGCGTACAAATGTTTGGAGGCGTGTTCGGAAGGGTCTGGAGTGCACTTTTCAATCCTTCGTCGGTACCTCGTCGACAGCGGGCTCGCGTCGGCTCCCGTGCTGGTGTCTGACGTGGATGTGATTCTGAACAAAGTGTTGGCTGTGGCTCAAGAAAACAAGCTGAAAGCAAAGCGGCGCAAGGACTACGAGTTTTCGCCGTGCTCAAAGCGCCCCGACTTTGGCAAGTTGCGGCATCGGTACTTCAGTCGCAACCTCTTTTGCGAAGCCATCACGTTGGTCGGGGCCAAGAAGTACCCGTACTTGGACAACACGACCGTCATGTTGCGGGAAGTCATCTTGACGTATTTGAATCCGTACGGGTCAGCGATCGAGTGCCGTGGGGGCGATGTCCAGCTCCTCGTGACGTCGTACGACCCGTTCAACTTCCTCAAGATCATGATGGAGCAACTCCACCATTCGTTTCACACACCCGTGTCGACCACCGACGGCGACGACCAGCCCCAGCGCAGCAAGTCGTCCAACAACGAGCCGGTTCTGCAAGCCATGCTCGAAATGGTTCCGGTCCTTCAGCGCGAGCAAAAGCCTCTCAAGGTGGCACAAGGCCTCTGCCGTGAAAACCTAACGAGACAACGATAGATCATATGCGACTTTTACACGGGCACGCCGGACGCGACCAAGGACGACGCCCTCGATTTGGGTCTCGAAGCTGTGGTACTCGGTCTTTTTGCGCGAAAACAATGGGATCGCTGATCCGGTGAGTAGGTGCACTTTGCCGTCGACTTTGAAGTCATTCCTGCCTTTCTCGACCGCCTCGCTGTCAAGCGACTGTACAAGGACATCTTGACTTTTTTCAAGACTTTCCTCGCCATGTACAAAGGTTTTCCATGCCCTCCAGACAAGAAGAAGTACGTGGCGTTCTACATGACGCTTGGCCGCCTCGCGGTCGAGATTTTCAAGGAAAAGCGCGATTACGACTTGCCCGAAAGTCAAGTACGGCGACCACACTACCTGCCTGGAGCTGGGTCTGTCTTGCCCTGCTAACGTGTTTGTGTAGATTACTGGCTTGCTCCAATGGATGGACAATTCCAGGGGGCGTGGCCGCATTGTGCGGAAGGGAGCCGCCCAGTCTGGCATCAAGTTTTCGAATAGGCTGTACGCAATTAAGTGAGCGCCACAGACAAAACACGACAATCTCTCTTAGTTGTACACACGCACGCCGCCCTCGCATGAGCCGAGCCACCGGTCAATGCGCTGGATGGCGTCGTGCACTCTGCACGCCCGCTCGTTGTCGTCGAGACCGTCGTCCTCCACGAGGAACTAAACACGTTTTAAAATTGGACCCATGAGCTAAATATCATAATCCTGCGTTAAACCCACCTTCTTGAGAAGCTTTAACATGGGGGATTGGGAAAACCGTAGTTCGAAGAATGCGTTAAAGTAGGGAATCTGCGATCTGATTGGTCCATTGACATCTTCGACGTTTTTCTGTTCGAGCAGCGCACTTGACTCCTGACTTCGGCCGACCGTCATGGATGAGCTCCTTTTCCGCGACAGGACGGGGTCTGAAGATGACACATCGCTCGAACATGCACGACTTTTGGCGCTGAAGAAGCTTTTTGGACGACGCCTGTGGCAAAGATGGCGCATATACGACATCGGCGCGTCGATGACGGACGAAGATCAGTTGAAAGAGCTCCTGGCACAACCAAACCCACGTCGCGACGACGTGCTCGATCTACTTCAAACCAAGTTTCTCGCGATCCCCGAACGGGACTCCTTCGTGTACCGCGGAATCATTTGGCAAGTTCTTTTGCATGTGTATGACCCTCAGCGACAGAGTTCGAGTGCTGACGAGCTAGAGAATTTGTCTGGGCGTTTGGCGTCGATGCCGCGTGACCCGCTCATGCGTAAGGAAATCACTGAAGGGTGCATTTCCCTCCAGTACGTTGCGGGGGATTTGGTACAATCGGGCATGGAAACGGTACTGTTGTGGCTGCTCAAGGCCAAGTCCGTGCCGTACACGAGTGGAATGGCGCAAGCCCTCGCGCCGTTCTTTCTCCTACAACTGCCTCTCCACACGATCTACGACTGCTTTTATCGGTACTGTGCGCTGTATTTGCCCCACCTCGTCAGCGGGACGTTCTCACTCTTCGACGTGGACCTTCCCTTCGAGTAGGAGCACCGCCAGCAGCTCACACTCCACCTGCTCGCATACCACGACCCCCACCTCGCTCAATTTCTCCTACAGTGGACACCCACCTGGATACAACGTATAGTTCCAGTCGACTACTTTTGCTGCAACTTGTATCGCCGTCTCCCCCCCGCCTCATTTTTGTACCTCTTGGACCAGTACTTGATCACGAACGACATGGAATTCGGGCTCTTCGTCGTGCTCGCGGTCGTTATCCTTAGTCGTGAAGCGATCCTGTCGAAGAAGTCTGGAGATGCTGTCAAAGCTGTCTTGACGCCGCTGTGGGGTCTCGAACGCGCAGATCACGCGGCTGCCGTCGTCATGCTGGCGACGTCGCTGCGACGCAAAACGCCGTCATCGTACACGCATGCATGGCAAGTGGCACCACACGCTGCGTTCACGCAAGTGACGGACGAAAAGGCGACCGACATGTCCGTGTGGCGGAAACAAGAGTCGAAAACACTCACGGGACGGTTCTACTGGTACAACAGCAAAACGAAATCGACGCAGTGGGAACATCCGCTAGCCAAACACGAACCCCCGCCGCCGCTGATGTGCCTCACCACGAGTGTGGTAGAAATAGCCGCCGTCAACTTGGGCCAGACGCACGCCAAGCTCCGGTACTTTGTCGTGGACTGTCGCGGCACGCGGTCCTCGCAAGACATCAAGAGCGGCTCGATTCCGTCGGCATTTCCTCTGGACCCAACTGTATTTGACAACCCGGATCTAATGCATCGGACGCTGGAGACGCTGAGGCCACTGGGGTCTCAAGTTCACGTCGTGTTGGTGGGCCACGGCGCCGTGATGCCCACTGCACCGACCGATGAAGTTGCCGCGCATGTTCGCGAAGGCATCCGTGAAGACTTGGCCGTCGTAAATCGCGCTGCGCTATTTTTCCAAAAGCATGGGTTCCGCTTTGTCAGTGCACTGGATGGAGGGTACGCGGCATGGCATGCGTTTGTCCGAGATGCGCCGTACACATCGGTGCATGAGCTAATCGGTCACGATCAACCCGAGTGCCGGTACTGCCGCGTCGATGCCGGTACCGACCCCGATGCCGTGGCGGGGCCGAAGAGGCGTTCAAGCATCCCTCGCCTCCGCACAAGCTTGACAAAGCTCAAGATGCCAACGCTAACCTCCCTCAGCTTCAAAAAGCACGACAACGTCAAGGACCGGCTGAGTGTGTCGTCGACGTCGTCGAGTAACCGCGATTCGTTGAAGGATCGCCTATCTGTCGGAGGATGGTCTCTCGTTCGATCGCGCAGCAGTATTGACAACTCAGCTAGTCAAATCGTCGGGTTCGACGGGGAAGAAGACTTGGAGGGTGAGCCCATGGAGCCCCGTGAAAGTTGGAGCGACGAAGAGATTGAGATTTCCCTGCCCACCCTGTCTGCGTAGTGGAATGGACGATGACGTTTGATGTGCGAGATAGATTTGATGCGATGGAGTAACTTAACGAAGAGCATGGCCTTGTCTGGAGAACGACGCCTCATGTCGCTTGCAATCTTTTGGGTTCATGCACCCTGATTTAATACTACTATCATGGTACTAGCAGTACGCGCAGTCGACAAGAAGTGTACGAACCAATTGGATTTGATCATACGATGTGTATATCTTTTCATTGGCTGAATAAATTCGAATAGTAACTCCTTTTTAACCAATTTGGTTGCGTTTCTACCTAGCTGTCTTGCCGCTCCACGGAGAATGGGTTATTTTATTATACTTGCTCATTGTATGTACTTGTCTATGGGGTATTTAAGTCACGATTGGAATTCTTGCACCAAGGGAAAAGTAGAGACGACCAATCGCCGCCGAGATTCGCAACTCTCCCACGTCAGTCAAGAATTAGAGCTCGGCCAGGTCGACGACACTCCATCGATAGCAATTGATACACCGACAACCACGATGTCTGACCCCAGTGACCATGACACCGTTCCCCATGAGGACCATATCCCACTCAGCCCACAGGCAGCAGCTGCTGTTGCTGCTGAACCTGACGTGCCAGCTATCGCTGCCCGAGTCAGAGATATCGTTGTCAACGACGACGAGGACGACGACAGCGATCTTGGCACCCCCGGATCACCCAAGGACCCGTTCAGCGAAGACGTGGATGGCAGTGCCCACCCCCAAGCAACATTTGCACACCATGCATTCTACGGCCCTTCGGGGTCTAGCGACCATGGTCAAACCATTCATGACACTCGACGCGTCGAAATCGGCAACGCAAAAAACGCTGCTGCTTACTTCAAGAGCGAACCAAAGGAGAGTAGTCACCGCGCATCGATGGCATACCAACAATCGTTCATGGATTTCCCGTCGCCCACAAACAAATCCATGTCGACGGGACCCCGGGGGTCCCTCATCAACATGGCCAAGTCGAACATGCCTAAAATCTCCAAGAGCCTTCCTGCCCTCCCGAGCTTCCTTAAACGCAGCGGTGTCAACAGCACCAAGGATGTAGACGCCCCATTCTGCGATGGGTGCGGCCAGCAGCCGATCAAAGGTGTCGTGTGGTCGTGCAGTGTTTGTGTCAGCTTCAACCTGTGCTCATCATGCTATGCTCAAGGCGTGCATGGCATGGAAGGCACGCCTGCGATGCAAATGTACGAAGAGCTGAACGCATTTTACAAACTGCAAAAGCGGTGCAAGCTGCTCACGATGGAGTTTCTTGGTGTCCTTTACACGGACGTGTGCAAGAAACACGTCCCCAAATTTCAATACCTCGGCGACTGGCTCGCGGTGATCATGGACAAGAAGGTGAATGCTACCAAGATCCCAGCTCGAGGGGTCGAAATCCCCCACCTGTCGCCCCGGGTGCGGACCAAGTTTGTGGACGTGCTCATGCCGTTGGTGTCGAACCGTACGGACTTGCAAGTGTACGTGGAGTGGCTGCCGGAGCCTGAAGGAGACCTGGAAACCGTGCGCATTTGGATGTCAGATTTGAAGACCAGGACCAAATCTCCGTTTGCTGTTGCGATGCCGCTGGTGCCCCCCGCCACTTCAGCCGCCACCACAGCGTAGAGTCACGCCAACGAGGTGATATCGGCCAAGTCTTTACAGTACATGGATAATATTATGTTAGAAAGGATATCAAATAACACAGTGCTCCGTGTCCATAGCGCATTACTACTAGTACCTGACTAACAGTAAATTTAGGTATAACGTTAATACTAACTACTCCTTGCGGTTTCGCCTCCAAAGGTCAAGCGCACCGCCCGTGGTGGATGATACGATGCGTGTCGAGCATGCAAGGCCCCGCCCACCTCCGATTTCTAAACCACCGCAGCGACGTTCTGGTACGTCTGTCGTGTGCCATGGCAGTCGCATTAGCGGATTCCGGGTATGCGCAGGTCGTCAAAGTACCAGGAATCAATACGGTGGGGACAGAGTAACAGCAGCAGCAGTATTTGTAGTTGCCCATGCAGGTGCGACAGAGCAGTGTTGACATGCGAATGCGGACCATTCATTCAATTGCCGTGTGTAGATGAGATGACCAAGATCAAAGCCTTGTTCAGCGAAATTGTTCGGCTTGGTGTGGCGCGATCCCAAGACATGGCGTTGTTGTGCAACGTAGGTTGGCACTGCATGTAACATCTTTCAGTTCTAGTTCCATCGCCGTAGAACGATACTCCATGCACTGAAGCGGCTCGCTTCGGTTTGGAATGCCAATTTCGAGAAGAGTGGAGAACGTCTCGCGAGGACGAGACTTTCAACCAATTGCAACAGCTTCTCTGTGAAATCGAGCCTCAAGACCACCACGACTTGCACAATCATTTTCGGTGAGGCTCGCGGGCCGGCCCCAGATGTTGACTCGGTTTTGTGCAGGTTGGCCATGGAGACCATTGTAGCTACAGTTGGCGTGACCGACCCGAAACCTCATCGCGTACGTAAGCCATGACTTGTGGTCAACAGGTGAGCAGGGTGTGTTTTAGTTCGGGTCGAAGCAGCAGCACCTTTACCGAGCCGTCCATTTGGACAATGCGTTGCGGCAGATGGAAGGTTGTGACGCGTCACCGTTGGATATTTGTCGAGGTGGCAACAAATGACACATGTGTGAAAATATTCATTCGCAAGTCATGTGAACTAGAAATGGTTCGCAGCTCCCGCCACCAATTTCAACAACTTTTGGCTGGAGCCGACTCTCTTGCTGCTGCGGAGCCTGCGCCAGAAACATCATGTAACCAGGCACTCGACGGATCATCTTCAGCGGGCCACTTGCGTATGCTGTATGAAAATGTTGCGGCCGCGAAACCTGTCAACCTGTCCAATGCGCCACCATCGAAAGAGTTCACGCGACTCCTTGAAGCACAGCGCTGGGCAGAGCTGTCAAAAGCAAATGGTGGAGTGTGTGCCATGCTGGCTACGTTCAGCGACGCTGACGAAGCTGTGTTAGAGGAACTCGCGCAGAGGCACAAATACCACCTCGTGGCGCGACGCATTCAGCGACGGTTCCGCCTGCACCGAACGTCCGTGAGAGAGCAGGAACGAGTGATCAATATCCGCCTTCGGCTTGAAATTGAAGCGGCCAGCCGCATCCAAGTACTCGTCAGTCGTTTGACGATGTGACCCCATGTATGTCGTAGCGACAATGCCGCCGATGGATGAAATGGAGACGATTCAAATCCAGCCGCCTCGTCTTTTTCCGTCGAAAAAACTTGGTACGGGCGTTGTCGTCGACAAACGCCATTCGAATTGCGGTCGTAGGCAATCCGCATCTCGACGTGGTTGGTGTTTCGATATCGCTTCCGCAAGTGCTGCCGGCGATTTCGAGTACGGATGCAGTGTTGACCATACATGTAGTCATTCATGCTGGCCATGTTTGTAGGACGACTGGATACCCCGCGACTTCTCGATGGAAACAACCGATGCGATGTCGAGAGCTGCGATCAAGTACGTTGCCGTGTTCTCGTGTAGTGGAAGTATGGCGAATTGCTGGATCGACTGGCAGGATTCAGAGCACCATTCGAAGGCATCAGGCAACACGTCGAGTACATCAAGATTGGCAATTTCACTTGCTGCGGCGACGGCGACAACTGCGAGCGCATTGGCATGACAGCCAAGCGCTCCACCAGGTACTCCACGTGTTGTCCTTGTACGCCGTCTTATTCCAAGGGCAGGCAACTGTGTCGCTGGTAGACGAGCTGGTCGAGTGGCATCGCATGTTGACGTTGGAGAAAGAGCAAACGCAAGCCGCCATCGTTGCAGAGCACAAAGCTTTCACAGTGGAATGGGAGGTAGGGGCGTGCCCACTTGTACAGGGCATTCTTGGGAGTTGTGCGCTGTGTCGGTGTAGAAATACAGCGCCGAGCTCACAAAGCAGTGTCTGAAAGCCAAGTTGTTTGCCGAGTGGGTTCCCCAGCTCGACAACCACAGCGGCAACACGTACTATCTCAACGTAAAAACGTGTGCTGTCCATCACGATCATCCAAATATCCTTTTTCCGTCTGCACAAGTGATCTGTTGTCCGGAAGGTGGTTTCCTGCGACATTAGGTACATCGCCAACTCGCGCTGAAGCTCCTGGCCAAGCAGCGACGCCGCGCCGAGTCCCAGTTCCAAGAGCGCCTACGCCGTCTCGAAGGTCATTTTGACCACATCACAACTGCTCAAACGACACACCAAGCCGAAATCGAGCGCGCGATATGCCTGCAGTGGGGATGGGGCACGTCGTGAATAAATATGGCTCTCCTGCATACTCTCTCGTCTACGCCGACGTCGAGCAGTTTAACTGCACTAAGACTACCGTCACGTTGTCGCTGGACAGGGACCTGATCGCTTCCTGGGCCAGTTCGTCAGCGGCCATGTGGATGTTTCCGTGAGCTTGGAGCCGCGCGACGACAAACGCAACGGCGGCTTCGCTCGTCATCACTTCCCACACTCCGTCGCACGCAAACAAAACAAACGAGTCGTTCGGCTGGACGTCGACTACAATCACGTCGGGAGTTGCGTCTAGAACGGCCCCGACGCTCTCTTGGGAGTACACTTGAGCTGCCTCCTGGACAGCTTTGACTTCCCGCCCTTTGAATTCGAGGTCCCCGAACGTCCGCGTGATCGCGAGCACGCCGTTCACGCGGTTGTTGATAATTGACCCGCCGGACCGGACAACCTTGTCATGCTCGGTCCGGGTGGAGCATCGATGGTCGGTTGTGAGAGCAATGCACTCGCCGCTTCGACAAATCAGCGCCCTGCAGTCACCGACATGCCCCACAACCAAGCGCAATGTGCTGCACGTGCCGTCGATGAGGGAAAAGGTCGCCGTGGACCCACTGGGGCTGTCGGAAGCGTACAAGACGTCGCAAATAGTTGCGTCAAAGCCCACGCAGATGCTTTGCACGGCCGCGACCAAAGCCAGGCCGTCTGGGACTGGAATGGGAAGGTTTTGCAAGAGATGAGTGTGAAATCGCTCTTGTAGCAAGGATGCACATCCATCACCACCATGGCCATCGTAGAGACCCACAAAGCCCATGCGATTCGCTTGTTCTCCGAGTCGAGTCAAGGCGTCGACAGCGTGCTCGTTTGCATGTTCAAAGATGTTTGGAATGGCCACCCATCGATCTTCTTGGGTGCTGCGCCGTCCCTGCATGGACGACGCTCCCATGCGAATGGTCAAGTGTGGGTTCGCTGAGTGTTCTGTCAAGGATGGCGAAGTGTCCACGAACACCGATGAGTCGGCTTTGATCGTCGGGAGGACGGTGTGTCGCGTCGGAGCCAGGGTGGTCAAAAGCAGCTCATCAAGGCCGTTGGACGATTGGTAAATGGCTTCGGCGTCGTCGGGGTCGTCCATGTCATCGTCTTCGTTGTCGCCGGCGACATGCACTGAAGAGCCGTGGGCGGCCGCGCACACGGTCTCGTCCCCAGACAGTCCTGATACCAATTTGGGGTGGCTTCGCTTTTGGGCAAATCGCTGGGATCTGTAGTGTGTTTCTTCATTTGTGAGGACGAACTTTCGCTTGGTGGTGGGCTGGGAGAGGCGGCGGCGGCTGCTACCTTGTTCATGCATCGCTTGCATTTCGTTGTGTTTGGGGCTTGCAACAGGGCGGCCGTCGGGCTTTTGCGAGTCGGACGAATGCGTTTTGGCAGGAGCGCTGTCGATGGGACGAGGTGCGTTGGGACTGGTTGGAGGGGTTGGGGTTTGAGTCCGTCTGCCTGCAGGAGGCGCGGACGGCGTGGGGGATTCGTGAATGGCGCTGTTGATTTCGTCGGCAGAGACGGTGATGGGAACGGACGATGCTTTTGGTTTGGGTGGGGACGGTCGTCGGCCAGGGGGAAGGCGTTCCTTTGTGATCCATGGGTGCATCATGACTTCATGCAGCGCCAGGCGCTTCGATGGGTCTTTCGTCATGATACCGCTGAGAAAGTCCGCCAGGATCGGGTCGATCGGGAAAGGAAACACGAGCGGGTCGTGCTGAATCTTGTCAAACACTTGGAGGGCACTCTTTGCGACGAACGGGGGGTTGCCGAACTTGAGCATGTACAACGTCGCCCCGACAGCCCACACGTCGGCCAGTTGGCCGGAATCTAGGTCGTAATGTTAGCCATTTGCGATACCGCGCGAGAGAAAAGTGGTGGAGGCACGCACATTGTTCTCCTGAGCACATTTCCGGTGACATAAAGGCGGGTGTGCCCATCGCTTCGAGCAGCTTTTGTTTGCTTCCGTACAGGTTTTGCGAAATGCCAAAGTCGGAAATCTTGACGACCCCACGCTCGCCGATGAGGAGATTCTGTGGTTTGAGGTCGCCATGGACAATGTTCTGCTCGTGGAGGTACGCGAGGCCCAAGAGCACCTGCAGTGCGACGCCATGGAGCTCCCGGTCTGACATGGGCTCGCAGATCGTCTCGGTGGAAGGCGCGACCCCAACGAGCTTCTTCTGACCCTTTTTGAAGCTGAGCAAGTCACCAAGCTGCATGTATTCGAGGACGAGGAACAGCTTGTTCATGTGCGGGTCGTCCATCACTTCAAAGAGGCGGAGGACATTCGGGTGGTTAAGTTTCTTCATGATGGCAATCTCGCGCTTGATGTCCATGAGGTTGTCGGGCTGCTTGGTCAACTTCGACTGCTTGTTCATGACATCGCGATCAATAAACTTCATCGCAAAGAGCTGACCGGTCGTTTTTTCCTTGCACAGCTTCACTTCGGCATAACTTCCAGCGCCCAAGCTTTCCAGGATGATGTAGTTGTTGATCATGGTGCGCGAGTTGAGCCAGTCGCCAGAAATCGGGTGTGGGTGCGGCAGGTTGTGCGTCGGCAGCTCGGCCTTCTTTTTCTTGACCACTGTTGTGTCTCGAATACCCGCTGCACACAGTCAGGACAGTAAGTGCAGTTCTCCATCGTTCCATGGTCGTACCGGGTTGAGTGGGACTCAAGGGCATGAGTAAATTGGCACTCTGACCGGCCGACGGCTGCCGGACAAACAATTTCACCTTTTCCTGCGATTTCATGACGTCGGCAGTCATGCCAGAAGGAATGGCGCGCTTCGGTTCGTCGGTCACGACCACCGGGGTAGATTGTTTTCGTTCTTGTGGGAGGCTCACGGGAATGGCCACGTCGATCACGGACGGAAGTGGTGTCTGCGTCCCCAACCAGTCATGGACATCTACCGGCTCCGAGTCTGCGTTGCTGCCCTCGCCTCGTGTGGCTGGCAATGTGGCAGTGTCGAGCCAATTCGTCGCAACGTCGTCGTCATCGTCTGAATCGCTTGAACCACCACCGTCAGAATCGACATTCAAAGTTTGACCAAACTCTCCGTTCTCTCGACTGTGACCGCGGGGACCGTTGGCAGAAACAATGTCGACGCTGTACTTTTCACTCGAGGGCGGTGCAAGTACATCGGGGCGGCCTCCTCGCCCTATCCTGCCTCCGCCCCGCGCCGGGCCTCGTCCTCGGGGCATCCCACGGCCCCCGTGTGAGCTCGACATGGCCATCCGCCCTGCTGAGCCGACTCTTTGGCACCCCCGCGGTGTTGGCGGTTGAGATCGAGATGTTTCGTCGACTAAGGTCGCTACAATCGAAGCCGTCATGCTGTCGTGGCTTGGCGGCGATTTCAACGTTGCGTGGGTGTGCGCGGCTTCGGATTCATCAACGGATATCCTGTCGACGTTGTCAATGATGTGTTTGACAAATTCTGTCGTGTTGGCAGCTCGAATGTTTTGCGCCGTCGTCGGAGATCCGCTGCCGCTTTGTGCCATCGTGTTATCATCTGACGTTGGTGGAATGCACGGTTGGTCTCTGGCCATCGTGGCAACGACTTGAGTGGACGCACGTCGTGGCTGGCTGTGCCGACATCCCATGGCGCGTGCGAGGATTGTGTTGTTCACTCGAGGACACCTGTGGCCCCGTCCAGCATTGCGAGGCTCCGATGTGATGTCAAGCGTTTCGTGTTCTGGCGTTCGTTTCAACGTTTCTCCTTGCGAATGCCTCGACAATTATGTTGGCGAGACTTTATGATGAAGCCTCGGTGCATTCCACATCGCGTGGGGATATCTTGTATGCCACAGAGGTCGTATTGCCATATTGGGGGCTCTGTAAAGCTTAACCGTGGATGGCGTTCGTTGGAAAGGGTGGCCAACCCTTTGACGTTACTCCGAGTGTACCGTTGCCCTTGCTCAAACGCCGCTTCACGGGCCATGCGATGCCTAATTATAGCCCATTTGCACGCACGTCGCCATGGACGGGTACGACACTGCCTCCCCTTCCAAGAGCCCGACGGCCCATGGCCACAAGAAGTGGATCAAGAAGGAAAAAATTGGCCAAGGGTACGTCCTCTTGGTGCTTCGATTCCTCATTCGGCCGTGGCAGGGCACAAGGCACTGTGTACCGTTGCGTGGATGCTGCCACGGGTCGCATCGTCGCCATGAAGGAAGTCAACATAAAGGGTTTGTCCGATCATGAAATCGTACGAGATGCCGTTGCTGGTAAATACTTGACGTTGACCACCAGGACGCTTTGACGAGCGAAGCCACCGTGATGAAGAGCTTGTCGCACAAGCACATTGTGCAGTACTATGGCGTGCGGCACAAGAAGCGAACGCTCGAGATATCCATGGAGTACATGCCGGGAGGGTCTTTGAGTGCGTACATTCGTTCGGTTGGTGGCAGCTTGACGTTGGACCGGACCAAGAGCTACACGTGGCAGCTGCTTCGCGCAGTTCAATTTCTGCATGACCACCGCATTGCGCATCGGTATGCTTCCCATGATCTCCAACACCTTATCTTGGGGTAGCGACATCAAAAGCGCCAACGTGCTGCTGACGGACGACCAGTCCCAGATCAAATTGGCCGACTTCGGCGCGTTGAAAGAAATTGGAAGCGTGTCGGTGGTTGGCGGGCTGAAAGGCACGCCGCACTGGATGGTTCGCCCATCACGTGCACGACGAAGTCTCAACGCGTCGTCCTGTAGGCTCCAGAAGTGATCAAAGAGCAGCAAACTAGCGAGGGGTACGGTCAAGCACGACCCCCCATCACCGATCACCTCAGCCCACGTGGCGTAGGTGGATGAAAGCGGATATATGGAGCTTGGGCTGCACTGTCTTGGAAATGCTCACGGGGCGAACGCCGTGGCAAGAATACAGCAACCCCCTCACAGCCATGTACAAGATCGTATCGAGCGAATCAACCCCCCAAGTCCCGTCGGACCTACCGCTCGAGGTTGCCATCCTTCTCTGGTCGACCTCATGGACAGCTTGCGTGCAGGCAACGTCGTTCCTCGAGTCGTGCTTCCAACGCGATCCCACCAAACGTCCGAGCGCGTCCGAGTTGCTGCACAGTGCGTTTTTGAAGTCTGTTCGGAAACAAAAGAAGAAGGCTCGTGACGCCACAGAGTCCCCAAAGGCACACTCTGCCAACAACAACAAGAGTAGCGCTGATCACTCGCCGCGACCATGTCGAGTACGCATGGTTTGGTTTTTGGTTCCATCGTGATGAACACGACATATTTTGCACAGGACGGCCCCGAATCTCCTCCATGCAGGAGCGTGGTTGATTCGATGCCCAAGTCGAAAATCCATGCACTGGTGGCCGACGACGCTTTGACCGTATCGAAGCAACGCAAGTCAAAGAAACCCATTCGATTGGAGCCACTCGCTGTTGGCTCCACGTCCAACCAAGAAAAGAGTACGCCTCGGTCCAAAGCCAAGGTAGAAAGCACTATTGTGTGATCCCCGTGGCTCGGACTAATGGATCGGCGCCACAGGCGGACGGAAAGCCATTGTTGGGCGATCCGTTGCTATCTCCTGAAGGGTAAAATCCACATCACGTTATCGGAGCTTGAGTGACGTTTGCGGTAGCCATTACAAAATGGGTTCATTTCCTGACATCCGATTGACCTCGCCAGTCGCATCCCCTCAAACGTCCCCCGCTGGACCCGTCGCCCTGTCGGGGGCCAAGTCCATGGCGGAACAAGGTTTCCCGACCTTGAAGATACGCCCCGAGCTACGGAGGATTGCAACAGCCCCCCAGACGGTCAGGCGACTTGGGGCCTTGTCCCCAAAAGCCCTGAAACTCCCTCCTTTGTCGGCGCGGGGCATGGCGCGAAGCGAGAGCCCTCGTGAGGTTGACCGCGATGGCAACAATGCATAACAATTTGTCAACTTG